TTTTCTTTATGTGTTTTAGTTCTGACTTCTTTGTCAGATATACATATCCTTAACTTACTTGACTTTATTTTTTTTTTTTTTTTACTTTTCATGCACAAATAATATCTTGCTTCAACTTACTTGACTTTAGTACTTTCACTACTTCTTGGAAAATGAAAGGAATTTAATATATTTCCACCCCATTTATCCTACTCCTGTATTTTGTGTAATTGTTCATGTAGTTTAATTCTACATGCATTTAAAACTTCACAAGTTTTAGATTATGTGTCATAACCAATTTCTGTTGTTTTACTCACATTTTAAACCCTTTCCTATGCTTTTCAGTGTTTTCTGCATTCGGGAAATTCCATCAGAGGTCATTTTCTTTCTGCCAGAGAATTTATTTTGGTATTTATTTTGTCCCAAACTGAGACAATGCTTTGTGTGTGAGTATGTGTGTGGGGGAGTTGTCCTGAAAATGTTGAGTTGTCAGTTCTTTAAAATTTTTCATTTCTCTTCTGTCTTCCGTTCATTTGAGAAGTCAGATGTCAGCTTTATTCTTCTTTGAAGATAAGGTCCCTTTTTGCTCCAGTAGCTTTTAAGATTTTCCCTCTGTCTTGGCTGTCAGCTGCTTTACTCTGATATACTGTGTAGACAGCCTGGAAGATGGACACCAGATAATCTGTACTTTCTGGTAATTGTGCTCTTGTATGATAACCTTCTTGAGTGTGGGCTGGGCTTACTGATTTACTTCCAATGAATAGACTAGAGCAGATCTGGCACTTTCTTTTTGATCTTTTAAAGTTTTTTTTTTTTTAATAACAACTTTTATGCACATATTCTGATTGATCTCAGAGGAAGGGTTATTCTGATATAGTTATTTCCAGAGGGTGAGCTTAATTGTTTTTAGAACTAAAGAGAATTCTTGTTTTCTTGGAATGCTGTTACAGAAGATGCAGCTATCTTACTACACCTACAAAAAAGTTTTTGCTGGGTGGAAAGGATGCTGTCTTTTTCTCCTGTGACATATATTGACTGATGCTCAGAGGACTAAACACTTGTTTACTCAGGTATTTTCTTGTCTGTTTGGTTCCGTAAATACAGATTTATTAAAAAAAAGTCATTTTAGAGTTGCTTATGCGAGTCATAATTACTTTTATATTTGTGGGGTTCTATCATGTATAAAATATATGATGAGATATTTTTCTATAAAAACTTATTTAAATTCTTTTGAAAGACTACATAGATGACTTGATAAAACAATTGTTGGTGATTTGGTTGTGTTAGATAAAACTGTGAAGAAGAAAGATCTCATAAAAGGTTCTTTATTCAAGTTATTTCTCATGTGTCCATGTACTTGCTTCACCTTTTAGAGTGACTAAATTTGAAAAAAAAATCATATTGTATGAGTGTGATTTATACAAGAAAGAAGATGGGGATCTCCCATACATCAAGGCATTTGTAAATGGCTGTGCATGTGTTTTGCGTTAAAACAGTGTGCTTGGGTTGTATAATTGTCCTTTGTTATGATTTTTGCTTTATCTAACCTTTTAGAGTAAGTGAACCTTTTGCTGGTTCTGACTGTGGCTTGTAAGAGAGCCTCTTCCTATCCTAAATACTGAGAGGGTATTTTGTGTTACCGTTCACAAAGAATTTGACAACTTTTTAGCTGAATACCTTACATAATTTTCACATAACTTATTTTAGGTGTTGGCATTAATGAAACATCCCTTAATTAAATTAATACATGTTTATTTAGTAAGAACATGAAAGACCTCTTTAGACTGAAATAGCCAAAAGCTTAACTGAAAACATAATTATTTGATGACTCTTGTTCATCTACTAGTCAGATTGTATATCTATGTATCAAATCACCAGATAGTTGTGTTTTCTTCTGCTTATTTTATGTTGTATAAACCAAGTTGGGAGTCAAGGCCTTTTTATTAACCATCTGTACTGTGTCTGCTGTGAACTGACTAGTCATGTCAAAGAAGATTCGTTCCTATCCTTCCAGGAGGTTTTATTTCGGAAAACCATTTTGGTAAAGCTGTAGCAGAGTCATAGCTGTGCCTTGGTGTTTTTCCTGATGGGAATAAATTTTCAAATTTAAAAAGATGTCTTTTGTATGATGGTATAATTAAATTATAGCTTTTACATGTGTGATCTCTTTGCTTTTACATTTATATAGACCTCAGTGGCTGGATGGAGATAGGAGGAGTCGTTGTCATTGGTTAAGCCTTTAACAAATTTGGAGAAGACAGTCAATATCCAGTATCACATAGCTTTATATGTATATACAACTTCATTCTTAGAATGCCTTCACACCTTGTCTAACGTAGTTTTCAGAGCTTCTTCACCAGTTAACTTCACATAGATAGACTGTTCTTATAACATGACTTGTTCATTCTAGCTCACTGTAGCAAGGCTCCAATTATCTATTCCCTATGCAAACATCCCATAGGTATTAGGTCTTGTGTGCGAGATCCTCAGCCTGTCACAGATTTCATGATCCTGTCTACTTCAACCTGTACAGTGTATCTTTTCCTGGCAGACTGTATTGAAGTTGCCATGCTCAGGTTTAAAAAAAAACCAGGTTTGGTGTAAGAAGCTTGCCTTCAAAAAAATAATAATTGATCATGTATGCTATAGATTTTAAAAGAAGCGTTTGAAAGAATTCCCTGAAGCTTCTTCCTCAGACACATTGGTCTCTTTTTCATTTGTCTTTATAGATAGCCAACCAAATAATTGTGATTGTTGGTAACTATGGTGATTTACTGAGTCTCCTGTTTTATTTTTCAGGATAGGTAACAAACTCTTAGGCATCAATTGGTGACATATTGTGAAATATTTTGATTGCTTCTGTCAATAGAAGCCATTTACTAATGTCTCCTTTCTATAAATTAATATCTAAATGATTGCTCTGTGTATAATACAAAGATGACAGGAAAAGACATAGGTCATAATCTACTTACTAAGTGTGTGACTTTGTGTAATCATCTCATGTGTAAAATGGAAATAGTGATTCTTGGAAGTTTGTTGGGCAGATTAAATCAGAGTAGATCCTTAAAAATTGGATAAACATTTATTCTGCAAATGGATATTGAATGCCAGCTCCGTGCGAGACACTACCATAGGGAATGAAGATACAGTAGAGAATAAAATAGTCAGGTTTTATTGATCCACTGGAGTATTCTATGTTCTAGTCTGTCTCTACAGATTGGGATGGAAGCTACTTAACAACAGAGAACATGTAGGTGATAATAAGCACCATGAGGAAAAACAGGGCAGAGTCAGCTCATGGAGCATAATTCTGGGATGCACTGTCAGGGAGCCTTCTCTGAGGTGATGATGTTGAGTGCACTTGGATGAAGTAAAGATGTAAGCATGTAGATACTTGGGGGAAGGATGTCTAGCCTTGATGGCTAGAGAGAGAAGCTTGGTGGTTTGAGGAACAGTGATCAGTTATAGCTGAAGCTATGTGTGTGAAGGACAGAGTGCTGATGAGTTCAGAGAGTGATCCAAAAATGTCATTGATACAGTCTTTCTTCTGATTAACTATAAATAAAAAGTTACATTCCATATACTTTATAGGTATATAAAATTAGGTCTGGTTGTTTGCACTAGTTGAATGATTATTTACCTTAATGAAATATTATTATTATTTATATCCATTATTATTTAGCATTAATATGTTAATATCATTATTTAATTTGATAGATAATATTTATCATAATATTATTTGATAATATATTAGCTATATTATTATTAGATTATTTAGCTCTGTATAACAGGCACATGCAAGTAACTGGAATTTTTTTCCAAAATGGAATGATCTTTTTTGTTGTTGTTTACTAATGTTACTGTACCTGGAGCTAGCCATACTATGAAGTTTAAGGGCACTGTCCAGACTGGCAGCTCTGCCCAAGCTTGTGACATAAACAGCAAGGAGTTAAGCTCCAAACACAGAGTTGGTAGGACGAGTCCACACAGGACCACTCTCACTTCTGACACCAACTATGTATGTTGAAGAGGTTCCCCAAACCACCCTCAGGTTCAATAATTCATTAGAAGGACCTGTTGAACTTACTAAAAGCTGTTAGACTCATGATTGTGGTCTGTTATAGGGAAAGGATACAGGTAAATAATTAGCATAAGAACGAGATGCATAGCGCCGAGTCTGGGAGAAGCTTCTGTTCTCCTCAGGAAGTATTCTCTTCCCAGATTGGTGTGTGACAGTTCACATGAAGTGTTGCCAACCCAGGAAGCTCACGTGAGCTTGGTGTGTACATATTGGGACATCATTTCATAGGTGTGATTGATTGCCCATGTGAGATGACTTAGTTTCAGAATTTGAGTGGATATCATGTGGCCTTGGGGCCCACTGTGAAGAACAGAGACACTTCCGTCATCTGGAAACATTCCAAGGATTCAGAAGTTATTTCTGTGAACTGGAGACAAAGGCCAGGCCTCCCTTTGGTAAAGACCAGATTCTTTACTGCATAAGTTGTTATGAAAATTCGAGTAATATAGTAAGTAAATGTCTCCCTAGATTCCCATATCTTGGGGACAACTGTGTCTCCCTGGATTCCCATATCTTGGAGACAACCATTGCTCTATTGGTTATTTAGTATATATTGTTCTAGGTGTTTAATAATTTTTTGAGTGTACATTGAACTATACTTTGCTTATTGGTCATTAACTAGGCTTTTTCACTTAAGAATGTATAGATATATGTGTTTTTGTGTGTGTTTGAACAAGTATCTTGAAATTGAATGCTAAATTTTTTCACATAATTAGTGTTTAAAACTTTTTCCACTGAAAAATAGTGCTTCATTGAACTTCCTTGCATGTATATCTTCGTGTGTTTTTCTGATTTTTCTTCTTGAAATAGAGTTGCTGGATAAAATGGTATGGACATTTTGAAATTTCATATGTACTTCATTATTACCCCTCTTGGGATGACTTCTGTGAGGTAGCTTATGGAATATCAGAATTGTTAATAATCTCCATATTACTCTTAGGTAAACATTGCAACTTCAACAATTTCAAATGTCGAGTATGGTCACATTCCACATCTCAGCCCAGGTGTAATTCCTACTCTACAAAATGAATCATTTTTATCATCCCCAAATAATGGAAATCTGGAAGGTCTTACAGGATTGGGTACTGCACATATCAATGGGAAACCTGCTTGTGATGAATTTGATCAACTGATCAAAAATATGGCCCAGGTAAGAGCATTTGTTCCTGTTAGTTATGATAGAATGTGTCCTGGATAGTTTGAAGAATACTTGCATATTTATATTACATATGTTAAATATATACTTTAAACATATTATTATTATAGAAAATATAGCAACAATGTATTTTGTTTTCTTTTATAAATTTTATTACATTTTACTGAGCAACAATATAAAGTATATCTTAAATATATATTATACTATGATATATATTCTTATTTATGAAGACATTTTTAACATTGAAAAAATTAGAATGAATAAGATGTAGATTTCATGTAAGTTGAAGTGCTTCAGGGATTTTTCTAAATGAAGGTTATCTTAGAAAAAATTAAAAAAAATTTTAAACAGATTAATGCCACTAATAAGACTATGACTGCAGTGGCTGGCATGTAATTATATTCCTTGCTTCTTTTTCTGGACAGGGTCGCCAGATAGAAGTTTTTGAGCTCCTCAAACCTCCATGTGGAGGCCTTGGGTTCAGTGTGGTGGGACTGAGGAGTGAAAACCGGGGAGAGCTGGGTATATTTGTGCAGGAGATCCAGGAGGGCAGTGTGGCCCACAGGTGAGACTGTCACTGTGACATCTCTGTTTTTGATATCACATTCACAAGGTGCTGCTCACCCTAGGAGAATTTCAGGAAACAAAAATGCCTAAAAGCAAAAACAATATAAAATGTTATTAACCAGTTTTTAGAAATCATTAACATTGCTACAATAACAAGAAAGTCCTTTGAAAGCAGAGTAACTTTTAAATGTAGTCATGACTTAATCACTTTTTAGTAAGGAAATAAAAATTTGAGTAGGACATTACTCCCATTGTTTTTAAACAGGCTCCTTTTGATTAGATTTAAAAATTATAGAAAAGCATTCAAGTGGTCTATGATAATATGAGCTGTAGTTTATTAATATGCTCACAACAACAAGTAGGAGCTGCATTTTATTAATATGCTCAAAGCAAAAAGTAAATATATACTTCTTTGCATTCATTTGTAGACGACAATAGCAGTACTAAAATACAACATATAGGTTGAATGAGTAGCTAAAAAGAAGGTGGCTGTTGACTGGGAGTGGTTGACTAGGGTTAGGTCAGCTGACCCCAAAGCATATATGTTTTTCCCTTCCTTTTTTATTGAGATGTAATTGACATATAGCACTGTGCAAGTTTAAGGTGTATAGCATCATGATTGGACTTACATACATCATGGAGTGATTATCATGTTAGGTTTTGTGAACAGCATCTCACATAGAGCAAAATTAAAGAAACAGAGAAAAAATATTTTAGGAGTACAGTTGCAAGAAAAAACTTACATAGTGTGAACATTAGAAAATAGAATTAAAAATAACCTGAAAATGCATGCCAAAGAAGGAGTCATTTTCTTGAGATCTATCAGTTATCTCTTATCCCCCTTTTCATTGTTAGAGATGGAAGATTGAAGGAAACTGACCAGATCCTTGCTATTAATGGACAGGCACTTGATCAGACAATTACACATCAGCAGGCCATCAGCATCCTGCAGAAAGCCAAAGATACTGTCCAGCTGGTTATTGCCAGAGGCTCATTGCCTCAGCTCATCAGCCCCATAGTTTCCCGTTCTCCATCTGCGGCGAGCACACTGTCAGCTCATTCTAATCCAGTGAGTACATAAGATTTTCAAGGGGAACATAACATATTTTTCTAATTCTTTAACTTTTTGCACAGGTTTGCCATTCCTGTAGGTTCTTTGTATTTCTTGGGTTTTTGCCTTTTTGTTCTTTCCCTTCTGAGCATAGAATATATTTTATGCAGTTATGATTAAGTTTCTGGCTTCCATAAAACTTTTATTTATGTAGCTTTTTAACTTGAATTCATTCCTAAAAAAAGAAAAAAAAAAAGGTCCCTTAAAAAATTGACTATCTGTAAACAAATAAAATCTTGATTTTACTTTTTAAGTTGTTAGAGTTAGCTACCAGTGACTTTAAGAGGTCATTTAATTTGGGGCCTTCACAGGTGGCTCAGACAGTAAAAAATCCCCCTGCAGTGCAGGAGACCTAGGTTCAATCCCTGGGTCGGGAAGATACACTGGAGAAGGGAATGGCTACTCACTCCAGTGTTTCTGGGAAATTCCACGGACAGAGGAGCCTGGCGGGCTACAATCCATAGGGTTGCAAAGAGTTGGACACGACTGAGTGATTAACACTTTCTCACTTAACTTGAAATCTCATGCAACAAGATTTATGTAGAAGAAATTTTTAACAGCTAACATTTTTTTTCTCTTTTTCTTTGATCATCTCTTTTTAAACTCTTCAAAGGATCTTGCCCGTCTGTATCTTCACCTGGTTAAATAGAGCCACTATAATGATGTGTGATAATTTCAAGAATGGTTATATCAACAGTAGTAACAACCTGTTGAAAGAGAAGTGTACTAAATAAAAGGAACCCTGTTAAAACTCATTATATGTCTGCACTTATTTAATACTAATCACAAAATAATATTCACAGAAATCTCAACTACAATAAAAATTTTAGTTTTCAAATTCACAGGAGGGCTTTGTTTTCAGGCTCACTGGCAGCATGTGGAAACTATTGAATTGGTCAATGATGGTTCTGGTCTGGGGTTTGGCATCGTAGGAGGAAAAGCAACTGGTGTGATTGTGAAGACCATTCTGCCTGGAGGTGTAGCTGATCAGGTAAGTTATTCCAGCAGGTATTTTATGTTTTATCCAATAATACAGCTTCATCTTGTATATTTCTGTCAGAAAGAAGAAACGTTGGCTTCAAATAAGGTCAGATTCTTTTGTTTTACTGGGCTTGTTTGTAAAATGATTTTCTTTGACTTGGGGTGAAATGCATTTCAGAAGAAACCTTGATTTTCATTTACAGTTACAGACAGTGATCATAAGACTTTCAAATCAGAGAGTAAAGCCCAAGTTGTGATTTTGATCATTTTAGAGGTAGATATTCTTTATTTATTATTGTAAATCATTTTTACAAGCCTATTTATCTATTTGATAGCCACAAGGTATTGTGGAAAAAAGATTTCGTTACTGAGAGGGAAAAACAAGAGTATGGCCTATTTTTTATTACTTAGAGTAGTTCATTAAGCCATTGCCATTTATGCTCTATAAAGTTGTTGGAATATATGTGAGAAAATTATAAAGTTACTAATTGTGATTTATATTTTAATTTGACAAGTTCTGGTGTCTTCTTTGCCTTGATAATAATGTTTTGTGTATGAAGCTATTTGCTTTTGCATGTGTATTTGAACTTACTTAAGAAGTCAGGGTCATCAAATATTGATCATATTGGTAAATGAAATGCAAATTTATGGGCAACCTTAAATCAGTAGAGGTATTGAGAGTAACTCAATAGCGTGTGTGTTTTCTCACTTTTTAAATATTAGCCAGTATCAAGCAGTATCCACTGAAATCTCTCTAATTGACAGACTTGTGATAAATAAGCTTTCCCTTCTGTATAGAGTTGCACTAATACGGTAGGTACTTGCCACATACCACTTTTAAATTCAAATTTGAATTTATTAAAATTAAGTAATATTACCACCTCAGCTCTTCCATAAGATGAGCTATATTTCAAGTGCTCTAGAACAACAGGCCCCAACCTTTTTGACACCAGGGACCATTTCGTGGAGGACAGTTTTTCCACAGACTGGGGTGATGGGGATGGTTTCAGGATGATTGAAGTGCATTACATTTACTGTGCACTTTATTTCTAATCTAATGCTGCTGCTGATATAATAGGAGGTACTGGTTCACAGCCTGAAGGTTGGGGATCCCTACTCTGTAGCACTATGTTGCTTGTAGCTGCCATGTTGGACATTGCGGAACATTTTAATCACTGCAGAATGTTTTTGTGGACAATGCTTGTATGGGGGCTTACCAGATCGCTCTTCACTTCCCTGGTCTATCTGAATTTACATCATGCAAAGATTTCATCTGCAAGCGAGTCCTTTAAGGATATTTATCTTTGAAATGGCAAGGCAGAAAGTTGTGATATTATCTCAGAGCTTTTTTTGTGGTTCACACTGTATTTTGAGTAATATATGTTTGTGTAGTGAGTTATACCTCATCTTTCAGTTCAGTTCCGTTCAGTTGCTCAGTCGTGTCCGACTCTTTGCACCCAATGGACTGCAGCGTGCCAGGCCTCCCTGTCCATCACCAGCTCCCAGAGCTTACTCAGACTCATGTTCATCGAGTCGGTGATGCCATCCAATCATCTCATCCTCTCTTGTCCCCTTCTCCTGCCTTCAGTCTTTCTCAGCATCAGGGTCTTTTCAGATGAGTCAGTTCTTCACATCAGGTGGCCAGAGTATTGTGGTTTCAGCTTCACCTGGTGGCATTTTCCCTCAAAAAACTCACAGACAGGCTAGTGCTTTCTTGCATCGAGTGTGTAGAAATCAAATTGAAGAGCTCATATCAATTATTGATTTAAGTAATATTTATGAATTTCGGTTACTTATATCATATTGAATAATGTTAGGATGCTTCAAAAGAGAGTTAACACTACAACACATGTTTAATGTACCAAGAATTCACAGTATGGCTCTTTTTTGTTATTATTCCCATTCTCTCATTTAGAGTTTCTCTGATGAATTTAGTAATAATAACAACAAGCTGACTAACCAATTCCTTTTTATTCAGCATGGGCGATTATGCAGTGGAGACCACATTCTAAAGATTGGTGATACAGATCTAGCAGGAATGAGCAGTGAGCAGGTAGCCCAAGTCCTCAGACAGTGTGGAAATAGAGTGAAGTTGATGATTGCAAGAGGTGCCATTGAAGAACCAACAGCACCTACCTCTTTGGGCATCACCCTGTCCTCATCCCCAGCTTCTACACCAGAAATGCAGGTAAGGACATAAACACTTAAGGGGACAGTGATGTTTATTTAGAAACTAGATTTATTAATGTTAGTGTTATTGCTAAAGAATGAAACAAAATTCAAATGTAGAATGTTTCAGCACTAATAATAGTTTTTTGAATAGGAATACTGTCTCACAAATGAAAGATAGATTGCTTAAAATCCTAGATTAATGTTTTGCATTTTTCTCTAAGCAGCACTTTTATGAGGATAAGTGTTTCGAAGTATTAATAAATTTAAATGAATTATATGCTACTAATACCTAAAATGTTTTATTCTGTATTTTTCTTATTTAGAAGGTCTTCTGTAAGGTGGGTTGTAAGTTCTAATCATTCCCTTTCAACAGCTTGCTTCTTAGTGTCTTTTGGAGGGCAAGGTGGATGAATAAAACTTACTAAAACCTTTTAACATTATTGTTTTAAGGTATGTCATATAATTGTTATAAGATTTGTAATGAGAAGTCGCTATTCTTGACCTAGTTACATAAGTTTTTTAGACACAAGTTATGCTTTCAGGGTTGTAACAAAAGTTTTATTCATAGAGCATTCCATCTTTGTTCTTAATTTGATCTGCAAAAAGCTAGAACGTTTCAAAATTATTATAGTGTAATGTTATCTCAAATAATTAAAGTCACTCAATATCATGGATTAAAAATCAACAACATGATTTTATCCAGAAATTTCTTGAATATTTAAGAAGAGAATTATACTCACTTTCTATATGTTTTCTAGCAAATTCTAGTTCTCTATTCCTTTCCTGTAGATCTAAAAGCAGGTTTTTTTTTTTCTATTACAGTTTTTTCTAGATAGTTGCAACAAATTCCTTTTTTATTATTCCAACCTCCTCTGCAAGCCCTTTAAAACTTTATTAGAACACTTGAAATTTCCATGATTCTGTTGTTTTTAGGATTGTGTTTGGTTGCTATTTTTTGCAGGGAGAAAAAAGTAAAGAAAGCCTGTTTATGAAAGTATTTAAGTGGCATTCTTTTGTGGTAAACAAAACATTTTATTCAGCAATATATAAATGAATGCAATACCGAAAACCACTTGATGTAATTGAAAGCTTAGAAAAATATCTATTCTGTGCATAGCATCATTTCTGAAGCTTGTGCCCCTTTTAAAACCATTCGATAGTCAAATTGCCACCCTCTAAAATAGCACTTGCATAAGTCTTATTAAAAATAGAAAACACATTTGTTACAATTGAAGCAGATTTCATCCTGTCATTTTCTTGTAATTATCTAAACTTTAAACTTTTTCTAAGTTTGCACAGATAATTATGTGCAATGGAAAAATAAATCAAACTTTACTATAAAATTATATCTCATTTAGGTGACTATCAGTGAGATATAGAGTATGCTTAAAGAAAATCAGAAAGCATTTACCAGCTAGCCCCATTCTGCCTGTCTAGTCAAACCATAGCCTTCTTTCTTTTGTGATCTTCCTAGGGTACTTTCTGGAATCTGCTGACACCACACCAGTATATAATACCAGCAACTTACTGATGATTTACGCACTAGTCCATTCATGCCTTTTTCAGGGAGCCTTGCCCTTTAGTCCAGTATATGATAACAAGTCTACATATTAGAGAACACTGCTTTCAAATATCATTCCAGGGTGAAGGAAATCAGATTGGAAAGGCATGCTTCCCTTCTAGCTTTTCATATTGAAGTTTAAATTTATAAAGCAAATACATGGACAGTTTTAATTAATATTTGGTACCTTTCACTGGCTTTCAAAATAACCATCAGTCTATTAATATTTTATCTGGAGGACAGGTTCACCTTCATGATGTTAGAATCAGCTTCCAAGTAAGACAGAAATAATGGCATGTCTTGAGCAGGCAGTGTGGCCCTTACATTCTAAGAGGATTTGCATACTGTGCATCTTTTAAGAGCAGGGGCTCTGCATTTGAATTCTTCCTCTGTTAAGATGGTTCACTGTGAGTCCTTGGAAGAGTTTATGTTCCTCAGTTTCCCCAGATAAAAACTGACAGTAATTGTACTTGCTTCATAGGCTTCTTCTAAGGAGTAAATTAATTGAGACATATCAAATGTCTGTTATATAGAAACTGCTCAATGAATGTTAGCTGGGCTTTTTCTTATTCTGAGCAAAGTGATGCTTAGAAAAAGTCAATGACAAAGCTAGATTTGAGCTTGTTAATGTGGGTTCAAAGCCTGACTTATCTCAACTCTATTATATCCTCTAAATTCTTCAAAAAGGAAGGTGAGCCACTCCTGAAAACAGAATCTTGTTAATAAGAAACTAATTTTTTATGATTTTCACAAAAAACCAATAATGCATTTCTCTGAAGAGGCTGTTCAGCTTTACTCCTGACATTGCTTTTTTTTGAGTTAAAATGTGATGCTGAGGCCAAGTTGTCAAGATTGAAGGAGTCATTCCTAACTATAATTCTATAGCAGAGTTCTCTAAGAACTAATTACATCATACCTTTTCTAAATGAAGAAGTGGCTTGAAAAAGCTTGTTTTGTTTGTCTGTGTGTTTATTTATATATATATATATATATATATTTATTTTTTTTTTTTTTACAAATTGTATTTCAGGTTGATGCTTCAACTCAGAAAAGTGAAGAAAGTGAGACATTTGACGTAGAACTCACAAAAAATGTCCAAGGATTAGGAATTACCATTGCTGGATACATTGGAGATAAAAAATTAGGTAGTTTTTAAACATTAATATTCTAGTTCTTTTATCTTGGCAATTACCTCTAATGTCTTTGTCTTATGAAATACTGAGTCAGCATAATATATTTTCCTGTGTCTAATGATATATTTTCATGATAAGCTAATGGAAATCTTCCTTTGGAGTAGTACAGGTGACTGTGATATTTTATTTCACATAAACAAAACCATTGTCTTTTTTCTGTAGCCAAGGTTTCTACTAGTGATTTTGTTTGTGTGGTTTGTTGGTTTACATCTACTCAGAAGTAGGACTTTATTTTTAGGAGAATGGAGGATGGGTATTCTTTGAGGTACTTTGTAAATAGTAAAACAAAACAAATTTGTTTCTAATCTTAGAACCTTCAGGGATCTTTGTTAAGAGCATTACAAAAAGCAGTGCTGTGGAGCATGATGGAAGAATCCAAATTGGAGACCAAATTATAGCAGTAAGTAACACATTTAATGACAGCTTTGTTAATTTTCATGGTTGAGAGATGCATTCTCCTGGTTTACACCATTTTGAGAGCTACAGCTAGCTCTGTACTAATTTAACCTTACTTTTGTGATTTGAGGTGTCATCAGTATTGCTCATTATATTATTAGGTGAAAGTCAGCATTGGATAGAAGGTTGATTGATGTCATTTCTGAAAGTGGGACTCTTTCTTGAATAGCTTCTGATAGATCTGATTTCTGGTTTCAATGAGTTTGGTACATTAATAATCTTTCTTGTATTTTAGCTGCAGATACTCTGAAGATAAAGACCATACATTATAACTTTTAGTGTATTTGAATCTGAATTTGAGTTGTGTGCATTTTTTAATACCAGCAGGATTGACACTATTTTTGTTGGCACCATGACCAAGGCTTCTTTAGCTGTAAGAGTATAAAGAGTAAAATAAACAGAGCCAGACCCTCTTAGTTAGATCAAGGCAGCATTGTTTTCCTAGTAACATTAGTATGTATGAACATATAGCTATTCAAGGTAGTGTAAAAAGAATCCAGCTTTCAGTTCTGTGTTCAGTTGTAAACTGACTTACCCTAGCTACTTTTCGGAACATGAATCCAAGAAACCTCGCATCAAGGGCTTTCTTAAATAAGTTTAAGAAAAGCTTCCTGGGATACAGTTTCTTAGGGATTCACAGTACACATTGAAAAATAAAAAACTGAGAAGTTTTCCAATAAAGAATCTTGTTTAACTCTTTTATTTCAGAGATTCCTAAACTTTTGTAATCATAGGTTCTTTCTTTCCCCAAACATATTAATATTCTCTGTAGTAGATTTGGGGAATACTGATTTATCTTAATATGCATTTGTTTAATGAAGTCTTGATTTTCCCCTTGAGATCTTAATAATAGTAAGAAAATAGAATGTTAAGATAGAGGAGTCCTGTTCACTGCGGCATTATTCACAAGAGCTAAGATGGGTAAGTGACCCAGAGTTCCATCTGCAGATAAATGGATAAAAATGTGTTACATACATACAGTAGAATATTATTTAATCTTATAAAGAAGAAATTCCTGTTACATCCTACAACATGGATAAACCTCTGGAGCATTATGCTGAGTGAAATAAGCCAGGCCCAAAAAGACAAATACTGTGTACTTCCACTTATATGCAGTATCAGAAGTAGTCATGCTTATGGAAACAGAAAGTAGAACAGTTATTGTGAGGGGCAGGGTAGAGGAGGAGATGGGAAACTATTGTTCAATCGGTTTAAAGTTTCAGTTTGCAAGATGAAAATATTCCAGAAACGTATGACAACCTGAATATACTTAACTCCACCAAACTATACGCATAAAAATGAGTAGGATGGTAAGTTTGATGTTTTTGTGTTTTCTTTCACAACTAAACCAAAAGATAGAGATGTCCTTTATCTGTATGTGCCCTTTGCTTCTACAGTGCAACTCCGACTTTGCTTGATCTTAGTTCTGTAAAACTCCTAACTAGACCTGTTCACCTCTTGAAATCTGCTCTAAAGATCAAGTTGTGCATGTCACGTAAGCTGACCATATTCTGTAAAAGAGCTTTCCTGTTGTATTTCTGTTTTAACATACAGTGAAAATTAGCTACTTTTTTTTTTATTTTGGAGGAAAAAGAGGAGAGAGTGAATATAATATATACATACTCTAAATCTATATCTGATAAAGAATTAAAAATTGAATACATAGCTAATTGGCCCCCCAGGCTATATATTTTAGTACAATAGAATGCTTTCTTAAAAATCAGCATTCTTGAGCTAAAACTCAGGAGAACATAAATTTTACTCATTTAAAGTATATGATTCAGAAGCTCTTAGTATGTTTATAGTTGTGCCTTCATGATCACAGTCAATTTTTGAACAGTTTCATTACCTTTAAAAGAAATCCTGTCCCATTAGCAGTTACTGCCTAGTTCTTAGATCCTCCCTGCCCTGAACAACTATCAACCTGCTTTCTGTCTTTTTAGCCTATTCTGGACATTTAATGTAAATAGCATCACTCAATAAGGGGTGCTTTGTGATTTGCTTCTTTTGTTTAGCATAATGTTTCAAGTAGGTTTGGACAAGGTCCATCTATGTGTAGCATCATCAATTCTGAGTTTCTTTTTTTTAGTTGAGTAATATTCTGTTGTATTAACATACCATATTTTATTTATCCATTCATCAGTTGATGGATGTTTGCGTTGTTTCCACTTTTTGGCTATTATAGACAATGCCATATAAACATTCACGTATAGATTCTGTGTAGATACAGGTTTTTGTTTCTCCTGACTGTGTACTTGGGAGTATAATTGCTGGATCATACACCTCTATATTTAACCATTTAGTGAGAAGCAGGATTCCTTTACCTACAACATTGAGATAAAGAAGCTTCCCTTGTATGATTTAAAAAAAAAAAATGAATTGTTTATTTAAAATACATAGTATACTTGGTACATAAGTATGGTTTAATTAATTAAGCAGATATTTATTGAGGGTCTGAAATGATTACACATGTAAGTCTCACAGAAGCTTCCCTTCAAATTTGTAATTATTTGCATTGATTTATAACTGGAACCTCATATAATTTTGCTTGGGCAAGATCAGTGCTAAAGGAGATTGACTCAAAAGTGGAAGCACCTTTTTTCTGAAGTATTGTCTTGCTTTCAATAAAGTCACTGTCTTTGCTCTCATCATTGTTATGACTTTTTATTTTTTAGCAACATTCTCTTACTTCACAGTTAGAAGCACCTTGGTTTTTAAGAAATACCATGCGGTGCTTTGATCATGCATTAGTTTTGTGTAAAATGCCGTCAGTTTGCAGTCTTCTGAGAGATGAGTAGGAAGGTTCTTCACACTAGTTGTTCTTCATGGCGGCTATCTTTCATTTTTTTTTCAATTTTGTCTTGACAGCGGCTATTTTGAACTATAATGTTTTTATTTTTTTATTATTGAAGTGAGAGAATTAAGAAATTATTTCCTATTATTTATTATTTTATTTTTAAAAAATTATTTTTAAAAATTAAAGTCTTTTATTGTAAGTTTCCCATTTTTTGAATTATGCTTTATTAACCCCTAGGGTTTTAGTGTAGGTATTACAGGGGCAGGGAATAGAGCAAATGAGACTTTTTCTTTACTACATAAGAATTATTTAATAAGGGGACTCTTATTTTGTAAAGACAACCAAACTTGTCATTAGATAAAGTCATATATTCATTTTTTTAGGTTGGTATACAGATATCTTTGATAAAAGTAGTATAGAATTAGGTATCTTATTTAAAAAATATTAAACAGGAAATGTATTATGAAAATATGGAAAGGTATCAGATGTTGCCTTTACTATTCTGTGACTTTGTTAATAGTCTCAATTTCCCTCTTTGTATATGTGTATAATTATAGGCTGTGTTGGAGGAGGGCTTGGCCAGCTAGATTGAGTGTTCTGAGGAGCTGGCTTTTCCATTTGTTCTAACTAGGATTCCTCCCCTATAATTATTCATAGCAGTATCTACACTGTCCTGCCATCTCCTCAAGATGGCACCCGGACAGTTTACTGTCATTGTACCTCGTTCCAGAGCGCTTTTGTCTCTGCGACAAGTGGGTCTGAAGCAGCCTTTTAGCTGTCTTACTGTGATAATGAGGGATGAGAGCTGGACTGAGCCCTCATTCGGGTTTCAGTGCCTTGTCCCGTTTGTATGATGTGTGTAATTATGTTGAACAGAAAGTGCTTCCATAAGGCCTGGGGTTTTTATGTTTATGAATCACTTCTTCATTTTATTAATAATAGTACCTCTTGAAATCTGCTATTAAATCAAATATTAATAAAAGTTTCTGAGTAACTTTTCAGTACAAAGCGCCATGCACTGTAATTTTGGAAAAGTAGGTACCATTATTCTCACATTACAGATGAAGATACTGAGAAATTTTGAACTGAAGTCTAGGATTAAAAGTCTGTAATTATTCCATTATAGCAATTTCTTCTGTGCTAGTACCTACCATCTGAGAGATTTGAGTAAGGAATATATTTTTAAATTCAGGTCATCAGGTTTTGGGGGGGAAAAAGGAAGCATGTTTTTTCTTCACATAATGAGCTTTATTGCTATTTAGTAGGCAAAATCATACACATTTGATTTTTCTTAAACCGCATATTTAAAGAATTGAGCTGTAAAAATCTATTGTGCATGAAAACTTGCAGCCTAAGTTATGTGCATTTTAATAATTTTTATGGCACCTCAAAGTTGAGATTTTTGTGAGATTTTCCTCTATTGCTACCCTGAGAATAAATAACATGTTTATTTCTTTTAGATTAATTTTTGTCTTTGAGGTCTAAAGAGCATTAAATTTGAACATGGCTTAAAAAACTCTTCAATAGAAATCACTCTTAATACTTTATGATTTAACATTTCAGAAAGTTTCCATGTATCTGTACTTAGGATTGCGTTAGTTTATACCTTTTTATTATTTATTTAGTTTAGAAATATACCTGGTATGTGTAGTTGTATCAGCATGTATGGATCTGTCATAATATACTTGCTGCTGCTGCTGCTAAGTCACGTCAGTCGTGTCCGACTCTGTGCGACCCCATAGACGGCAGCCCACCAGGTTCTCTCGTCCTTGGGACTCTCCAGGCAAGAACACTGGAGTGGGTTGCCATTTCCTTCTCCACCTCTTATTCATGGAGAGGTATGTTGTTTATAGTGGTTTGCTATTATAAACAACTGTGTTGCATACCATTTTGTATATCTTTTATGGACCAAGACTTAAAACATATAAGTTTGCTCTAATAGTACTATTTAGATTTGAATTTTACTTATTACTCAGCACTAAACCTTGTATGCCACATTTTTCTCACTTGGGAGTTTTAAATCTGATTAATCGCTCAGTCAGCTAGTGTTTTTTGAGTAAATATCATAGGAAGAGAATGTGTTGGTAGACTTTCAGAAGCTTTTCTCTCTGAGAACCTCTTATGTTGCCTTTGCACACTTGGACATTTTGGCTCGCAATAACATAGACTTCGCATAAAGAAGACTTGGGGGGATGGTCTTAAACAGTCTTTTAAAATTTGTCTTTAGATGTCACTTTTATCTTCTATAGGAGAAGGTCTTCCTTTTCCCCTGGAGGAAATCTTGGTCAAGTTACTATTCTCAGAGAGTAAAATGTCCTATGGCCAATCAGGATCACCAGATACAGCTCTAATTCAGTAATTAAAGATTTGCCATCCTAAATGATACTCTAATTTCAGCCCCCACCCTGGCCTAGCAGCAGCCTACTGTGAACTGGTAGAGATAGAGTGTGCACTCCTAGTCTGTCTTCCATACCGAGCTTTCCTTTTCCTCCCTCCCCTTCTTGTTGTGCCTGCTGACCCTTACCAGTGTGAAGGAAGAGAGTGAAAGACAGCAAGGCCCTTCATCCCTGACCGGCACTTCTGTAATGTGGTCTTGCTCTGTGAGCCTGGCTCATGCTTAAATGCGACTGTCACTCAGGGCTCCTTCTTGGGTTCCTGGGAGACCCTGCTAGAGATGTTTGACCGAGCGTTCCATGACAGATGGTGGAGTTTTCATTTGACTGACTCTTCTTTCCTTTGGCTGCAGTTTCTCAACATTCTGCTCCATAAATTCTCGTTTTTGGGCACCATCATTCCCTAGGGATTCTCTTGGGTAGGTTTCAAGGTGGCTCCAGCCTGGCTTTCTCGTGTGTGTGTGTGTGTGTGTGGTGTGTGTGTGTGTGTGTGTGTGGTGTGTGTGTGTGTGGTGTGTGGTGTGGTGTGTGTGTGTGGTGTGTGTGTGGTGTGTGTGTGTGTGGTGTGTGTGTGTGTGTGGTGTGTGTGTGTGTGTGTGTGTGTGTGTGGTGTGGGGTGTGTGTGTGTGTGTGTGTGTGTGTGTGTGTATGGTGTGTGTGTGTGGTGTGGTGTGTGTGCGTGCGTGCACGTGCGTGTGTGTGTGTGTGGCCCCCTTCTGATCTGTGTCCAGACAGAGTCAGGCTGTCAAGCAGTTCTCAACATAATAGCAGTTTTCTCTTGGTTCACTGTCAGAGCAATTAAAGAACCTCACCCTTAACCTCCTGATAGAGCTAAACACGAGGTACTTACTGCATCCTTCCTTACAACACGTGACAGCTCTTTTGACTTGTGGTCGTAGGTTGAACATCTAAGTGGGGATTTATAGCGCTCTTCTCTCTAAAAAAGCAAAGCAACCTCCTCTTAAGTCTTTGTTCATCTCTAACAACCCAGCCCTTTAATGCCCTAAATATGTACAGATTATAATTCCAGACTGCTTAAATTTCTGCTTTGTGGTCTTCTCATAACACACTTTGGTATAAGATATAATTATAGCATCTCATGCTATAATTGATGCTATCAGATGCTATCTTATGATACTATAGGAAACATCATAGCATCTCAACCATAATTTCCGTTTTCATATATGTTACACTGAGTATAAAATTTTGGGTTCGTAATTTCTTTCACAAGTTATCTGCTCACTCTGTTTCCTAGAAGCTAATGAGCTTTTTGCTTCTGATTTTTGAAATCCAAGAATTTAATCAAGATTTGTCTGGGTGTTAGTTTTGTTTCTAGTTTTTCATATACCTCTGATTTATAGAGGCAGATTTCTTTATCTCCTCATAATTTCTTGGATTATTTTTCCTCAGTTATTCCCTTCTTCCTTTAATTTTTTTGTAATTATATTGATTTTCTATATCAGCCCTAATATGTCTTCAGTCTTATTTCCCTGCTCATTTTTATCTACCTATTCTTATCCTCTGAAAACAGGAAAATTGCACGTTCCTGTCTTTCATTCCATGACTTTGTACAGTATGTAAAATGCTGTTGATGCCTTCACTGTAATAGTTTTCCTTTTTGGTAGATACTTGTCCTTCTTTGTATTCTCTCCACTTCCATAAATACAATGAGAAATGAATCTCTTTGAAGAGAAGCTTCATAAAATATCTTTCTGTTCCCTGCAGTGACAGTCTCATTGGAAGATATTTGTACTCATGATTCAGGACACACATTTTCTTTCAGACTGTGGTATTCTATTCCTATGACCCTTTTTTTCTCAGAGATCTCAGTGAGAACTATGGTTGTGCCAAAGGAGAATTAGATAGATTTTTATACAAACAGTTTGGGAACTGCAAAGCAAGAAGGAAGGAGAAAGTTTAAATTTACAAATCAGTTTCATTGGTCAATTAATAGATATAGAAGAAACCAGGAAAACAGGATGAAGAACATTGCGTGTCTGTACTGACAGATTGTTTTCCCTGCGTGTTGTGGAGTTGGTTGGGGTTGTGTGTGGATGCAGGTGTGTGCCTAGTGTGACTTCATTGTGTGTATATGAGTCTGCGTGGCGTATGCTCCCAGCTTGATGTGATGCCTGGCACTTGATTGGCTTTTGGACTCACCAGTTGAAGTCCACATGAACCTTCTTACTGCCTCCTTTTAATGAAAGACAGTTGTTGGATTTTACTGATGTTTCACTCGACAGACCAAACAAGATGTTCCCTCACATGTAGAGATCCAGCTGCCCTGCCTTCAATCTGGTCATACTCAGACCATTCCTCATAGAAGTTCCTCCAAGTTACTGGTATAAGGACTTCTTCCTTGGTTTACAGTTTTGTTTTAGTGTTTTCTCTGTTGTTATATTTTAATTAGTCTTTCTAAAAGGGGATCAATAAGATAGAGGTGGGAGGAAAGAGGAGAGAGTCAGGGGCAACAGTAGCTTAATTGTGGAAATAACTATTGAACTAAGCCGTTACGGGCTTTTTCTAAGTGAATAGATTAGAAGCAGTGTGGGCTGGAGAGGGCTGTCCAGAGAGTCTAGACCGAGGGAACTGGATTTGCAAAGACCTCACGACTGAAAGGAGTGCTGCAGGTCAGAGAAATGGAAACGATCCTCTGGAGCTGGAGCGCAGAGAAATAGGATGCTGCAGGATGAGGTCAGTGATGCAAGGTGGAGTTGACACAGGCCATTCTAAGCCACATTGAGAATTTGGAGCACATCTTAAGGATTGTTCCTGTAAGGCAGGGTGGGGTGATAGGATCATATCTGTAGTTTGCACAGATCACTGGGGCACCCTCAAGTGTTTTATCATTTGTGAACAGGAAAAAGGGAAAATATTTTTTGAAGAGGCAAAGATATAAAAAGGAAGGTAGTTTCATCATCTTTCTTTGGAATTTGTCAGCACTCCCAATGACCACTTTCTTCACTATCTTCTACACCTCTGTGTCCTACCTAGGATTGGTTTCCAAGCTTGACTGTGTTTTAGGATCTCTTGAGAAATATAGAAGAATATTTTAAGAGATACAGAGTCCTGGGCCTCACCTAAAGACCTGCTGGTTTATAATTTCTAGAAGTGAGACTTTAATTTATATTAAAACAAATGAAACACTCCTGCGTGATTCCAGTGCATCTCAGCTAGTACTGGTCCACAAACAGGTGTCAGCCCACTCCCTAACTAGGGGAGTACTCATCCCTAATTCTCTTCTCACTGAGCAGCGGTAACCGTGTGTTTCATGGGTTGGTATACTTTTATTTTTACCATGTCTTGTTCTAACCGTAGGTAGATGGCACAAACCTTCAGGGCTTTACCAATCAACAAGCAGTGGAGGTGTTGCGACACACGGGGCAGACTGTACATCTGACGCTAATGAGAAGAGGCACCAAGCAGGACGCCGAATCGGCGTCACGGGAGGACGTCACAAAAGATGCGGCTTCATCTCCTGTTAATGCAAGGGTTAGCAAAGGTGAGGACTCATGAGTCTGATTTTTCGGTTAGACTCATATCAGTTTTTTTCTAATTCTAAAATTATTTAAAGAGCAACTTCGTTGTAACTATTCATTATAAACCAAGTAAAAAGGGATTTTAATACAATAGGGATTAACTGCAAGCAGAGGTTTGTCCATTAACTGTAGAAACAACTTCTGAATAAAGGAGACTTCTGTCCTGTTTTCTCAGTCACCGCTTCTCATTTGGAATCATGTACAGTCATTTGCCTTTCTGTTGTTGCCTTACTTTTGGATATCATTGATACATTTTCTCTTTAGGGGGAAGTTTGTTCTGCCTGTGAGCCCTGTAATGTTTCCAAATTGACCAGCCTTTTCTTGAAGGAATCAGCTTTAATTCAGTGTTTAGGCTTGACTAGTTCAGTTGGTAGACCATGAGACCCTTATTTCCACATTTAGAAATGTCTTGCATAAGTGTTTGTACATGAACATCTCTGAAAATTACCAAATTCCCACGTAGCTTCCTGATGTAAGCATTTATTTGTAGAAATCAGCCTGTTGGTTTGAAAGTGTGTTTCATTTCTCAAACTGTTGACCATTTATGCCACACACTACTAATTGCAGACCAGGAAACAGGGAGGCAAATCCCAGGGGGATTTTATCACTTCTTTGTTCCATTAGCAGGAGAACTTTCCTGTAAGTACCAGTGATTGTTGAAAACTTTATATACAAAAAGTTAGCTCTCATCTAGGTGTTCAAATAAAGTGGAGTTTGAAAAAGTCAAGTTGCTCGATTATATTACAGGCCTAAGTGCTAAAATCTTCTTATCTTTAAGATACTTATCAAGAAGATGAAGATTCTTTATTGCTGAGGAGAAACACCAGCATATTACCAATTGAGGAAGAAGGTAAACACATGGAGCCAGGTTATTATGATATTTATTACTTTTTTTTTTAGAGAAATGACTTTTAACAAATGCGGTTCAACCTCTATGGATATATTATAAATTATTAGAAAAATAACTTTCAAAAAAGAGTGTTAAATCCTTGCTCTAGTTGATTAAAATTGTTTATTTAGAACTGGCAGATTTTCTTGCTGAGTCAGTCTTCTCTTCTTCATTTTTTAAAAGCCAGAACCTTTAGAAATCATTCTGTTACATACACGGTTGATATTTCAGTCCCCTTATTTCTTAAGATAGAGCCAATATGTCTCTTATTGAACAAGCAACAGTGAAGTGTTAAAGCATTTAAAAAATAAACATAAAGAATGACTCTTTAAAGATTAAACTCTCAAATGAAAGTATGCTTATTTGGGGGGCTTTTTCCTCCAATTTTTTTTAAAATTCTAAATTTTGAAAGGAGTTATACAGAGAGATTATTAAGCCTTTCTGAGATTTCTGTCTCTATACACCTAGAATTCATCACACTGCTTAAAGAAATTTTAAGGCAGCATTGTTATACATAATTATGTCAACATGTTGCTGCCATCTTTCTAGGCTGGATGGTCCATGCTTCCTTGACCTGTCATATTGCTTTAGGTGTTTGATAAACTAAATCCACTGAACAAAGCCCAAGACAGATGTCTTTATGAGAATTCTGCCCTTCACTAAAATAGTTATATAGGAGCACTGCAGTTTGTTAACACATTAGCTCCTTCATTGTTAAGTATTTTTCTTGCTGAAAATTGTGATTTAACTTTTTTAAGTGAATATTTGTGTTCACAGTGATATCCCAAGAGTGAGATATATAGGATTCTCAGGTGTTAATCACAATCTGCGATTTTTACACTAGGAAGTGTAGGAATTATTTAGGATAAAGTGAATACAGCAAGTGCTTTGTTGTTCAGTCGCTCTGTCATGTCCGACTCTTTATGACCCCATAGACTGTAGCACGTCAGGTTTCCCTGTCATTCATTCTCTCTCGTAGTTTGCTCAAGCTCATGTCCATTGAGTTGATGATGCCATCCAACCATCTCATCCTCTGTCGCCTCTTTATCGTCCTGCCCCCAATCTTTCCCAGCATCAGGATCTTTTCCAATGAGCTGGCTCTTTGCATCAGGTGGCCAAAGTATTGGAGCTTTAGCATCAGTCCTTCCAATGAATATTCAGGGTTAATTTCCTTTAGGATTGACTGGTTGCTGTACAAGGTACTCGCCAAGAGTCTTGTCTAGCACCACAGTTTCTGGAAAAGGATTAAAAATACAGTAAAGTTGCAGGATATAAAATTAACACACAGAAATCTCTTGCATTCCTATACACTAACAATGAGAAAACAGAAAGAGAAATTAAGGAAACAATACCATTCACCATTGCAACAAAAAGAATAAAATACTTAGGAGTATATCTACCTAAAGAAACAAAAGACCTATACATAGAAAACTATAAAACACTGATGAAAGAAATCAAAGAGGACACAAACAGATGGAGAAATATACCGTGTTCATGGATTGGAAGAATCAATATTGTCAAAATGGCTATACTACCCAAAGCAATCTACAGATTCAATGCAATCCCTATCAAACTACCAATGATATTTTTCACAGAACTAGAACGAATAATTTCACAATTTGTATGGAAATACAAAAAACCTTGAATAGCCAAAGTAATCCTGAGAAAGAAGAATGGAACTGGAGGAATCAATCTGCCTGACTTCAGACTATACTACAAAGCCACAGTCATCAAGACAGTATGGTACTGGCACAAAGACAGAAATATAGATCAATGGAACAGAATAGAAAGCCCAGAGATAAATCCACGAACCTATGGTCACCTTATCTTTGACAAAGGAGGCAAGGATATACAATGGAAAAAAGACAACCTCTTTAACAAGTGGTGCTGGGAAAACTGGTCAACCACCTGTAAAAGAATGAAACTAGAACACTTTCTAACACCATACACAAAAATAAACTCAAAATGGATTAAAGATCTAAATGTAAGACCAGAAACTATAAAACTCCTAGAGGAGAACATAGGCAAAACACTCTCCGACATAAATCACAGCAGGATCCTCTATGACCCACATCCCAGAATTTTAGAAATAAAAGCAAAAATAAACAAATGGGACCTAATGAAACTCAAAAGCTTTTGCACAACAAAGGAAACTATAAGCAAGGTGAAAAGACAGCCCTCAGATTGGGAGAAAATAATAGCAAACGAAGCAACAGACAAAGGATTAATCTCAAAAATATACAAGCAACTCCTCCAGCTCAACTCCAGAAAAATAAATGACCCAATCAAAAAATGGGCCAAAGAACTGAACAGACATTTCTCCAAGGAAGACATACAGATGGCTAACAAACACATGAAAAGATGCTCAACATCACTCATTATCAGAGAAATGCAAATCAAAACCACAATGAGGTACCATTACACACCAGTCAGGATGGCTGCTATCCAAAAGTCTACAAGCAATAAATGCTGGAGAGGGTGTGGAGAAAAGGGAACCCTCTTACACTGTTGGTGGGAATGCAAATTAGTACAGCCACTATGGAAAACAGTGTGGAGATTTCTTAAAAAGCTGGAAATAGAACTGCCATATGACCCAGCAATCCCACTTCTGGGCATACACACCGAGGAAACCAGATCTGAAAGAGACACGTGCACCCCAATGTTCATTGCAGCACTGTTTATAATATCCAGGACATGGAAGCAACCTAGATGCCCATCAGCAGACGAATGGATGAGGAAGCTGTGGTGCATATACACCATGGAATATTACTCAGCCATTAAAAAGAATTCATTTGAATCAGTTCTAATGAGATGGATGAAACTGGAGCCCATTATACAGAGTGAAGTAAGCCAGAAAGATAAAGACCATTACTGTATACTAACACATATATATGGAATTTAGAAAGATGGTAACGATAACCCTATATGCAAAACAGAAAAAGAGACTCCGATGTATAGAACAGACTTGTGGACTCTGGGAGAAGGCGAGGGTGGGATGTTTCAAGAGAACAGCATCGAAACACGTATATTATCTAGGGTGAAACAGATCACCAGCCCAGGTTGGGTGCATGAGACAAGTGCTCGGGCCTGGTGCACTGGGAAGACCCAGAGGGATTGGGTAGAGAGGGAGGTGGGAGGGGGGACCAGGATGGGGAATACATGTAAATCCATGGCTAATTCATTTCAATGTATGACAAAAACTACTGCAATGATGTAAAGTAATTAGCCTCCAACTAATAAAAATAAATGAAAAAAAATATATATATATAAAATTAAAAAAATAAATAAATAAATAAAAAATAAATAAATAAATAAATAAATAAAATAAAAATGTTTCAAAGCATAACACTTGAGAGAGTAGATGGAGTGAGGGTAGCGGATGGTCTTAAAGGCTCAACCGTCTGTTTTACTTTGGTGATGTGCATTGAGAATGAGAGGGTCTAGACTTGGGATCACGAGTCCCACAGTCTTTTTAAAATAAAGGAAAAAATATCTGTAAACAGTTCTAATACATCTACTCAAGTGCTGGTCCTCACACAAAGGATAAGATACCGTTGCCTCTTCCACATAAATTTGACTCGTTGTGTGAGCCTGGGCAAGTCATTTGACTTATCAGTAACATCAGAAGTTTGAACTTTAGGGTTTTTAAATATGCCTGGAATCTCATCTTGGGCATTTGGGAAAGCGGGAACATGGAGGGTGTTTGTGACTGTAGATTGGTTGAATGAATACAAATCTTTTATTATTAGCTTACATATTCCCTACTTTCTTTATTCAGAATCCCACCCTCCTTGAACACTGCTCACTGCTCACTTGCGTAACCACTGCAGAATCAGAGAAATGGGATATGGGAGGAGGTGGGACCAAACTGACCCTCCTGTTTTTAACTCTTATCAGGTTGAAACATTTCCTATGATCTGTGTTCACTCCTGCACTTTTATCCTCTCAGCATTGAATACGCTGAGAAAACACTCATTTTGGGGGGCTAGTCTCCAGATTTTTAAAGAAATACATAGTTTACTGTTTCTAGTTTCTCAAAGAGAAAGCTGAATATTATTAATTTAAAGCATCAAAAAACCTGGAATAGGCCTGGCGTGAAAGCCCATTCCTTCCACTAACAAGGAGGCAGTTAAAGAGACATCTAAATTTTAGATTACTCTTTAAATTTGAGAATTGAATGCTAAAAGTGATGTTTAAAATCTAATTTAGGGAGTAGTGCCTTGTAAAGATTTTTTTAAAAGACAACCTTTATGAGTAAGAAATATGATGGCATGAAAATCCTTGAATATGATTTGAAAATTATCCTCAACCAGTTTATTTTGTTTTAATTCAGTATTGTTTGCATAATTGTTTTGTGAATTCACAAAATAGATTTCACTTTCCTTTTTTTTTTAACCAATTAGTACGATTCCTATTATAGGGCTTTAATGAACAGTTTCCATTTGTTTCTTCTTTTTTATTTATATTTTCTCATTGTACACAGAGTACATGGAGTTGCATATATTATTTGTTAATTTCTTTTGTTTGTTTTTTCTGAGTCATAGCATGTTCCCTTCTGTACTCTGTAGAACCAAATGAAAGAGATTAACATAGAAGGCAGTATAGTTTTTTAATAGTCCCTAGAGAGTCATCAAGTGAATCCTAGAGCTACTTGGAGTCCTCATTCTTTTAAATAAAAGTTAGATAATATATGGATACTTTAATTGAAATATAGTTAAGGACTAAAAGATATCTCTTAAAAGAGAATAGTCTTGGAATATACAGTTCTAAACTGAATTATTAAAATGTTTATAGAAGTAAGAGTAAATCATGTATTAGGACAAGAGCCAAACTTATTATTGTCATGTCAGTTCTTCCTCAGTTCTTACCTCATTTCAACAAAAATTTGATTTGATGGACTAAAGGGTTTAAAACAACAGACAGTGATAGCTCAGTTCAGCTCAAGCAGACAGAACTTTTATCACACAGACACTCCGAAGACATGGGAGCAGGTCCCAAAGGAGTTATCATCCTCCTCCTCATTCCTCTTGGCTTCCCCCTTTTTATACTCTCTGTCTCCTCCTCTTGGTTATGCCCGGTGCAAAATGCAAAATAGGGCTTGTACTCACTACCAGTCAGTGAAGGTGAATGCAAATGGGCATCCACTCAAAGCCCATTGACAGTTGCAAGTTATGTAACAGCAGGCTGTGTTGTTTATGCCTTCCCATAATTCATTCTTTTGTCAGATATGTGTGTGTGTGTGTAGAGTATTTATGAACCCGTAATGGGCTTCTTCCTAGCTACCTAAGGTTCCCTGGAGAAGCCCCCGTGGTTAGTGTGCCTTGGACGCATGTGCACGAGTTGGAAAAATCTCTGTGGTTGTTTTGTAGCATATTTGTGAGCTCCCCTGGGTGTGTCTAGGATGGGGCTTAGAGATCAGCTTGCGTCCTTTTCAGCTAGGCAGCCCCTCATTGCTCATGCCTAACTTCCTGCCTAACAGTATGACAGACAGGTTCTCGTCGCTGTGTCCCTGGCACAGAATACTGAGACATGGAGATTTGTGTAGTGCGTCACTAATTGTGTCCTCTCTTCCGTTAGTGTCAGCTGACAGAGAGGAAACAGAAGATGCTCAGCAGCAGGAAGCTGCCCTGCTGGCCAAGTGGCAGAGGATGATGGGGATTAATTATGAGATAGTGGTACGTTGGCTTCCCCTCCCTAACTTCCCAACCTGTAAACTGGATTTGAGCAGGGAGTTTCTGACAGTAATAAAGATGACTATTGTAAATAGTCCAAGATGACTATTGTAAATAGTCCTAGAGAAGTTGCAACACCAGGGTTTTTTTCAAAGACCCAAGTGTGCTGATTCAGATATTAAAAAATTCAAGTTGGAGAAAGTTGGATAGTAAGTACCAAGGTGCTAAAGTACATGGGATGGAAGTTTTAAGAACTTATAATTCATCACTATATCTCATAGTAGTATATATTATATGGATAAAAGGAAGAGTTTTTCGGATTCTCACTCCTGGGATTTATGGAAAGAATCAGAATTGAATGACAGAATTTACTTGAAAATAAAACAAAAATCATTATGACCTAGTACAGAATTGTAAAAAGAACTTTTCCTCTTTATCATTCTTATTCTCTTACTCTTCTTGAGTGTTTTTAGTCTGCATGCTTTTTTCATTTTACTTAGGCCATAGTGAACATTTTGTGTTTATTTAACAACTTGGCATACCTAGAGTAGCAGTTGTGATCTGCTGTTCTAAAACGTGTTTTAATGAAGTGGACATTAATTATGAATCTTCAGGTATATACCAGCAAATTTCAGGAATTTCAAAAGGAACAATAAAATACTTGGTTAGGTAAAAATTTTCATATTGCTTATGATATTCAAGTAGCTCTAGATTAAAGGTGATAAAACACAGGAGATAATTATATATAATATTAGTAAAAATAACATTCGCTGAATACTTTGTGTCAAGCAGTATTCTCAGTGTTTCTTTTAATCCTCATTACAAAGTTTTTTTTTAAACACTCAATTTGTGTCAAATAAGATTTGAGTAAATACAGCTGTGACCACCATTTTAAATTGAGTCAAGAAAGAAGACAGCCAAGTCCAGCTTAACTATGGTTAGCTTAGCATGAAATGAACGTTGGGAGGTTCCTTTGTGGGTGGGGTTAACATGGCTGGCGTGCATAACGGAGACTGTGCTCCTTTGGGTCACACTTGAGTAGTAACTGCACTCTTTAACTAGCCACTCCTCACAGAGGTCAGAACGGAGACTGTGGACTCTTAACTGCCCTTTGCCTACATGTTATTTTGGTGGCACTTCCAGTAATGTATCAAGGGTGAAAATTTATTATAAGTCAGAATGGACTAAGCTATTTATAGGCCCTTATCAAACAGGTGAATATGACATGTCTGGATTTACAGTTGCTTCCTATGTACTTACACAGCATGAATGAAGTTATAGGAGGAGTGGGGTAGTAGAGAGAAGGATTGATGGATGTTGTAAGTGGGGACATGGACGGCTGCATGGAGGAAGTGATACCTAAATAAGGAATTGAAGGATTTTGTCAATAGATTTAAAACTCAGATAATGCAGCTTCCAGTATTAACTCTGTGCTCATTATCATTAAGATTTGAAAAAGATCTTTTATAATTAAACAGTATTTTTCTCAGTCTGTCGCTCAGTTCCCTTAACTATAAAGGGGATAAAGCAGATCATCTTTAGTATACTTTCTGATTTTGATATTGTAGTGATTGGACTGTCTGTAAAAATAGTGATTTCCTACTGTTCTTCGTTATTTAGAATAACAGTCAGAAATAAAAAGTTTACTCTCCTGTTTTAAGCTTTGATTCACTTTTAAAGACAAGTGTTGTCCCCTTGATACAGTTTACGGTCCAGAGCCTGGGCCGTGGGTTCAGACTGCTGAAGTTCCAAGTGCTTTTGTTAGCTGTGTGACTCTGTTGAAACTGACCTCTCAGAACCTCATTTTTGTAAGTTTGGAAGCAGGGATAGGCATTGTACCTATTTATGAAAAGTAAATGAGATAGTCTGCGTGATGGGATTAGCATAGTCCTGGCACATGGAAGGTGGTAAGGATGTGTCTTTCTGTGTGTGGTTTGAGCTCAGGCTTCTGATTTTATCAGTGGTCCTCTGACTACCCTCCATCTGGTATCAGCATACCATAGAGTGTCTTGGAAGCTTGCACCTGGCTGCTTCCTCTTGGTTTGTGTTGGTTCAGGAAACTAATAGACATCAGTACTCTTTCCGAGGCAAAACGCTAAAGGTTTGCATTTTTAAAAGAAGGTTTTTGAGTTTTTTGTGAGAAATTTGAACTTCTGGGGGGTGAACATAAAATACATATACAGAAAAAGAAAAAATGAAAGAATATTAAAAATTGTGATGATATTTCTCCTTTCAGGTGGCTCATGTGAGCAAGTTCAGCGAGAACAGTGGTTTGGGAATAAGTCTGGAAGCAACAGTAGGCCATCATTTTATCCGATCTGTCCTCCCGGAAGGTCCTGTTGGACACAGTGGGAAGCTTTTCAGTGGAGATGAGCTGTTGGAAGTAAGCAAGCTATTCCACCTTCCCCTTCGTAAATAAAATTCTGGAAAGGCTGTGGGACGCTTAATGTGGTGAACAATTAAGTTCTTATTTTAAGTTCCTCCTCCAAAGGGTACTTGAGAGAAATACACAAGTAAAACTTCACCCAGAGCAGAAATTTCCAATCTGTATGTACGTTGATCATCAGGCATGGTTTTTGTTTGTTTTAGGTCCAGAGAATATAAAAACTATCTTTACATTTTTTTAAACATTCAATTTTTAGAATAGGTAATATATTCATGTTTCATAGTCACATATAAGACAAAGATATACTCCAGTGAGTAGTGTTTTTTTCTGTCCCAACCCTTCATTAGGTGTAACTGCTTATTATTGGTTCTGTGAAATCTTCCAGATATTTTTAATGAATATGTAAGAAAATTTGAATTTATTAATCTATCCCACTTTTTAAAATGTATTAGTATATAATAAAATACATTCCATTTTTTATCTTGAAGTTTTTCATTTAATGGTGATATATCATTTTAAAACAAGCTTTATTCTTTGGGAACAGTTTTGTTAATTCTCGCTTTCCAGACTGTGACACAGGCATATGAAACGTGGGTGAAAGCTAGTGATCTTCCTGTGAGTACTTTAGAAGGTCCAATTCCAATAAGACTGTAGTGTTGCATGTAAATTATTTTAGGTAACACTGCTACAGATCCAGCCATAGTTCTGAGCATAGTACAGCCATGATCATCCCTTGAATACAGTTTATGTCAATGTGATAAAATACCGCTTTGAAAGGAGTAGTCCTGTTAGGAAGTCTTCTTTCTTGGCCAACTTTTCTTTCTGCACAGGTGAACGGCATAACCCTTCTTGGGGAGAGTCACCAGGATGTGGTGACTGCTCTGAAAGAGCTTCCTGTAGAGGTGACAATGGTGTGCTGTCGTCGAACGGTGCCGCCTGCTGCCCCGTCGGAGTTGGAGAGCCTGGACTTAGGTGACATCGAACTGACAGAAAAGGTCAGACCTGCAGATATAGGAGACTAATCTGAATGTATAATGGGAAGGCTATATGGCATTTAAAATTTTTTTAGGCCTTTTTTTTTTCTTACTTGGTGCTGATTTCCTCACAAATCCTGTGGCATATAGGATAGACTTTGGAGTCAGACAGACCTAGGTTTGAATCAGGCTTGGCCCTTACTCTCTCTGTGACCGTGGGCAAGTCACTTCATCTTTCTGAATCTCACTTTTCTTGAGGCAAAATGTCAGCCATTAGGTATTATTGCAAAATAGGTGCTTGAATAATTTATTCACAGGATTCCTATGAAATGGACACTTGCCCCCTTAACAGGAGATTGAAATATGAAAGTAGTGAGTATATAGTACATATCTAGTCAGATACTTTTGTATAACCTCCCCAGCTCAGTGCTTGTCATGTGGGTGATAAGAATCGGGGAAAATAAGAAACATAAAGCCAAATTCTGTAGAAATCAGTCTAGCACCATACATGTCCAGATATATTTTATGTGGTATAAATGGATTATTACAATAAAGCAGATGGACAGATTTGCATCCATGGTTCTACTGTGCAATAATTGTTAAAAAAGCAAAGACAGCATTTAAAGTAACATTTCATCATCAAAAATGTTTTTCCTATCTAGTGTTTTCAGATATACAAAACTGAATTAATCTAGATTCACTGTAATATATTTGACTAAAAGAAGCTGATGTTTGAACCCCTATTTTTGTGCCAAGTGCTTTTTAAATATTACCTTACTTTGTCCACAAAAATTCTTTGAGATGGGTAACTGTGAAGCCCAGGTTAAGAATGCAGCTCAAGGCAACAGAGATAAAAGAAAAATAATAGAGGAAGTCTTCAAGCCAAGGCCAACGTGTCTTCAGATATCGTCTTGCCACTATGCATGTTAATTTATTAATGAAATAATCACGTACACAACTCACAGGATTTCAGAACCCGTGTCTGCTCAGTATGCAGAACTTATGCCTACAGCCATTTCCTCTTGAATTGTTCTCATTTATCATAAGCATTCTTTTTCTTTCATATCAAAAATAGCTTTACATTTCTTTTTCTAACAACAGATGTGATTCAGACACTGATGAAAAAGGTGAAAATCACACAGAATTATGCTGCTAAGATAGAATCACTATATATTTTTATGGAAGCTCTTTGAGCCATACATTTTAAGTGCCTGTTACAAGTTAGGCTATTTCTAAGTTGATACCTTAATTGATAAACTGTTGCTGCTCATATGTGAGTGCTATATTTTGGACAGATGCTGGGAATCTCCCTTTTCCTCGTAGTATTGGTATGTACATCTGCGGATCTAGTATATGTGAAATAAGAGCTGTCTGGTCTGTTTATCCAGCCTCATGTAGATCTAGGTGAACTCATCGGGTCCTCGGAGACAGAGGATCCTGTGCTGACTATGACTGATGTGGGTCAGAATGCAGAGGAAGTTCAAGGACCTTTGGCTATGTGGGAAGCTGATGTTCAGAACATAGAGCTGGAGAAAGGGAGCAAAGGACTTGGTTTTAGCATTTTAGATTACCAGGTAAATATATCCTACTTTTAACAATTTTTTTTTTAAAAAAGATAACAGACGCTAAATACATATTGTTACTGGCAGAGCAAAAGTAGATAATACTTTAGAGTCATCAAATATGTATTCTTGTTTCTAGTCTTTCAGAATAATAACTCATAATAAGATTATTATTATAAATCATTTCTTTTGACATTGAGTTTTTGAGCTCTTTTATGTTTCAGCTCTCGGAAATTTGAAGATTATGCAGAATACTTTATAGGAACATCATAGAAATACAGTTTTTCTCTTGGGAATATGCCTAAATTGTTTTTATTTCCTTGCTCTTAATAGATGGTTCATATTTGAGTGGTAAGACAGAAACTATCAAATACTTACCTTTTGTCTGAAGTGAATGATAGATATATCATTTTGGATATATTGTAAATTCTCGTATTCTTATTAGTTGACCAAACTTAATGAATAATCTTGAATGAGGTCAGGTCAGGTGTATCCTGCGTCCTTGTGCTGAGCTCTGGGCTGAGTTACTGAGGGGAGGCGACTGCTGGTCTGATGGAGTGCAGCTGCTGCTCCTCATGAATTAATGCTGAGCTGGAAGGCTGTCTCAGATGACTCCAGAGAGTTGTATTCTTTCTCAGGCATGGTTCTGGAGTCTAATATTAAGGTTGCTGTGTATCAGAAAACACTGCATTATCAACTACTATATGGCCTCCTTCTGTATTTCTTCATTCCAAAAACAAGCCCATTCCTCAGAACACTCACATCTACTGATGTTCCACAATAGTAATAGCCTATCAGTAAAAAAGCTGTTAATAATTCATGAATCTCAGATGATAGTTATAAAATTGGACAGTGTATCAATAGCTGAAGTCACAATTTTAAATTTACCTATAAAATTTAAAAGATCAACTTGGGAACCATTGAAAGTGGGGATGCCATTGTTTAGGGTGGATTCTTCCTAAACTCTTTAAAATGGAGATAGCCTTCACCCAGATAATTCACTGGAAGTGTTGTATGGAATTTTTAAAAGACACTTTGAAAAATTTACCCATCCATTACAATGCAGAAAGTGCAACCTATAATAACATTTTTAAGTGTAGAAAGAAGTTGCCTGCTCTTTGCTTTCTCGTCCTGTCAGGATCCAGTTGATCCAGCAAGCACTGTGATCGTCATTCGTTCTTTGGTGCCTGGTGGAATTGCCGAAAAGGATGGACGACTACTCCCTGGAGATCGACTCATGTTTGTCAATGATGTTAACTTGGAAAACAGCAGTCTCGAGGAAGCTGTACAGGCCCTGAAGGGTGCACCATCAGGAACTGTGAGAATAGGAGTTGCCAAGCCTCTGCCTGTAAGAATGCAGATTTTATTGATTTCTTTTTATTTGCAAATAAAAGTGCCTTTCAGCCTTTTTGCTTCAGGTATTTTCATGATTGAATCATGATTTTTGATACTTTTCATCAGCATGGTTATTGGCTCCATGAGTGTAAAAATTTAATTTTGAGTGCTTCCCTGGTGGGTCAGAGGTTAAAGCGTCTGCCTGCATCTGCCCACAATGTGGGCAGACCTGGGTTCGATCCCTGGGTCGGGAAGATCCCCTGGAGAAGGAAACGGCATCCCACTCCAGTATTCTTGCCTGGAGAATCCCATGGACGGAGGAGCCTGGTGGGCTACAGTCCACGGGGTCGCAAAGAGTTGGACATGACCGAGCGACTTCACTTTCACTTCTACTGTTTTTAAAAGGATAAAGGAAAGAAACAGCCAGGAAGTTCATAAATAAATTTAAAAGTTAATGTTCTGTGGTTTACTTTTAGCTTTTTTTAATTCAAAAATAAGGTCATGATCAATATAGAAACAAATGTTTTTCAAAGATATAGGCTTTAAAATATCTATACCAGTAAGTTGATGTATTAGAGAAATTAATAACAACAGCTCACAGTGGAATCTTCAGTTATAGTGGAAGAAATAGAATCTCTGTCAGAGTGGATTAAGTCCCAGTATTCTGTTGACTTCAAAATATTTGTTGTATAATTACTGCAGAACAAGAAATTGAACTTTCTAATTTAGATTCATCAGCCTATAGCTCTCCTCCTGGGAGGGGATAGCATTCATGTTATTAATTACTGCAATATAAAAACAACTAATAAATTCATGCTACATAATGTCAGTATGATTATTGGGTACAGTGATTGCAACATAGCACTTATCATTGAATTGCAATGAAGTATTAGAGATGGTCTCACTATTTGTGTTTTTTTCAGTGTATAAATATATTTTAAGTGAAAAAGAAAAATCTCTCTTAAATAAACATAAACACATAGATATATATGCATAAGCATTGAATAAAAGTCTGTTGACTTTGTCAAAGAGTTTGTTTAGATTGTAAGCTTGTTGATGTATTTAAAATGTTGAGTAGATTTTTCATGCTCTGCTTTTTGTTCCACAACAAATTTTGGTAACCTGTGAAAATGTATTTATGAAACCAGGAGGAAAGGAAGGGAAAAAGAAAGAGAATATTAAGCAAACCTCAAATGAAACCAGGATTGTAGGAATCAGAACAAGGGTTCAGTATGAAGAGTGTAAGAATGAAGATAGTGCATTATGAGACTCTACATATTTATTAAGATTGACCATACATATGGTTCTGGTCTTTCTGTTACACAAAGAAAATGGCAAACATGATCAATACATGTGTTTTACTGCCCTTAAGGGAAAATTGTGCCACTTAACTCTGAAGCAATCTTTTTTCTTCCCTAGCTGGTTCCAAAATAAGTTTTTTTCATGTGAGTATTTAGTATTTCAAATTGAATATGCATTGCAATTGTGATAAATCTCATTTATATGAAGTCAGTTTTACTAAAAATTAGGCTCATATGTGTGGGCAAAGAAGATAAACAGTTTTTTTTCTCTGAAATACTTTTGCACATATTGGTGATACAGGGTGATGTAGGCAAGACAAATCTAAATGTTTTAGCCTGTTTTTTCCTGATCTTTAAGAAGAATGCTAGGTTTTCTATCACTGTGATCATGGTTATAATTTGACTTCTCAGGAGTGCAATATAAGTGCATTGTATACATACAGAGTTGGTGGTGTATTTTAAGCCTTGCTAAATTAAGAGACTTCATTGAGAGTTTACTAACGTCCCTTGTCAAAGAAATTAACATTCTTTAAAATAATCAGGAGTGCAGTGTAAGTATATTGTATACATATAGAGTTGATGGTGATGGTTGTATTTTGAGTCATGCTAAATTAAGAGACTCCATTGAGAGCTCACTGACTCTCCTTGTCAGAGAAATTACATTCTTTAAAGTAATATTCTAGTAAGGAATGACAGAGAGATATTGGTCCTCCTTTTTAATGTTTTCTTTTTCTGCAGATTCTTCTATGTCTTAACACCTAAAAGTTGCCTTATTTCTGTATTTAGAAGTCATTGTTCAACTCAAGTATTTGGTAGGTGACCAGAAGTGACCAGAAGACTATTATAATGTAAAAAATTGTTGATGTTGATAATCTTTTTGTAAGAAGGGTGAAGAAATTCGTAGAAAGGCATTCTCATCTAATGGATGATGTTGGTATTGGGATAAACATTCTTATTGTGTCTTAAAATATAAAACTGTTCAGTATGAATATTTATTCTATTTCTTGCTCATCATTTATGTTAAAGTCATTTGTTTATGATGACTTTATAACTTGAAAACATTATTTGAAAATGTTCCAATTTTTTCCTCCCCCCCTTATTTTTTTCTCCCCTCTCCTCTATTTTCCCTTTCCCTCCCTCTTTTCTGTTCTCCCTCTTTTTCGTGAACTCATCCTCAAACACTGAACTTCATTCTCCCTGCAGCTGTCCCCAGAAGAGGGTTATGTTTCTGCTAAGGAGGATTCCTTTCTCTACCTGCCACATTCCTGCGAGGAGGAAGGGCTGGCTGATAAAGCCCTCTTCAGGGCTGACTTGGCTCTGGTTAGTTGCGACCTGGCTTATCAAGCTTTCTTTCAAAATCTTACATGTCTTATTTTTGCTTTTTCAAAACATTCTGAAGTTTTACTGTATTCTTTGTTCATTATCTTTTGGAAAACTTAACATTTTATTTTCAACTTCAGTAGTTCTCACAGTTCAAAATGAGAAGAAAAGCAAACCATTATATACCTGAAAAATGTTGAATTTGTGGGGGAAATTCAGTTAGCAGTATATTATGTCCACATGTAAAATTAATCTTTACATCATACCAAAAGTTATTAGAGCACTGTTTGCTCTAAATACGTACTTGAGTATCTCTAAGCATTCTTTAACTGTTTTCAGTATTCATTCGTAGATCAGTTATTTTACCTTCCTTTTAATGATGTAACAGTTATATTATTTCATTAGATATTAGTAATATGAAAGTCACATACATTGGTTCACTTATGGATTAAGAGCACAGAAGCTTCCAAAAGAGGGAATATTCATGTTTTCTATGAATACATGTTTGTTAGCATTATTGATTTATCAGAAGCTTTTATATTAAAATTTTATTTTTACTTGGTCTATATAAAATCATTCACTGTAATAACTACACTTAGGGACCACTGGAGGCCCAGCTTTGTTGGGTGAATACATGGTTCTTGCTCCTGAGAACGTTATGGTCTGAGAGAGGAGCCAGTGCTATGTTAATACTTAATAAAGTATAAAACTAAATATCAGATATAAATATGCATGTGACATTTATACAAGTGTAAAAATTACACACCCTATTCCTAGTACTTCTACCATTAAAGCCAGGTTCCTGACCTAGAATTTTTTTGGAGGGCTGGGAAGCATTCCTCAGTGTGACTAGAAAGGAATATTTTAAATACTTGCCTTAGTGGTGTTGGACTAGTGAGAGGTTTCAAATCCGTGAAATTCTCCATTAGGTGTTTATAACTAATTGTGCACATCTGGCTTTGATTCTAATAATCCTATTGTTGAAGGATACGGTTCTTGTTAGTTATTTTTCAATTGCCAGCTCCTGAATCAGCCATTTGAAAAGTTTTGGTGTATATTGCAATCAGTACAATAATTTCACTTTGTAATTCCAGGTAACTGGAAAAAAGTATTTTTTTAAATTATAGAAATATTTAAACTTAGAATTGCTCCAAGCCCTTGGTTGTTACCTTTTGCCCTTTCACTGATGAAACAAAATAACCCTCTATGCTAGCACCAGTTTGTCCTTGTTCTGTTACAGTAGTTCGTTTCTGGTGTGTTGAAGAGAGTGAAGAGGTCCTTAAATAGGTCCTTAAATAGAAACTAGGATAGACCAAAGAATGATACCAGTGTGCCCTTTAGTCTGAGAACAGAATTCCCATCTGACAGTATTGTTTTTATTCTAGGTGAGCGCAAACGATGCTGACTTAGCAGATGAGTCTGCCGTGGAGTCACAGCACTCTCCTGATAATGACAGTATCTACTCCGCTCAAGCCTCTATTTTACCTCTTCGTGGCAGTGCTTGTAGTGATAACCTGAATTATGGTCCCTCCCTTCCTTCTTCTCCTCCCAAGGTACAAAGGAAATGCCATTTTATTTATGAGAGAACTTGCTTCCCAGAGATCATTGCTAATGGGATTTTGTGGGAGTGGCATGTTAAAGACCGTATGTTTATGCAGTGATGACTTCACTCTTAAATTAAAGTGCAGTTTCCTTTTGGTAGTGTTAGCTGGGTATCTTGTAGACTCCAAGGGACTCTTTAAATCTGGGTTCTGTGATACAGTGTGATAGATACGAGATTTCAAAACTTTGATTAGGATTTGCATATTAGACAAAAATTTTAATGAAATGTATTTCTTAAATTGTGTTTTTGGTAGTGTCTACTTTGGAAAAATTACAAGAGTAACTTTATTTTCTGAATGGTTTTAAAGTTGGATAGTCGTGTTGGATAAATTGGATATTAAATTTATATTTATATTATTTTAATATATATAAATATAATATTAATATATAAATATATTTATATTAAATTTAAATATAAATTTAAAGTTGGATAGTTGGATGGTGGAAAGTTGGCTAGCAAAATAGTCCTTGCATTAGTTTAATACTTATTATCTAAGTTGAACTTAATGTTGTCATTTATTTTTATATAAAATAATACCAAAGAATACGTAAAAACCACAGTGAATGGCAAAGAAAGTTTAAGTCACTGCAAGTGAACGAAGAATTTAGCTACTGTATGATATGTCTGTCATTGACATTTTCGAAATAGGTTACTGGTGTAAGTGCCTCACCCAACTCTATTCATTTTCTTGGTGACACACTATAGAATTTTTTTCCTTTATTTAATTTTATTCTATAATTTTTAATAAGTAACATTTTATAAAGTTTATTCAGTCTTTTGTGTGTGAGATGATATATCACTGTTTCAATTTGGATTTCTGATTGCTTATGTAGTGGAACAGGTTTTCATATATTGGCCATCTGGTTTTCATATCCACCAATGGCATCTTCATATCTTTTGGTCATTTTATAATGGAGTTGCTTGTCTTTCTATTGATTTCTTGGACTTGTTTATATTTCCTAGAAATTTAATTAACAGAGAAGTTCAGTGTATACTTACTTATGAGTGTGTATGTGAGTGTGTATATTTTGAAAATCTGAAAATGTGTAGGAATGATTCCTTTAAACTTCAGGAAAGAAGTTATTCTTGGAGAAAAAAAGAGCATGGGAAGTTGGTTGTATCTGTAATATTGGTACGTTATATCCTTTTAAGAAGAAAGAGAAATTGAAGAAAATATGCCAAAATATTACTGTATGTTAAATCTGGGCAAAAGGTTCATATAAGGGTATATTTTCCTTATTTTTCCATGTTGGAAATATACTGTAAATAAACATAATCAATTCAGTAAAAGATTGGATAATAATTCTTTTTTAAATATGTGAAATATATATTTTCCACATAAATTCAGTAGGAAGAGACTCTGTATTTATAAGTTGGTTATAAAGTAGAATTTCGATAGGCCTTGGGCAGTTTTCCTCCTTTTCTGATTAACAGGAATTTTTTTGGCAAGAACATTTTCAAAGCATTTTCTCTTATGTTCAAGGTGCACCTGTTATCCTTGCAAATGATGCTGGGCAATCTCCTTGAATTGGTTTGTAAGGTATAATCTTGAATGGAGCAGCTGCTCCTCTCTCACAACACCTGAGACTCTCTGGGGCATATCTGAGTCCTGTCGGGGCATATTCCTTCTTTTGTGGCCCCAGGGCTGGAAACTGAGTTCATCTCCTAATGGCATCTTCTAATCTGCTGCATAGCACACTCCTCCTTGCCAGTGGGGCATATTGCATTGTTTAACTTGGTAATTGTTACTTAACGGGATTACACAATGTGCATACTGAGAAGCATATATTTTACAGGGCAAATGCTGGCTATGCACAGTACAACATATTGGCTTACTGAAGTTTGTTTGCCTGTTTTTTTTTTTTTTTTCCAAGGCAGTTTACTCTTTTGTTGAAGCAAATTTTGGCAAGCTGGCCTATCAGCTGAAATATTTAAAACAGCAAAGGAGACACTAATGAGGGTGTTTTAAAACACACTGTGAAACTCCTGTGTAATTTCAGTTTTCTTAGAAAGCAGGACTGTTTGTGTATCATGGTGCATCTTTGCCACTTTTTTGGCTTGTTTGTATTTGTTTTGTGGCATTTTATAAGTACTAAGATATTTTGCTGGAAAATTGAAAAAGTTAGATTATTCATTCATCTTCCTATTTCTTTGCACTAAATTTATTTTAAAAAGACAGAGCGACAATTTGTTACAGAACTTTGAGCCGACCATTTTTCTTAAAAAAAAAAGTGAGCTCATTTGGGGATTCTTTAATTGAAAAAATCTTACCACATGTGATCTTTAAGAAAAAGAGAAAACCCCCATACTGATTTGAAAGACGGGTAAAAGAGTGCAAGGATCTCATTGATTCCTCAGATTTTTGACTTTGCTAATTATGTAATAAACTTGTAGCCTTAAATGGTGACTGGAAATGCACAAATAAGTTTACCTGTTTTCTTTACCCTGATGAGAAGGCTCTGCCCTTTGCCAGGCATGCTGCTGGAAGCTCTAAGAGCTGGTCACCCAGAACAGGGTCTCATTATAGAGGGAGGCCTTCTTCCTAGGTCCAGGGCCTGAACCTAGACCACTGCTTAGCCATTTCCATGGTATTTGGATTACTAGAGTCAGGTCACTGAAAGGTGTACATAAAAGGCAAGAAGCTAATTGGTTTTCTTATTCTTTTAGGTTTTAATTTTTTCATGAGTATTTTTATCCACTTTTCCTTCTCACCTCCAAAGACATAATAGAATGCAGAAATAATTGTTTTAGAAACTTAGTAAATACTTGTACACTTTTGTTTTAAAGCTCAATATGGTTTTGTGGGAGAAGATACTTTTTCTCTATTTTGACTTAATAGTCCAATCAATAAAGATTCAGTAGCTGTGTAATGCATTTCCTCCTCTTCTTCTTATCCACATGCCCACGCCCCACACTCCCTAGTGCACCCATAGTCTCTCTTCTTGCTCCAGGGATGAAAAGATTACCAGTTTGGTGCATATCCTGCATTCTTGAATGTTGGTCCCCCGGAAATGCAGTTGATTCTAGTGCAAGTTGAACTTCATCTTTGTCACCATAGAAACCCCTCTTCATACCTTACAGATCAAACAAAACCAATGGATTCCATGATTAAAAAAAAAAAAAAAAATCAACATATTCGTAGGAATAAATCTCCACTGGTGTCATTCTGTAGCATAAAAGATTGCCATCTTCTCAGTTATGTTTTAAATCTTGATACCAGTTTTTATTATTTTGTGGAGAAAGGGTTAGTCTCAGAAACTGATTACATCACTTATAATCAAGATAATGAGAGTGATTGTGGAAATCTTAGTGACAAAAACTGTGAGCTAGCAAAGGTACAAGAGATGTTACCTTCTCTCTCAGTAGGGTGAGTACAGATAGTACAGCAAGTGTACCTTATCTCAGAGTGGGGGTGCAATGCAAGTTGGAGCAGCTGTCCTTCTGGTATATTCTTCTAAAGTATAGAAAGATTTCTGTGGTAGACTGATATTGAAAAAAAACCAGGTTGTGTCCACCCAATGCTCAAGTTTTTATCTTGTCTATGTAAATATATTCTCTGGGTAAATAATGTGCCTAAGTATAACATTAATATGCACTACAGTGTATTTTCAAGTATAATTGTCATTTTCATTTAACCTTCCCCCTATTTTCCCTAAGAACATAAATGTGTCAAGTGGAGGAACCTATTAAGGTGGATTTTTGAAAGATTCCAGTTTAGATACCAAGTTGTACTGGGAAATCGTGGTTATTTTTGGACATCTTGTGAGGGAAGGACTGCTTTTCTTTTAGATCCATGAGACTTTTAAAAATAAAACTCAGTTGTTGTTCAGCAACCAGAAATGTTTCTGAAGTAGGCGTGTGTTGTCTGCTGTGTGGATGAGCTCTTTCTCTCGTATGTGTCAGTGTTAACTCCTTCATGAATAATGCATGGAGATTTCTGTTACATGGTTTATAGTGAGCCCCAGCTAACAAGGGCAACTTGGCCTCTTTTCCCGGTGGAAAGTAGTTTTGATTGCCACCTTTATTTGAGGAGTGGTAAGGATGATCTCTGCTAATTATTATGATTAATTTAGAAATACAGAAGCTCACCACTATTCTAGTAAGTACTTTGTGTTTTTTTTTTTTTGGTAAGACTAAATGTTGGTTGTATGAGCCAGCAGGTTATTATTTAGGTTTTGGGAGTGTGGAGGATGATCCTTTCCTGTCCTTTGTTTCTAAGGATTTTAAAGATGATAGTTGCTCGCATGATTTTCCCACTTGCCTCAATTCTTTGTACCAGGAATGTTTGATAATTCCAGAGAAACAGAAAAGTAATTGAACAAGACAAGTGTAATAAATTGTGTTGAAACCATTGATTGCCAATTTAGAAAAAAAAAAAAAGAAAAGGATGCATATCTCACACCAAACTCTGAAAAATAAATCTAGATGGGTTAAGACTATATCTGAAAACAAACCATTTACAAAGTTGGAGAAAAATACTAAAAAGTATTTCATTTATTCTGTGCAGAAGGAGGACTTATTAAACAGCATATAAAACCAGAAGCATAAAGAAATTGACCAGTCTGATTGCATAAATAATAGAGAATTACATAATTTTTTATTACATAAAGCATTAACTTTTGCACGTGTATGTATATATGTCATATGTATATATAAAAGACTTAAAAGACAGAAGGCAAGGGTCGGGTATTTTGAGAGACCAGCATCGAAACATGTATATTATCTATGGTGAAACAGATCACCAGCCCAGGTTGGATGCATGAGACAAGTGCTCGGGCCTGGTGCACTGGGAAGACCCAGAGGGATTGGGTAGAGAGGGAGGTGGGAGGGGGGACCGGGATGGGGAATACATGTAAATCCATGGCTAATTCATTTCAATGTATGACAAAAACCACTGCAATGTTGTAAAGTAATTAGCCTCCAACTAATAAAAATAAATGAAAAAAAGACAACTGACAACCTCAATTGTCTATATATATCACAGTATATATATAGTATATATCACAATGACTCAGAATATGTCAATGATGACATATTTACTGACATTGGAAATCTCTCATGTTAAGGTATAAAGATACCTCAAAAAATCAAGTAGGAATGTACTATTTAGTGTTTAGTTTAATTTTTAAAAATTGATATGAATATATGCATATGTATGCATGTGTACTTATACATATATATTATACAGATACATAAAAAACTCTGATGAATAAACACCCAACTAATACCAGCCATTTATTTCTACTAAGGAAAGGAGTGGCAGAATGAGCAGTGAAGGAAGACTTTCATACTGTAATCTATGTGCAGTATGGTCTGAATGATTTTTGATTATATATTCATACACTGATTTTATACTTTAAAAACATCAGTAAAAGGATTGAAGGAACAGTTGATACATTTATTCAACAGCAGTTCATGGGACAGTACTTGTCCAAAGCACAGAAGTGATATAATATATGTGTTGTAAGTAGATAACATATATATATGTAGAGCTGTAGAATTTTAGAATTTCATGGAATTCTAGAAATTGTTTTACATAAAGCCGAGATCAAACCAGTCAATCCTAAAGGAAATCAACCCTGAACATTCACTGGAAGGACTGATGCTGAAGCTGAAGCTCCAATACTTTGGCCTCCTGATGCGAGGAGCCCACCTGTTTAGAAAAGACTCTGATGCCAGGAAAGATTGAAGGCAGGAGGAGAAGGGGACGACAGAGGAGGAGATGATGGGTGGCATCACCAACTCGATGGACTTGAGTTTGAGCAAGCTCTGGGAGTTGGTGATGGACAGGGAACCCTGGCATACTACAGTCCATGGGGTCTCAAAGAATCAGACTCGGCTGAGTGACTGTCAACAACAACAAAGAGAAGTTCTTTGATGTTATTATTAATGAAGAGCCTGGATTGGAATCTACATCTTACGACAACTTTTCTTAGTACTCTTCCTTCTGCTGCAATTTGCAGAGTACTTAAGGAAAAATTCCCTATAAAAATATGGATGGTGTGACTTTCTGTTTGACTACATAAATACCTACAAATCCCTATCCAAATAATTTTTCTTGGAGGTTCTTGTAAGTAGAGACCTCTCAATCATTGTCATATTCTTTATATTCTGAATCTTAGAATGAATAAGAATTTCAGAAAGATTGGAAATGAACTACTTTTTAAATGAGATTTAGAAATATAAGTTATTTACTTTCCTATGTATATGGAACTCTGAATAATTTTATTTGTGAGTATAGCAAAATATTGTATCTTAATAAGCTTAAGTACTAGTATATTGTAGTATGACTCAGTAGTAGATGTATGTTTTGCAGGAAGAGTATACATATTTATAAAAATAAACATATGCAACATATAAGCTGAGCAGTGAGTTTGTACATCTGCTATTACTTTTTGAGTAATAATTATGTTGTGTTTGCTTTTCACTAAACAGTTTTTCATTAAGATCTTAGGAAATGCATTGATAGAATTCTGGCCATAATTTTTGTTTTTGTTCTTTAATCATCAGGATATTACTGAAAATTCCTCAGATTCAGTACTTGATCTGCAGATGTCCTTGGAGGAGCTATATGCCCAAAATCTCTTGCAAAGGCAGGATGAGAGTTCACCTTCAGTGGACTTGAGCATGGGGCCGGCTTCTGGCTTTGCCATGAATGACTATACACCTGCAAATGCTATTGAACAGCACTATGAATGTGACAGCATCAGAGCATGGACTGAGTCTCACCTACCAAATGAAGTTGTATCAAGTGCAGAGCTGAATTCTCATGTGCCAACTGATTCGACTGGAAAGGTGACATTCTAAAGATACAGTCTGTGTGTGATGGTGAGGTTGGGAGCATGAAGGGTTAGATTACTCTGGCTTCTCTCTCCCTTTGGAGCCAGGGCTCTTCTAAGGCTCAGATTTTCAAAAGACAACCTATGAACTTGTTGTGTAAGTACTTGCTGAGTAAAGCCCAACCAGCTAGAGAATACGGGTGATGTTGAAATCATACTCCAAAGTCTAGTTTTCCCTTCCACTGACTTATTTTTATTTTCTGACAGGGCTCCAAGTTCTTAATTCCTCAAGGTTCCCTGGCCTCTGCTGCTGAGTGCGTCATGCTCCAAAATGCACCCAGAGAATCTTTCGAGAGGACTATTGCAATAGCAAAAGGCAATTCCAGCTTAGGTAAGTTTCTTTTCCACATACCCCTTCCGTCCTAACCCCCTTGCCAAGAGGAAATGTTGAACATAGAGTCAATGCTTTCAACCGTAGATAAGAAAATAGATGTGATAAAATTTACCATAGTTTTAATGTTAATTCTTTTTGTTATCACTATTGTTATCTGAAATGGTTAACAGGTTTACTTCAGACTACCTTAAATCCCTCACTGTCTTATTAATTATCTAAAAATATTCACAAGCCTCATTTCCATTCAAGTGAAAGATATACAAATTGTGTATGAGACAGAAAGTCAGGAAAGGAATTCTTAGGAAATGAGAAGTCAGCAACTTGGAATTCTAAATTATTTGGAAAAGTAAATTATTAATTTCTTTGAATGGTACCAGTTATGCATGCATTAGTTTGTATTTAATTTCTTTCATTCACTGAAATAAAGACTAAAAAGACCGTCAGCTGTGCCATTACCAAAGCATTAATGCAATTCTTCAACAGTCCTTCCCAGGTGTGAGGGTTTTCCACCCATAAAAGATCGTGACTGATTAAAAATCTCAAGTCTTCTGATCTGGGCAAAGAAGACTGCCTGTAGAAATAAAATCGTAATTACACTAGCTAAAATTATTTCAAGGCAGCTCACATTTATACTTCTTTTGACTTAGGCAGTGACATGATTCAGCTCTGTGTTTGGTGCTCAGGACTGAAAATAGGGTCAGGAATCATTTCCCCCAGAAGCCTGATGGCAGTCTAAGACTGTGTGGTTAGCTCTGTGTCAGAGGTCTTCTTTCTCTTAGGATGTAACCAGCCAGTACCCTTTATGTTGGTATCTATGGTGGGATTTGGTTTCCTTGTTATATTTGGGACTTGGCAGACGAGTTGAGCAGCAACACCACTGTAGCTGGTGATTGGGATTCCAATCTGTCTCCTAGATTTTGTTCCGTTTGGTGGTGGCTGGGTCCTACCAACAGTAGCTAAAAGGAGAATTGTAGCAGGGAGTTTCTCATTGGTTATAATATCTCTTATATATTACATTTAATAGAATGATACGAAACTTAAGCTACAGAACTTTCTCTAATCATTAGTTATGGGATATGTGCTGTAGACAGCTAACTGTGACAGAAGTATTTCATCTGCTAATGCAGTGTTTGTGAGAGCATGTTACTTGGAACACTAGTTCTGTAGGATGTTAACGGGAGTTACACTTGGGTTCCAAGTTTGGGATGTGATAAACTTAAGGAGACAGGTGTTTCTGTTCGCATCACTCAGTAGCTTTGCACTTGTGCCTTGTGTATCTGTAAGAACATGTTCCAAAATGCAGCATTTCTCACACATCATTGGCCACAGAACCCATTTTTAAAATTAACTCATAAGACAGAAATTTTGCAGAGCCTGTATGAGAAACCCTTTTCTAGCTTATGTATTTACTCAACCTTCAAACATTATTTCTGTATTCTGGCCACTATTCTAGACACCAGGATATAATTATTTTCTTCAAGGAGCATGAGTTTAAGAGAGTTAGACTGACTGACTTACAGGACCCTCATTGCATTAACATATCATACCTGCTATGAGTGACATTCACACAGAGAACACTGAAGGCTTAAATGAAGGAGTAGCAAGCCCTCCTCTCCGAGTTTGGAGGAATTTAGAAAGATATCAAAGAACAGAAGATGTTTGATTTCATGCTGGAAAAAGAAATAGGTTTTACCACCTAGTTGAGGCATTGGAAGCATTGGAAGCTACTAGAGCCAAGGCAGAGAATTGTGAAGCATCCCTGAGTTTGGTGTGGATGAGTGTGGCACAGTGGAGGGCAAGGTAAGAGTTGAAGCTGAAGGAGTGACGAAATTTGTTACATTTAGTTGATGGGGCACTATTATTTGCACACATATGTACACATAGGTGTAGTGACCTTTGAAAAATTTAATTGATGATTTTTGATAGATCTGTTGTACATTAGCTAGTTACATTGTATTAGAATCTGAAAGGCAAAAAGCAAAGGTAAAACAGTAAGAAGGAAAGTGTTACCTTTTCTTCACTGATGAAGTACTGGAACATAAGCAGACTCAGGAATTTCTCTGGAAGAACTCAGCCCTTACAAGGTGGAACCAGAACTCAGGCGAGAATCTGTCTCTGATTTTTTGCTCATCACACAAGACACCTGAGTCCTTAAGTCACCCAAAGGCTGTGTTAGCACTGTTGTAATAACAAGCGTTATTTTGAAGCTGAATTACAAGCTTGCATTTAGCCTTTAGAAAGCAATGTATCTGTGGACTGGAGTAGAGATCCCTTTAAAAATATATTCTGTGCATTTTCTTCTGTTTTTCTTTTGTACTTTATTGAGCACTTTGAAAGGAACATTACAAGTGCTCTTCTCAAAATATTCTTTGAATAACCCCAAACGTGGACATTATCTGCATTGTTTAGATGAGTAAACTGCAGACCATTGTGAGGTTAAGTCCATTGCCCAAAGCCACACTGACGAGAAGCGCTGCAAGTCAGATTTGGGACCAGTTCTCTGTTTCTGCAGTAGATGGCTTGGACTGTTGTCCTGTACATCTTTCAGGACAAAACTGAGAGATCTTACAAGTTACAACCAAAATCCAGTCCGTAGATACTACCTTGAAGTTGTTGAAAAATAAAACTGATCATTTGGTGAAAGGAAAGTATAAGCTGAGCTAACTGATGTCAACCTCTTTTTTTAATATGGTTGACCTGACCTGACAGCTTTCATAACGGGGAGAGTCATGAGTTAAATCTGCTGTTAAGAAAGAATTTAGAGATCATTTTGGCCATAGCCTGTGAAAACTTGTCCCGTGTCTGTGGCTTGCTTTATTGTAGGATGCATGGTGCCAGTGAGAACAAGATGATGGGTGACATTCCCAGGATGGGTCACTGAGTTAAATTGTGTTTTGTAGTCTTGCATTTTTTTTTTAAACTATAGTTGTCTCGTGGGACTTGGTAGTTAACATGGCAGCATTAGGACAAACCAGAGTGCTTATTGAAACATTTCAGAGCCAGCCTCTTTGCTCATAAGAAACCCACCTCGTTTGAAGAATTGTCTCAGCTTGTTTGTTGGTTTATGTTAAGCAGAGGTGTTTCCTTAATGACAATATACTTAAAACTCATTTGTATGAGTCTTAACAGAATCTTTTAAAGTATATTTGATTAATAGCTCATTTCTATCTGCATATGGTAACTAGAAGTCTGGGTGGCTCCTTTCCAGGCATGAAATATCAGGCTGGGAACATATTGTAGTCAGGATCATTTCTTTAAAAATATTTGAAATATCATGTGTAATGTGGTATAATTACAGTTAATATTTGGGCTTCCCTGGTGGCTCAGATGTTAAAGAATCTGCCTCTGATGCAAGAGACCTGGGTTTGATCCCTGAATCGGGAGGATTCCCTGGAGAAGGGAATGGCAACCCACTCCAGTATTCTTGCCTGAAGAATTCCATAGACAGAGGAGCATGGTGGGCAAACAGTCCATGGGGCCTCGAAGAGTCAGACATGACTGTTAGAGAGGATTTCTTTCTTTTAAAATTTATAAAAACCTAAAAATGAGTTAGTGGCTTCTCTCAAAGACTTTGTAAATACCCTTATCGACTTACGTCTCTCCTTATATTGTTTAATCATATAATCTTGTTTTGAAAGGAACTTTTAGTACTTGATTTTAAATGGAATTATATTATTGTATGTAAATTTTAAAATTTCAGTCAGTTCAATTCAGTTCAGTCGCTCAGTCATGTCCAACTCTGCAACCCCATGGACTGCAGCACGCCAGATTTCCCTGTCCTTCACCATCTCCCTGAGCTTGCTCACACTCATGTCCATTGAGTTGGTGATGCCATCCAGCAATGTCATCCTCTGTTGTTCACTTCTTCTCCAGCCTTCAGTCTTTTCCAACATCAGGGTCTTTTCTAATGAGTCAGCTCTTCGCATCAGATGGCCAAAGTATTGGACCTTAAGCTCCAGCACCGGTCCTTCCAGTGAATATTCAGAATTGATTTCCTTTAGGATTGACTGGTTTGATCTTCTTACAGTCCAAGGGACTCTCAAGAGTCTTCTTCAACACCACAGTTCAAAAGCAGCAATTCTTCGGCGCTCAGCCTTCTTTATGGTCCACTCTTACATCCATACATGACTACTGGAAAAACCATAGCTTTGACTAGATGGACCTTTGTTGACAAAGTAACGTCTCTGCTTTTTAATATGCTGTCTCGGTTTGTCATAGCTTTTCTTCCAAAGAGCAAGCGTCTTTTAATTTCATGGCTACAGTCACTATCTGCAGTGATTTTGGAGCCCAAGAAAATAAAGTCTGTCAATGTTTCTGCATTTATTTGCCATGAAGTGATGGGACTGGATGCCATCATCTTAGTTTTTTGAATGTTGAGTTTTAAGCCAGGTTTTTCACTCTCCTGTAGTGAAAAAGAGTAGTATGGTGGTGCTGTAAACAAAAATGGGGAGGACAGACAGAGAAATGAGGGTAGAGGCTAGGGAATAGGGAATAGTAAATAGGGAATTCAGTTAGGGCTGTTTCCTATGAATCATCCAGAGACCTTGTCAAGAGCACAAGTGGATATCGAAATCTGGAGCTATTGAAGTTCAGATTTGGAAATAATGCAGTAACAGATTAATGTTTACATCAGTTTAATTCAGCTGGCTACTGTACATTTAGGCACTGTGATAGGCCCTGCAGATAAGACTTGAATACAAGCTTCTTAATAATTCTGTTATGCTTTTAAAAATAATTTTTTAATTTATTTTTGTTGGACTTCTCTGGTGGCTCATATGGGAAAGAATGTGCCTGTGATGCTGGAGACCCGTGTTTGATCCTTGGGTACAAGATCCCCTGGAGGATAATTCCTTTAGAGTGTTGTGTTGGTTTCAGCCTTACAACATCATGGATCAGTCATAACTCTGTGTGTGTGTGTGTGTGTGTGTGTGTGTGTGTGTGTGTGTGTAATGAATCGAAACGATATATGTATCCCCTCCATCTTGAGCCCCCACCCAACTCCACCCCTCCAGGTCATCACAGAATGCCAGGCTGGGCTCCCTGTGTTATATATCAGCTTCCCAGAAGCTATCTGTTTTACACACGGCAGTATGTATGTGTCAGTGCTACTTTCTCAATTCATCCCATGCACTGTGTCCACAAGTGCATTCTCTATGTCTGTGTCTCTGTTCCTTCCCTGCAAATAGGTTCATTAGTACCATTTTCCTGGATTCCATATGTATGCTTTAATATACTATGTTTGTTTTTCTCTGACTTATCTCACTCTGTATAACAGGTTCTAGGTTCATCTACCTCACTACTGACTCATATTTCTTCCTTTTTATGGTTGAGTGATAACTACATTTTATATATGTACCACAGCTTCTTTCAACTTCTTTATCCATTCATCTGTGGGTGCACGTCTAGTTTGCTTCCATATCCCAGCTGTTGTAAGTAGTGCTGCATTGAACACTGGGGTATATGTGTCTTTTTGAGTTGTGAATTTCTTAGGATTAGTGGGATTGCTCCGTTATAGGGTAGTTTTAAAAGAAATCTCTGTACTGTTATAGTGGCTGTGTCAGTTTACATTCCCCATAGCAGTGCAAGAGGGTTCCCTTTTCTCCACATCCTCTCCAGCTTTTATTGTTTGTAGGTTTTTTTGATGATGGCCATTTTGATTGATCTGAGGTGGTACCTCATGATAGTTTTGATTTGCATTTCTCTAATAATGAGTAACATTGAGCATCTTTTCCTGTGTTTATTGGCCATCTGTATACCTTCTCTGGAGAAATGTTTGCTTAGGTCTCTGCCCATTTTTTGATTAGGTTGTTTGTTCTTCTGATATTCAGCTGCATGAGCTACTTATATATTTTGGAGATTAATCTATTGTCAGTTTTCTCATTTGCAATTATTTTCTCCCATTCTAAAAACTGTCTTTTCATCTTGTTAAGTTTTCTTTGCTGTGAAAAAACTTTTAATTAAATCCTATTTTTTTTGTTTGTTTTTATTTTCATTTTCTTAAGAGGTGGGTCAAAGAGTTTCATAGTGTCTAGCCTTACACTTAAGTCTTTAATCCATTTTAAGTTTATTTTTGTGTATGGTGTTAGGGAGTATTCTAATTTCATTCTTTTACATGTGGCTGCCCAGTTTTCCCAGCACCACTTATTGAAGAGGCTGCCTTTTCTCCACTGTATATTCTTGCCTCCCATAGGTGCGTGAGTTTATCTCTCGGCTTTCTATCTTGCTCCATCATTGGTTTGTATTTGTGTTTTTGTGCTAGTACCATACTTACTTGATGACTGTAGCTTTTTAGTATAGTCCAAAGTCAGGAAGGTTGATTCCTTCAGTCCCATTTTTCTAAGATCATTTTGGCTCTTTGGGGTCTTTTGTGTTTCCATACAGATTGTGAAATTTTTTGTTCTAGTTCTGTGAAAAATGCCATTGGTAATTTGATAGGGATTGGCTTGAATATGTAATCCCTACCAAATAACCAATGGCATGCGAGCTCAACATCCAAAAACTAAGATCATGGCATCCGGTCCATCACTTTATGGCAAATAGATGGAGAAACAGTGGAAACAGTGACAGACTTTATTTTCTTGGGTTCCAAAATCACTGCAGATGGTGACAGCAGCCATGAAATTAAAAGACACTGGCTCCTTGGAAGAAAAGCTATGACAAACCTAGACAGCATATTAAAAAGCAGAGATGTTATTTAGCCAACAAAGGTCTGTCTAGTCAATGTGGTTTTTCCAGTAGTCATGTATGGATGTGAGAGTTGAACCATTAAGAGAGCTGAGTGCCAGCGAATTGATGCTTTTGACTGTGGAGTTGGAGAAGACTCTTGAGAGTCACTTGGACAACAAGGAGATCCAACCAGTCAATCCTAAAGGAAATCAGTCCTGAATATTCATTGGAAGGACTGATGTTGAAGCTGAAGCTCCAATACTTTGGCCAACTGATGCAAAGAACTGACTCATTAGAAAATACCTTGATGCTGGGAAAGATTGAAGGCAGGGAGAGAAGGGGACGACAGAGAATGAGCTGGTTGGATGGCATCACCAGCTTGATGGACATGAGTTTGAGGAAGCTCTGGGAGTTGTTGAAGGACAGGGAAATCTGGCATGCTGCAGTCCATGGGTTGTAAAGAATTGGACATAACTGAGTGACTGAACCAAACCGACTTTGATAGAGATTGCATTGAATATGTAGATTGCTTTAGATAGTATGCGTGCATGTGCTAAGTCGCTTCAGTTGTGTCTGACTCTGTGAGACCCTAAGGACCATAGCCCACCAGGCTCCTCTATCCATGGGATTCTCCAGGCATGAATCCTAGAGTGGGTTGCCATGCCCTTCCCCCAGGGATCTTCTCAACCCAGGGATAGTCATTTTAACAATATTGATTCTTCCAATCCAAGTACATGGTGTGTTTCACCATCTGTGTCCTCTTTGTATGCTTCTTTGTATCAAGTTCACCAGCATAGTATCTAGCACATAGAAACCAGACAGTAAATATGCCAAATGAGTAAATTATCTAGAAATAAGGTAATGGTAGAGTTTCTTAGAGAACTGATTTTCTACTTGTAGGCCTGCTCTGTATTCTTTCATATATGTAAGAGATGAACTATTATTATAAAAATTATTTGGTACTATCAAAATATTTTCCCTCAACTTTCTGTGTAAGTGGAGACACATCACATAGGCTAAGCTACATTCACTCCACAGTGTAGACCCTGTTTCATCTCTAACATATTTAACATGGAGTGTCTTTAGATAAAATCTCAGAAACATTTCTAAATTGACTTTAAAAATATTTGAAACTCATGTTTTCCTTTCCTTTTGATTGTTTTTACTGCTTAAAAAGTTTTGTTGTTGTTGTTCAGTTGCTCAGTCTTGTCCAGCTGTTTGCGACCCCATGGACTGCAGTGTGCCCGGCTTCCCTGTCCTTCACCATCTCCCAGATCTAGCTCAAGCTCATGTCTGTTGAGTTGGTGATGCCATCCAACCATCTCATCCTCTGTCGTCCCCTTCTCCTCCTGCCTTCAATCTTTTCCAGCATCAGGGTCTTTTCTAATAAGTCGGCTCTTCACATCAGGTGACCAAAGTATTGAAGCTTCTGCTTCAGCATCAGTCCCTCCAGTGAATATTTAGTATTGGTCTCTTTTAGAATTGACTGGCTTGATGTCCTTGCAGTCCAAGGGACTCTCAAGAATCTTCTCCAACATCACACTTTAAAGGCATCAGTTCTTCAGTGCTCAGCCTTTTTTATGGTCCAAAGCTTAAAAAGTTACTCTTGTTCTTTTATATATCATCTGTAGAGATTATTAAATTCAAATTAAATGAATTTGAAAGTCATGCTTTTTAAAAAAATATTTTATTAAGGTATAGTCAATTTACAATTTTGTGTTAGGTTTTAGTTTGCAGCAAAGTGGTTCAGTTATAATTGTACATAATAGTTTACATTTACTAATTCCAAACTCCCAATACATCCACTTGCCCCACCCCCCGCCCCTTGGCAACCCCAAGTCTGTACTTACTGTGAGTCTGTTTCTTTTGTAAATAAGTTAATTTTTGTCATATTTTAGATTCCACATATAAGTGGGATCAAATGATATTTGTTTTTGTCTTTCCGACTTGACTTAGAATGATGATCTCTCGCTTTATCCTTGCTGCTGCAAATGGCATTATTTAATTTCTTTTTATGGCTGAGTACTATTCCATTGTGTATATGTATTTGTGTATGTATGTGTGTATATATATGCATATACATGTACACACATATACATATATGTGTATGTATATATATACATGTATATACACACATACACACACACACACACACACACACACCCCTCATCTTTATCCATTCATCTATCTTTGGACATTTAGGTTGTTTCTCTGTCTTGGTTATTGCAAGTGGTGTGCTGTGTATTATAGATGGTGTGCGTAAATCTTTTTGAATTACAGTTTTTTCCAGATATATACCTAGGAATGGATTGCTGGATCATATGACAGTTCTGTTTTTTTTTGGGGGGGGAATCTCCATAATGTTTTCCATAAGGGCTGTACCAATTTGCATTTCTATCATCAGTGTGGAGGATTCCCTTATCTCCACATCCCCTTCAGCTTTTGTTATTTGTAGACTTTTTAGTGATGGCAGTTCTGACCAGTATGAAGTGGTACCTCATTGTACCCATTTCATTTGCATTTCTAAATAATTAGCAATGTTGAGATCTTTTCACGTGCCTGTTGTCCGTCTGTATGTCTTTGGAGAAACGTCTGTTTAGGTCTTATGCTCTTTTTCTGATGGAGTTGTTGGTTTCTTGGTTGTTATAGTTGTATGAGCTGTTTGTATATTTTGGAAATTAAGCTCTTGTTGGTCGCATCATTTGCAAATATTTTCTTCCAGTCCATAGGTTGTCTTTTTGTTTATGGTTTCCTTTGGTATGCAGAAAGCTTGTAAGTTTGATTAGGTCTCATTTGTTTATTTTTGTTTTTATTTTTATTGCTGTGAGAGACTATGAAAGTCATGTATTTAGCATGTGTTTCTCCTTTTCCATAGGAATGACAGTAAGTGCTAATAAAGATGGCTTGGGGGTGATTGTTCGAAGCATTATTCATGGAGGTGCCATTAGTCGAGATGGTCGGATTGCTGTTGGGGACTGCATCTTGTGCATTAATGAAGAATCTACTATCAGTTTAACCAATGCCCAGGCACGAGCCTTGTTGAGAAGACATTCTCTCATTGGGCCTGACATAAAGTAAGTATCATTTGTACCATAGTTTGGCTTGGGAAATAAAGGAATTTCAGTCTGTTAATCAGAATTTTTTTCTCAGTGCATACTTCTTTTTGATATACAAAAATGATCATATATTCAATACTAATCACTGAAGAATTTGACTATTCCTGAAAAGTTATTGATTGCATTGATTGTAGACTTTAGAAAAGTATATCTGCAATCAGTAACATCTTAATACTAACAGTACTGAAATACAGTTGACCCTTGAACAATACAGGTTTGAATTTCTCAGGTCCAAATATGCATAGATTTGTTTCAGTAAATATGCAGTTGGCTCTCTGTGGGTTTCGTATCCTAAGGTGTAGCCAACCTTGGATCCAAATTTCCATCCGAGATTGATTTAATCCGTAGATGGAAGACTTGTGGATTCAGAGGGTCAGCTGTACTCTGGCATTTCATATAAAAGGGATTTGAGCATCTGTGGCCTTTGGTATCCAAAGCACCTGGAGCCAATTCCCTACAGGTACCTAGCAACAACAATACTTCAAAACAATGTTGCCTTCCATTATTAATTTTCCAGTGATTTCTACAAAAATCTTCATACAAGATATGAGATCTCTTTTATTGAGCAGAATGGTCCACACTTAGGAACTTACATAGAAGTTTGGATTGGCCTCAGTATAGCAAATTGCAGTACCTAATGATCTGTATGAATACTCCCAAGTAAGCCAGTTCTTTAGGGGTCAGCCATGGAAAAGATTGTATAGAAGCAGTCTGACCCATAATTTACCCTTTGTTGAACTACTTTTCAACCCATATAAGAGAATTCACAGAAATGCTGTTATGGTCTGATAGTAGCTCATGCAGGCTAGTGTTGGAAGAAGAATTTAAATGTCTCATCATCCCATAATGTACTAAAAGCATGTCATATATGTGGTTTGTTTTTTAAATCACTAAACATTTCTCGAGCCAGCATAAAAATCACTACATAACCTTATTGTCACACCTCAAGAATGTAATAGCTTGCCTTTTTTCCCCTCTATCATTAATAATTGAATATTTGCATTTAATGTATAAGGGATAAAGTAGTAAAATAAGAGTTCAAAAAAAGATTATTTACTTTAAATTGATGTGATGAATACTAGTATGGGAGACTTTTTTGTGTTAATATGGTCTTACTGACTGCATTCTGTACTATTATTTTATAAAATACATATTGGTAGAGCTTAGGTAAGAAAGATTGTACCTAAAATGTGTTTTTCATTTTTCCATTGATAGAAAACAGAAAAATACATGCTGGTTAGTTTAGAGTGGGTTCTGTTGTCTTATGAAAAGGAGATTTTTATTTTTAGGGTGGAATTTCACTAATGGGCTTTCATATTTTTAATGCCTTTTTGGCTTTTATTTTATATTAAACAGATCATCAGGTCATGTGACACTCCCGTGATTATTTTATTAATCATGCAAGTAAGAGTGAAGATCATTAAAAATTTCAGTGCCCCTACAGTAAATGAAAGAGAAATGTTAAGTGCTTTCCTCACCACTTACAGGCTAGTGTCCATTCCTTTTCCTTCAAAGATGAATGATAAGGATCTACACGCAGACTCTTTATTTTAGAGGTAATCTAAACGGATGACCTCATGACTGATCGTTTGATTTATTGTGTGATAATGCATGTCTTATGTCATGAACCCTAATGCAAGTCTCCTGTCCATTTTTTGGCACTCTTGAGTGCTAGAATTGGTACTTGGTTTTAACTTTACCTCTCAGTTGTAAATGTACCGCAGAACTTAAAAACTGGCCAGAAAATAAGACCACTGTGACAATGATTTAGCTTAAATCTTGTACCTAGTCACCTCTAGAAGAGCTGAAAAGCTATCCAGTACATTTTCAGGCTACAATCTTTTTCTCTTGTACTGTTTTGTTTTGATTTGTTTTGTTGTTTTTTTTCCATCCTCTGGTGTAGCACCAGAATTCACCCATTTATGCCCTCAGCAGGTTTATTATGACTGTAAAGGGTATCTAGAAATCCATAAATATCGAGATTCAGAAATAATTGCTTTAAGATCCCAGGAAGCAAAATGTAATGTAGTATCTTACATTTGAAAGAAAAATAAGAAAAATCCTACAACCTTCTCTCCTCTGGAAATCAGTCTGTCAATCAGTCTTTCTTAGAAGTTCACATGGGTGCATACACACACATACACACACACACACACTCACAAACACACCCACAAATCACCTTGATTTCTTCTCAGGTATACTATTAAAGCTGTGATTTACATGGCTATAGTTTTGACTCATTGGGCAAATGATAAAAAGAAATGAGAATAATAGAATCCTTTTTCAAGTAAATGTGTCAGATGATAAAACAAATAGTCATTTAGATTGACCAGGGCCGAGCAGCATGTTCCATACATTTTGCATGAAGTGGTTTTGGCCCTTTCTTCTCCCTTTCACTGGCTTTCACAAGCAAAAGGTTTAAAGTTACTTTGAAAACTGTGTGGGTGATTTCTCCCAAACCCACAGTCCAATCCTTTCATCACTGAATGAAACCATGACTAAGTGCCAGTCAAGGGTTCAAGTCATTGCCTTGACCTAGGCTCCATCCATGCCTCTTTTTGTTCGCTCATGAGGAAGCTAGCTTAATCTGGGTTAGTGGTGGAGAAATGTATTGTAGGTACTTAATAAAAAAGTACTTTAATTGTTTCAATTGCATAACCGATTGGTTTTAGTAAAGCATTGCTTACTGAGACAATGAACTGGCTTTCTTTTTTGCCGTTTAATAGCGATGGCTAGGAACTGAACGTGTGTGCCTTCGTGCATGCCTGGGTAGATAATTTGTGTTTCAAGAGTTCAGAAACAGCCAGTTGAAGTTCCAGGTTTCATTATTTTCTATGGAAAACCAGATGTGAAGCCTCACCAGAATGCATTCTGTCTCACTTCACACTCCACCTTGCCAGGGGCGCTTATATTTCTGTAATAATAGCCAGGGTTCTGTGCTTCACGGCAGCTGCTTGTAACATCTGCCAGATAATTACCAAGCTGAATCTGAATTCACCTGCCTTAACCTAAAGTGTGGGATGAATTCCTGATCAAGGAATAAAAGATTGATTGCAGTTACATTTTTCTGTGCTTGTTAATAATTACTGCTATAGACACCAGTCAAGAGCAGATGCTTTTCTGGGGGAGGTGTAGATAGGAGGGCTGTGGAAAGGGGAAAAAACAACCAGTAGCACCCACTTTTAACTACATATGTATGCATCGCACATTCAGCACAAGACACTGACATTTGTTAACACCATTGTAAAAAGATGCCGCGGCGTATGCTTCACATTCTAGATTCTCTGCAGCACCTGCTGACGATTGAGCCCCCTTTTATGTGTGAGTATCGGTGATTCAAAAGCTCATTATGGCTGTGTGTTACAACTTGTCTGTGAAAACCACTTCGTGCTTTTGTAACATCCCTATGTGGGGCTAGATCGAGAGAGAGATTCAGTGTATATACATTTTCCTTTTTTTTTTCTTCTTTATATAAGAGCGTATTTCCAACAGAGCTATGAGATGGTTACATTTTCACATTGCACTGGTGTTTGTGAACTCATTTGAAAATCATGTTTTCCTACTACTGAAGCTTTCTAGCTCTTTTGTCAGGGGGCGATCACCTCTGGATTAGTAACTGTCACATTTCAGCATCACTAATGCTGTTCTGTTTTCTTGCACTCCATGTATAACCTAAGGTTAGTTTTTGCCTTTGAGAATTTTTAACACTACTCTCAGAGAAGCCGTTTTAATGTGTTTATGCAGTTCAGTGTGTGTTTTGGTGTTCTTGGTTGGTGTCTGGAGGTTTTGTATGGCCGTGTGACCAGGCGTCTATTGTAATTTCTGTGCGTGGGTTAATGCACTGTGGGATGTTTGTTCCAGTGCCCTTGCTGTCTGTATTGGGCTAAATATGTGAACACTGCTTTCTTTCTCATTGCCCCCTAAAATATCAGAAAAATATTTCTAAAAGTCTCCCTTGGTAGACCTTAACACCTTTGAACAAACACAGAGAAGAATTCATTTTCAGCAGTGTCTCGGATAGACACCTCTTTTCCTTCTCAAACCAAACTAGTATTTAATTAAAAAATTAAACACTTTGAACTGATTATTCTTATTTTTCTTGTGTTCTAGCCTTTTTACCTCACCTAGCTTTTTTTTTCTTAAGGTTTTATTTATATGAGTTTTACCTTTACTGAACCTTCAGAAATAATTTTCAGATATAATTCAGAAATAATTTTCTTAAATAGACTTTTCAAATTTATGTTTTATATTTATTTTTCTTTGTATAAAAGACAGTCTTCTTTCCAAGTATAATGTGTTCTGCATTTTTGACTCATTATTTTTGAAGGGATAAATGCAGATTTGCTATTCAATATATTTTTGTTACACTGTGGAAGCAATGTTTTTGTAGCTGAATAAGTAAAGTAGGGCCAGAATTAGAATACAGCTCTCTCACCCACACTAGTCCTAAATCACTGAATTATGTTGTGAAAATGTCACAAAGTGTCATAAGGGTGCTGGCTTCTGCCAGAATGATTGGATGTGGGGGCCAAGCTGGCTGATGGCTCTGTTAGAACACGGTTTTACATGTGTGTTGCACTTCTTGACTTATAATAGCCTCATCAAAAGTGACATCGTTTTGTGATTGCGGATATGGAGATCCGTTAGTGGGTGATTTACCGTACCAGAACACTCCAGAGAAGCAACAGAACTCTGTCCTCTGACTCCAAACCTAAGCAACCTCACAGAGTGAATGCCTTTTATGGACTCACCAGTATATATTATATATCCTCCTCACTCAATAAATTATGCCATTAGTATACTTCTATTATTATATTATATTTTTATAATATGAAAGGTAAGCCTTTATCTTTGCCCTCCAGTACTAAGATTTTGATACTTATTATCTTCATGTGTAAGCTATGTTTAGCCAGCATAATAGTCTTCATGATTTTTGTGTTGCACATTTTTGATACATGCTTTTGTTTCTTTCCACAAATATCCTGAAATGACTTGAAGTCCTTTCTTTCACTTTCCATACCATGTATTAGTTTGAGGATCCGGAACAGACTGTTTCAACAGGTGTATCAATTGTGTAGCCTCTTAGGACAGCAGTAAACTTGAATTTTCAGATGTTGTTTCTAAGCATTATAACTATAGTCAGCACCTTGCTCAGTGCCTTCCACGTTATAGGCGTTCAGCCAGCCGGCACTTGTTGAATTAGTATGTGACCATTCAAGTGTCAGGCTTTTTCTCTGAAACCAAAATGAACATAGACATTGCTACATATTAGTAAGAGAATCTTTCTATGCACTGATAATGGTTTAACTCAGACTGAAGAGTTAATACTTTAATAAAGCTAGGATATGATTACTGATAGTACTTGTAATGTCCACAATTACTTGTGTTTTATGGGAGAATGTAATTTTGAATGCCCAGTGTTTTAGTAGAGTTTACCCTGTTTGTTTCTGCTAAGGCACCCAAAAATCTTTGGAGAAAATAAATGTTATTACTGAAAATTACTTATCTAAGGATTTCTAGATCTCTTTAATGTAAAAAAAAAAATTGCTGTTAGTCTTCTCATTTGGAAATATACATTATGCTGTTTTCCTCCCCGATATGATTATTGGTAAACAGATAATTATCAGCAGCCTTTAAATTTTTAATTTCTGTTGATTTTTTTGATTTGATTGTTTTGAAGTTTAGAGTCTCTACTGAGTAAGCTGATTTAAATGAGCTGTGTGAAAAAGTAGAGATGAGGGGACAAAATAAGTTTATTTCATATTTTGGAAGATTCTCCCAACAGGCAGAGCTTTGCTTTCATGGACTGTGTCTTGTTCCAGAATTACTTATGTACCTGCAGAATATTTGGAAGAGTTCAAAACAAGCTTGGGGCAGCAATCTGGAGGAATAATGGCACTGGATATTTTTGCTTCCTACACTGGCAGGTAAGTCTGCTATGTGAATGATCCATACAGCAAGTTATAAAGAAGAGTTTTGAATCCAGTGTCAGGGAGGCCCAGCGATGAAAAAGTCTGAATTCTTTTTCTCTCTTTCAAGATTTAAAAAAAAAAATCACCCCCATTTCCCATATTACTGGGCTTCCCTAGTGGCTCCGTGGTAAAGAATCCACCTACCAAGCAGGAGATGCAAGTTCGATCCCTGGGTTGGAAAGATCCCCTGGAGAAGGAAATGGCAACCTGCTCCAGTGTTCTTGCCTGGGAAGGCCCATGGGCAGAGGAACCTGGCGGGCAACAGTCCATGGGGTCACAAAAGAGCTGGATGTGCCTTAGCAACCAAACAACAGCAACCCATAGTACTTAAGGAGTGATCACATATTGTGGGAAATTTGGGGAAAATATGAAAAATCAAAGCAAGAAATTAAAACTGTCTTCAGTTGTATCAGTCCATATACCACTGTCAGCTTACTGAGTTTTGGGGAATTTACCTCAGATATGACTATGGTTTCACTCACTCCCTGGAACCTACAATTTGTATGGCATTGTATCACTTTTCTCTGTCATAAACATTTTCAAACTATTTACTACTCATTAACGTACATACAGATTCACAAACATTTTTTTTGACCATTCTTTTTTTTTTTTTTTAGTTGGAGGCTAATTACTTTACAAACATTTTAATGGTTATATTTCTACTCTTTTGGAGTATGCTGAGCTGAACGTCTTTGTGTATGTACAGGTTAGGTAATAGAATGTTTGGCTTTTTAAAGCCTCTTTATACACAGTGTATTGAGGACCTTTGAATAATACAGGAAATATAGTTTTTTCCTCCCTTAGGAAAGAGAAAAACTAGATTTTGATGTTGCTGCTGAGTTTAGCACAAGGAGAGAAATAATGTCAAATTGCTTTTCTGGAAAGAATACACTATACATTTTCAGCTGTGGGCCTGTTTCTTCCCAGTTACATTAGCAGCTGAGTAGCAGATTTCTCCTTAAGCATGCTGTAAAGAAGAAATAGCTTTGCAAACATTCTGAGGTCTGTTCACAAAAGTTCTAACAACCCATAACACTCTGGTGTCCAGTGACTCTGCCGGGATTATAACATCACATCACTCTTCCCCCTGCAAATTGTATGTGGCTACAGCTATGCAGACAGTGTTAAAGAAGGAAACGTTTGTTATGTGTCTAATAAAGGGAAGGAATGTCATGGCCCAAAGGGCCCCTTGAATTTTATGGGAAAAAGAGTATTCATTCCACCCTTTGCAAAGATCAGCCCTGCTTCTCTCTAGAATTTCCATCTTAGGGCTAATGACATGAATTGATTACAGCTACCTGGTACTTCCTATTAAAAAGCTAGATGCAGTAATTCCAGTGTCCCTCTGAAATACCATTTCACATGGCTTAATTAGAGAATATGACAAGATAACATGATATTCTTATGAAATTCTGAGGCCTTAAAAGCACTCACAATGTTAATATTAAAACAAAAAAGCCACTTTCAGCATGTTGGTTCTCTCCTAGTGCATAAAGGAAAAGGGCCTGAGCTGTCAATGCTGTGAATAACTGTTTCCCTGCAAAAAAGTGTATTTTCTGTTAATATAAGGATGCTCAAAACAAAAACTGTCTGCATCCTGTTTTCCTCCCTTAGGAAAGGCAGAAACTAGATTTTGATGCTGCTGCTGAGTTCAGAACAGGGAGAGAAATAATGTCAAATTGCTATCCTGAAAGGAATGCACAATACATTTTCAGCTGTGGGCCTGTATTTTTTTCAGTTATATTAACAACTGAGTAACAGATTTCTCTTTAAGCATGCAGGAGGAATCAGCACCAGAGAGATTAAGTTACTTACTCAAGTTTCATAACTAATGGGTGGAAGAATCAAGGTTAAATGCACATGGTCGGGCTCCACGTTGTTAATCGTTGGATCCAAAAAAAGAATTGTGCTAGCCCTGTATAAAAATATGGGGCGGTGTAGCATGGAGTTTAAGAGCTCAGGTTTTAGAGTAAACTGGCCCAGTTCAAGTCTCATCTCTGCTCCTTTACTGTGTGACTTTGTGCCAGTTTCTGGCATCTTAATGCACATATTAAGAGTGTTACTTGTTATAGTTGACAGAAACTTACTTGATATTCAACAATCAAACATGAGTGCCGAGAAGTCTAATTGATTCTTGGCTGAGTCAGTGTGGGGACACAGAACAGGTTCATTCTGCTGAGGCGCACACAGCTTGAGTCCTGTAAACCCCGCCTGAAGATGGATAAAGAATAACCAGCACATTTATAGGACGTATCTGGGTTAGTGAAATGGTTCAAGATTGGACAGTCATCTGAAGAGAATGGGGCTTTTTGTATGAGAAGACTCCAGGTATTTGTCATCTTATAGCTCACAAGCCAGGAGCTTATGATGCGATCTGTGTGACTGCATCTGAGCAGCTCCCCTTACCTGGGCTTTAGGGTAATAACCGCATATTTTAGAGAAGGACTATTTCTTTCTTCCCATTCCTCTCTGTATTCTGTACCCTCTTTTTCTGTCATATTCTCCCCAGTGGTATTTCCAGAGGGTTGGGCTCTGCTTCCCCCCACTGTCTTGCACCTTGCAGATTGAGGTTCACTCAGACTATTTCATTCTCAATCAGCTTCTTAACATCATTTTGAAAATCTTTCTTTGGCTCCATTCCTGACAGTCCTGTCCCACAGTCAGGCTTAGTCTCTGCGAGCCCAGCCTCATCCAGAGTCTCCTTCCTCAATTACAGAAGGAGAATTCTGTCACACGACCGGTAGGTAGGAACCACAGGCAGGTGGATTTCCCTCTGACAGATGAAAAGCAAAGATCTAACTTTCAGGTCAAAGAAAGAGTGAGACGTTCTGGGAGAGCCCGGACAGTTGTTTGGCAGAAATGTTGGGAAACACATTCAAGCACAGATGGATTATTAGATTAGATGACTTCTGATCTCAAGGTCTGAAGATGATATAATTTGACAGAGTTCAGTATTCCTGTTGAGGGAGAATGGATATAACTTGAACATATGCTGTCTTCAGATTTTTTTTCAATTTCTGTAAGTATCAGCTGCAAGTATTTATTGAATTAGAGTTTTTAAAGCTTCCTCTATTTTAAGAATAATATATTTCTTTAGAAATCCAATTTTTCTTAACAGCATAAGACCATGCCATAATTGATTTAACCATTCTTTGTTGTCCTGACAATACCATTTATTGATGCAAAGTGTACCTTTGGTAAAAAACCAAATATTTTTGGACAAGATTATTATTTTACAGTTATATTTACAGTCAGTTAAGGGATTGGACACATTTTGTTACATGCTTGGCATTTGGCAAAATCTGAATTCCTGTAGAAATTGACAACTGACCTTGGACTCAAGTGCCTGTAAACTGCTTCCCGTAAGAATACTGTGGCTGGCTCCTTTGGATGGGCAGAATCGGACCATAAGCAGTTTCCATCTGTCTTCAAAAGGTGAAGGGAAAGCATTGGTCCATCCTGAGGAGGTAGAGATACTGCACTCCTGGCATACTTGATGTTCAACTCTGTCAGTCCAGGGATCCAGTGGGACTGTACAAGTTTATAACACACATGGGGTGTCTACCTTCTCACACATGGGAAAAATTTAGGAAATAGCTGTTGAATAGTTCTTAAAAATTCTGGCATTTCCCCATTCTTTTCATTCCCTTCCTTCCTTTGTCCATGTTTCATTAGGAAAGAAAAAGACTAGACAAGACTCATTTATAGTGCTGTATACTCAGTCATTCAGTTGTGTCTGACTGTGACCCCATGGACGGTAGCCAGCTGGGCTCCTCTGTCCAAGGATTTCGCAGGCAAGAATACTGGAGTGGGTTGCCATTCCCTTCTCCAGGGGATCTTTCCAACTGAGGGATCGAACCCACATCTGTCTTGGCAGGCAGATTCTTTACCAGTGTGCCTCCTGGGAAGTTCAGGTATAGTAGATTGATTCCAGAAAGAGGTTTTTATTTTATGTAATCAGGTTTTATTTTCCCTTTAGTGTAAAATATTATATACTTACTAGCCGAGTGTGGTGAAAATATGAAGCAGTTCTGTATTTTTAGCCAAACCAATACTAAAGTACCTAGAAGACAGCCTGTGTGGCTTTACTAGGATTGCGGAGTACTCACTGTCTGACTCTTTACCAGAGACATTCCGGAGCTACCCGAGCGAGAAGAAGGAGAGGGGGAAGAAAGTGACCTTCAAAATGCAGCCTACAGCAACTGGAATCAGCCTCGGCGGTAAGGGCTATTTCTGTCTGCTGCCTACTCAGGGTTTAAAGATAGAGAGGGGTGGTTTCAGTACTAGATTACAGCTTGCTCCTGTGACTTTGAGCAAGCTGTTTAATATCACTCACCGTCCATTTCTCTTAGGCCACAGTGGAGAAGATAGTCTGTGTCACACAGGGTTAACACTAATATGTACTTGAGGATTTGGCACATAGTAGGGACTAAATAAAATTGACTAGAGAAAATTATGCATAGGTAGTTGGAATATTTTCTGTAGAGTTTATCTTCGGCAAACCACCAAATGTTAACTTGAAATTTTTCCAGTATTTGTAGAAAGTAGATATTCAAACACATGTATTCAAAATGTGTGTGTGAGCATCTTATCATAGGCTGTGGTTATTCTAATCCATAGTCTTTCTAGAATGAATTTCATTTATAATAGGAATGATGACTTTCCTAAGTCTACTCATATATACCTCTGTATATCACTAAGGTGTATTTTCCTGTTCTGAGTAGAAGATTCAGTTTAGTAGGAATTTACTGAGTTCTGATTATTGACATGATGAGAGGCAGATAGTTTTGTAAATAACAGGGAAGTATAAGACATAAATCCTGCCTTTAAGGAAGCTACTATGTATTGATTTAGACAAGGTGTAGAGAGACACAAAATAATGAAAGAAAAATGTAAGATATTTTGCATTAAGGGTAAAATATAATCAATGGACACTTTCTATGAACAGATTTAAAGTTGACTGTCAGAGAGGTGCCTTTTACATATTTATTAACTATTTATTCTACAATGAATAAATAAAATTCTCAAGAGAGAAAAATATCTACTCTTCAGATGTGTAATACAGTTTGATGATTTGCCTAGCTCATAAATGAACTTTAGGCTGCATCACCTTTAAACATTTTCTAGGTTGAATCATGTTCAAAGTATAGGAAACCTTTTATGTTGCTTTCATAAGAAACAGCATCTCCAGCCAAATAAAATGACTTTTTGATTTGAATTTTTAAAAAATTATTCAGACTGCTTTTAAAAAAATCAAAGTCTTTCTACATTATTGCCCACATTGAGAATAGAAGTGCTAGATTTGTAGCAGAAAAAATATTTTAAGATGTTGTATGCTCAGTCACTTGATTGTGTCTAACTCTTTGCATCCCTGTGGACTGTAGCCTGCCAGGCTCCTCTGTCCATGGAATTTTCCAGGCAAGAATACTGGAGTAGGTTGCCATTTCCTACTCCAGTTATAAGATGTTAGGTTTTTTGTTTATTTGAAGATAGAGGCAGAAGTAAGTTAGATGGAATTATAAATATAGATGGAATTATAAATACTAGATGGAAATATATGTATATACACACACACATACAATGGAATATTATTACTCAGTCATAAAATAGTGATATTCTTCCATTGGCAGCATCATGGATAGACCTAGAGGCTATTTTGCAGGGTGAAATAAGTGAGATAGAGAAACCCTGTATTTTGTCACATATATGTGGGCTCTAAAAAATAAACCAATGTATATACAAGACAGAGACAGACTCACAGATATAGAAAACGAATTAGTGGTTACCAAAGAGGAGAGAAAAGGCAGGAGAGACAAATTATGGATGAGAGATTAAGAGATATAAACTACTATGTGTAAGATAATAAGTAACACAGACATACTGTATAGCACAGGGAATTATGGCCATAATCTTGTAATAATATCTAATGGAGTTAATCTGTAAAAATACTGAATCACTATACTGTGTCACTATACTTCACTTAAATAAAACATTTTTGAAAGAGTAATTACATTTTTAATTTAAAAATTAAAAAATTAGAACCTTTAACATTTGGGAGAGAATTTAATATCATAATGCACTTAAAGTCCTTAGTACAACGCTTGGTACACAGTGAAGACTCAGTCAGCGGTTGGTCTCAGCAGTCATCAGCGTCTTCTTCATTATTATTCATACCAGAGCAGGTGAAAAATGTTGAGCACAGGAATCATTATGAAATTTTCTTATGAAGAGAAATTAGGTACAACTTCTGGACCAGAAGATTTTTATACTTTTATTCTCAATCTTAACCTTTACATCATGCTAAGTGATGTCTCTAATGGTGGTAACTAGTTTACTGAGAGAGTATGTCTACAGATTCTGTAAATCTTAAAGAAGATAATCTGCTCTCACTAACCATATGGACTCCCTCAATTTTTTTTTAGGGGAGTAGTTCATAGAAGTTCATGAGGAAGCTTACCAAAATAATTAGAGCTTTTAGTAAATAAGGAGCAAGGGTCATGAATATGCTTTACAGCATTAGAAACCTGCTGGACATTCTTTCATGCAGTCAAGAAAAATTTGTAAATAACCTGTGTTACACTTCTATTTTGCATGTGATTTTCATGTGCAGGATTATATCATACTGTATGTATCACTTTCCAGCTTGCTTACTCTTAAATGAATGTCTCTGTACACTATCGTGTGGGTACAAACATATCTAATTCATTCAGTTTACTTGTGGCAGTGCCTTTCAGTATATGAATATAGCTCAGTTTATTTTCAGATTGATATTTGAATAGTTAACAGTTAATTATTATAATAATCCTGTGCAGTCTAAGTTTATTTTCTTACACATTTGGAGAATTTGTCTAGATATGTATTCCAAAGGGAAATTGCTGACTTGTAGATTTAATTCTGTTATTTACTACAAGTTGTCAAATTGCTTTTTAAGTCGGCAGTACCAATTTTTACTTTTATTTCCAACATATGAGAGCTCCCCCCTCCCCATATCTTTGTTACCACATCATATGATCACCTTTAAAAATGCTTTTATCAACCCAGTGGGTATAATATGGTACATTGAGCCCAGTTACTCTTAGCAAACAATGTGTAAGCATGGCAGATTGAGGTGCTGGTATACAGGTTTGTTCATTTGTCGTATGAATTGAGTATTATACCTTGTTGACATTATGTCAGTAATCATAGTTATCATCATCATCATAAGAGTAATCAGATTTATTGATTGCTTTACTAAGTTGTAAAACTCTGTTTTGCCCATGACATACATTCATGAATTTAATCCTCAGAGCAGCTGTCTGATGTTGGGGCTCTTGTTTGATCTATTTTCCAACTGAGGAAAGGAAAAGAGAGACTAAGGGAGTAAAAGAGGGTCACTCCGTTGTTAAGTAGCAGAAGGGCAAGAATTGAGCCCAGAAACTCTTGATTCAGAGTTCAGGCAACCTGGCCTCAGAGCTCTATTTTACCTTGATTTTATTCATTTCACTTTTTGAGAATCTGTGTTCTCCAGAAAGGCTGATATTTTCTGTAAAACCAGCTCTGCACATGTTCTGTACAATTTTTCTTTTATGGGTTTCTTATTTTCTTTGGCAACCCACTCCAGTACTCTTGCCTGGAGAATCCCATGGAGGGAGGAACCTGGTAAGCTACAGTCCATGGGGTCGCAGAGAGTCAGACACGACTGAGCGACTTCACTTTCTTTCTTTTTTCTTGCTATTTTCTTTTTAACATGGAATGTTGATCATGTTCTGCTTCATGAATCCTGGGTTGGTTCCTCAGTGCTGGGGTCATTTTGGCAGCTCTGTTTTTGGTTATCTGCTCTGATGTTTTGAAGACTTACAGCATTTCCTCTTAAGACTGGATCTAATACCACTTTGCTGTCTATGCTACATCCTGAGGAGGCACGGGGTACTGGTATCCAAAGGCTGGTTAACCTCTGTGCCTCTTCCGTTTGTAAAACACAGTGACAAGAGCATCCACCTCACAGGAGTGACTTGAAAATAAAATCAAAGTATATGGAACTTACTTGGAGAATAAGGCTGAGTACATAAGCCCTTAATGAGTTTTTGCTGCGACTGCCATTTTTAGTGTTCAGAGAATCATGAGAACCATTCTCTAACAATATCAACTACTAAGAATCTACGAGTCATTTTCTTTCATGCTTTTATTTTTTTCATTTTTAAAAGAAGAGGGAATGAGTCCCACCTATATATTCTGGATTTTTAAGTATTAAAGACAGTGGCTGACTCGACTGACTTTACTACTTTGCCGTTTTACCTTAGAAATCGGAAGAAATTGGTTCTTGTCTTTCACAGAATTACTAGAATGAAAGAAAGTGATGAAAAGAATTTTAACTAGCTTTTCTCACAGATTTGCTAAGATGAAGAATCATAGTGAGATCCCTTTAAACTAAACCACGGACCTCTAGGTCTTAGATTTCTAATAAAGGAAAAAAGTGCTGACCAGAGCAAAGAAGTATTTCCTCACCTGCCTCCTGTGACCAGTTGTCCCTCCTCTCACTTCACTGTGGTGCTTTTTTACCCCAGTTTTTTCTTACCAGGATCTCCCTCAGCACCTGGGAGTCTTACCTCCAGCCTTTTGTTTCCTTTGGGAGCACGTCAAGGTTGAGGGTATGCGAGACCATGCTTTCTTCTCCTGTCTGATGTCCAGCATTGCCTCCCTTCCTGCAACTTAAAGTAGAATGCAGAGTCTCGTTACCTGTCTTCGAACTTTCTACTTGGTATCCCTGTTTGCTTCCAGTCATCTGAGCCCCTACATCTTGGCCAAACACCTTGCTGCTAATCACCTTATTCTTGTATCCCGGCCTTTTCATAAGACATGTGCTTTCAGTTCATCCATGGTTCTGACCGCTATCTACAGGTATTAGGTATGAGTTCATGTGCTTATTACGTGGGTGGAGGAAGTACGTTTAGGGCAGAGGCAGTAGCAAGCGCCAAGGCCCCAGGGCGGGAGATGAAGCTCAGCAACACCAAGAGGGTGTGGTAGCCAGAGGGGAAAGAGGAGAGTGGAGAGCTGAGGAGGATGTGATGGAGATGGCGATGGGCTCGGATCACGGAGGATTGTGTTAGCAACCACTCTTCATGCCCCGACTGTTAGTTTCTAGGTCTGTGTTGGCGAGGCAGACTATTGCAGAGGTAAGCTTCTCAATCAGTATATACAGGAATGTTCACTCTCTTAACTGGGTTGCTAAGCTTAGAAGCTACCATCTGTTTGAGAGTAGCTGAATTTTTTAATGTCTGCAGTATTAGAGCCCCTGGAAAATGGTCCTTTTATATTCATTTGTGCCACAGCCTGGAGTATGAGCCTAATATTAACTTGTAACAAATCAGTTTCAGAAATATATTATTAATAGTATTTATCAGACCCTGTAAAACAGTTAATTGGAAAAGTAATTTATAGTGATTTTGTCTTACTATTGGTAAAACCTTAACAAATTGAGCAAATGATATTTACAAAACTTACATCTTATTCCTTTGAATTTTTAAAAATGTTTTTAGTATTATTATTGTTTTTAACCATTTGAACCATTTTTAATCTTGTAGGTTAGTGGCCTAAAGTGTGTTCACGTTGCTTTGTAACCATCACCTCCATCCACCTCTGGAACTTTTTTGATCTTGAGAAACTGACACTCTCTACCCACTAAATAGTTACCTCTTATTTCCTCCTCCCTGCATCATCTAGCAACCACTGTTCTCCATTAGTCTCTGTGAATTTGACTATTCTAGGTACATTGTATAAGTGGAATCATATAGGATTTGTCCTTTATTTCATTTAGCATAGTGTTCTCAAAGATGATCTATGTCTTAGCATGTATCAGAATTTCCTTCCTTTTTAAGGCTGAATATTATTCCTTAGTATTTATATGCCTTTTGTTGATTCATTCATCTATTCATTGGCACTTGGGTTGCTTCTACCTTTTGGCTTATGAATAATATTTTATTATTATGAATATTTCTGTGAACATACTATACATGTATGTCTTCAAGACCTTGCTTTGAAGTCTTTTGGGTATGTACCCAGGAGTGGAATTGCCAGATCATATGTTAATTCTGTTTTTATTTTGAGGAATTTCTATACTCTTTTTCCATAGCAACTGCAACATTTCACATGGGTACGAACAGCGCACAAGGCTCCTAATTTCTCCATAATTTGTACAATTTCTCCCTGCCCAACTTCCTTTCTTTTTTTTTTTGCATTAGCCACCTTACTGAGTGTGAGGGGGTATTTCTTAGCAGTTTTTTTGTTGTTGCCCTGGGTCTTCATTGCTGTGCATGGGCTTTGTCTAGTTACAGCAGGTGGGGGCTGCTCGCCAGATGCGGTGTGTGGGCTTCTCCTTGCAGTGGCTTCTGTTGTTGCAGAGCATGGACTAGAGGTGCACGGGCTTCAGTAGTGGCAGCACGTGGGCTCATAGCAGTGTTGATTCACCTAATGGTTAGTGATATTGAGCATCTTTTTATGTGCTTATAGTCTTTCATCCCCAGAGAAATATCTAGTCAAGTTCTTTGCCCAATTTTGATTGTTTTCTTTTGTTGTTATCATTGAGTTTTAGGGGTTCTATGTATATTCTGGATGTTCATCCCTTATCAGATTTGTGGTTTGCAAATATTTTCCCTTTCTTTGGGTTGCTATTTTACTCATTTGATAGTGCTTTTCGATGGAAAAAAGCTTTTACTTTTGCTGACGCCCAATTTGTCCATTTTTAATTTGCTGCCTGTGCTTTTGGTGTTATAGCCAAGAAATCATTGCCAAACCATTGCCAACTTTACGAGGCTTTCTCCTTGTACTTTCTTATGAGACTTTAAAATTTTCTTTATTTTTTATAGGGTTGAACTTTGGCGAGAACCAAGCAAATCCTTGGGCATCAGCATTGTTGGTGGACGAGGGATGGGGAGTCGTCTAAGCAATGGTGAAGTGATGAGGGGCATTTTCATCAAACATGTTCTTGAAGATAGTCCAGCTGGCAAAAATGGAACCCTGAAACCTGGAGATAGAATAGTAGAGGTACCCTCCACTTAGCTTTCTGTGCTAAAATTACTCACCTGGGCCATCCTCTTTACCAAGGGAATCATCATCTTTGCACTGACTCAACACTCGAGTAAAATATGTTTGTTGTTAAAGAATTTCTTTCTTATTTCTTTGTTTTCATCCATAATTTTTATCTTCAGTATATGATGACAAATTATATATATATTGATAGGTGTTTGGAGGTATAACCAACTGTTTTAAAAAATGTTTGTGCTGAGATAAATTACTAAGTTCAGTTAAAAAAACAAAGCAAATTTCTTGGGGAATGATGAAATTGTTTAAAGTATGTGTACACACACAAAATGTATACATCACAGTTGAACACTCAGATGAGACTTTATTTCAGGAAATACCTAAATGTTGTTGGATAAGATTTTTTTAAATGAGTCTTCTTGGTAAAGTTTTTTATGCTAATATCCTCATTACCTTTTATAGAAAGGTCTCCCCACCACCCCCACAAACCCAAGTTTGGCTTTTCCTCCATATCATTGCTTTGCCCATTCCTCACTCATCACCGAGGGCTGTGTGTATGAGTATGCACATGTGCATTGGTATGTATGTGCATGTATGTACACATTTCATTATATGTGAGAGAGAAGCATTTGGTCAAATTGTATCTAATCCCTTCATTCAAAGCTAAGTTTAATATTTTATATCTACTCTTCTCACAAGTCACTCATCATTTACTCAACAAGTATTCCTAGAGCAACTGTTGCATTCCAGGTGCTATAACAGGCTCTGCGCATCCCACAGTAAATAAAACATCCAGCCTGCCTGTCAAGTGGAACAGACCTGACAAGTAATCAGGTCACTTCAGAATAGTGTGATGAATTATTTGATTAACATAAGCATAGTTTTAGTAAATGTGTAGAGGAAGGTCAGCAAATCCTGACCCAGATTTGCTGGGTTGTCAGGAGGTAGAGAGTCAATTAAGAGAGACAACTTCCAAACAAAAACCAACCGATCACTTTGTTACTATAGCAACCATTATTTTTACTTTGTACAAGTGATTGTCTCTCATTTTCTAAGTCCATATAACTTACACACTAAGATGCCTTAATTGTGTAGAGGGAGGTGGTAAAATCAGCCACAACGTGAACATTGTGGGCGTTGATCTATTGTTTAAAGTATATGTACACTGGGAACTGACAGAAGATTGGAGACTTGAGAGAAAGCAAGGGCTCTGTTTGCTGTTTCCTTTTCTTCTTCTGACCGTTTATAAGGAAGAATGATGGGGTTTTTTTCTCTCTCTTCCTATGTCTTTGCTCTTCATTAAATGATACCTTAGCCCCATGTTAAAGAATTCTTTCTTCATTAGAGTACTACATGAAATTTCTAATTTGTTTGTCCAAGGCAATTTATTTTATGAGTACTTGACTACTGAATACTTTTGACCTAAGTAGAAAAATTAAGGAATGTTTATAATTATTTTGAGAAATGATTAATCATACTTTGCACCAAAATGTTGTTTTAATGTATCAGTATAGTTAAACACCCCTTTGAAATTGAAACAAAGTTTTTTTCCGTGTGCTAAAATACTGCTCAGTGGCAGTTTCTTGAATGCAATTATGTGCAGGGCCCTTTTTCAATAAATAAGAAAGCCTTAGGCCTCTGTGCTCCTTGGAATTCTCGAACATGACTCTGCTAAGAATCTCTCATAATCTAGAGACCTATGAAATATTCCATGAAAAGTATACAGTTCTTTGGACTTGAGCAAAGATATTTAATTTTCTGTTACATTTTCCCACTAATGAAATATATACTAAACATATATACTTTTATTTTGCAAAAAGTTAGAAGCCATTTTTAATATGCACTGAAAGAGATGTTGCTATTTCATCTAAGTATCAACCTGAGAGAAGTTTAAAATAAAATACAGTGTATAATTATTTTAAAGGTGATAAGCTTCTTCTCAGAAATCTAATAATTTTATTTTTCAGAATTGTGTCTACTCTGATTTTGCTTTTTTTATTGTATATATCATTCTCTGGTAATTGGAAATGTTAAAAGTATACCAGTATCCTGTAGTTTTCTGGCAGGATTAGCATTTGGCCTTTCAGACTGTTCTCCTTCCTGTTCATGTAGTGCGTAAGCTGAGCTGATCATTACCCAGGCAAGCCGTGGTCAATAAAAAGTTCCAAAATAAGTTTCATTCTCAAGCTATTTATACAAGGTTTGCTAACAAGTAAGCACAATTTCTTGGCTTCCAACTCGTGTCATGTCTACTGCAAAGATACTTTTGCCAAACGAACCTTACCATAACCTGATTTTTCTGTACATCAGAATTTTGTTTTTAACTTCAGGCTTCCCTAACAGAAATACACAAAACATCACACACCCACTTCCCAGACTGCTCTGTGATGACTGGGAAGAAAATTTGTACAGTGACTTTTATGATGAAAACAGTGCTACTAGGCAGTTCCCTTGTATTATTTCTCTGATGGTGTGATTTGTCAATTTAAAGGAACAACTGGGCAGTGTAAGGGAAGCAGAAGCAGAGCCTTCATTCTAGTTGATTATTATTTCAGTTGATTTTTGGAGACATAAATCTGTGTCCAAAACAAGGGACCACAAGTCTGCTGGACAGATGAAAAATTCTGGAGCCTCACAAGTAGTCTCAATTATTTTTGAATCTAAAAAAGATTTTTTAGGAGCGTCACCCAGGATTCTCAAAACTCCAAATCAGCAAATTGTTCTGTTGTTCTATAGCTTCTTAAAATGTTAAGCTGAGGCCTTCCATTGCAGGTGGATGGCATGGACCTCAGAGATGCAAGCCATGAACAAGCTGTGGAAGCCATTCGGAAGGCAGGCAGCCCTGTAGTCTTTGTGGTACAGAGCATTGTAAACAGACCAAGGGTAAGCGGAAACAGAGGGCACGGTAGGCGTGTCCAACAGTGTTCAACTGGTGGCTAACGTGTCCAGGGCCAAGTTGTTTCTGGGACCCGAGATCGAGCCTTGAAATCTCCGGAGACTTTTAAAAAGTTTGTTCTGCTTTTTTTCCCCATTGAGTTATCCTGAAAATCCTCCTACCATGTATAGCAGACACTTGAAGCCTGTTGAAAACACACAGAAGCAGGATTCACTGGTGGCCCATAGGCATCGAGGTAGATAGTCATTAGTTTCACTATAGTCATAAAATATGTAAGTTGTTAAGAAGGATATGGTGGAGTTATTCAGGTTGATAGTCTGTGACATCTAGTCAGGTCTCTGAGAAACTAGAGAGAGTTCATTTTCTTTATAAATTTAGAATTTCTAGTATGCAATCTGTGATTTCCTGTGCATGGTCTTTAATGCATCTGTCCATCCTAGTGGACATTAGCTTTGCATATGATGGATTTTTTGTTTGTTTAAGCTGTACATTTATATACTCAGAATTTCATACCTGCTGTTTCCCAGCCACCGTCACTGAATAGCTCCCATCACTGTGTAGCCCCTGGTGGACAGAGACCTATTAATCCATTTTACTGTTGGTTATTACAAGTGAAATGGCTTTAAAAATATTTTAGAAGTCTAAGCACATCCAGTACATGTTGTTGATGAAGATACCAAGAGAAGCTTTGTATATTTGATAGGTTGCCAAAGATGAACATTATGCCAGTAGTTTTAAACTATTTTTTCTATATCTTCTTTATGCCTCAGTGGAAAAAACATTTTTTTTTTTTTTCCCTGTGCAGTAGCTCTTAAACATACTGGGCCTTAGAAAGTTCTTGAGATTTACTGAGAAGTTAGCGTAGCATTTCAGCAGTTTCTTAGAAGTCCTGAGGCTCATACAGGGTCCACTTCTGGATATAAGAATCTCTGTCATACTGATTCTTTTTGAAATAACTGCTTTTTAGCTTTTAGGGTTTGTTGTCTTTAAAAGGAAAATATTAACACATGTAAGAAAAGTGAAAAAGATCATCTGAAATTTAAACTGTGTAATTTTATTCATACAATATATTTAATTTTAATTTTTAAAGTTAAAAATATAAGATAGCAATTTCAAGTTACGGAGGAAGCAGCGTAGTGAAAAGGTTTTTAGAGATCAGTAAAAGAAACTTTTCAATATTCGCTGCCCCAGGAAACAAACTGACCAGATTTATCTTGTTGGTTTCTCCTTTGGTCGTCATGACAGGTGAGGCTCTGGTCTGAGTTCACTCTAAGAAATGAATTAGTAGTTCCTAATGTAAGTAGTTATCTTCACATTTGCAGTTTTTAATCATTCAGTTATTTATTGTTAGGTGATAATTATCCATTCAGATAAGAAAATCTGCCAAATGGTGGGACCAGATCATCCTAAATTCTTTTCAAATGCTGTTCAGTTTGTTTAAATAACTACAGATCTTTCATTTGTTTCCACTTGCTATGTTAAACATAGACACAGCATGATGATGTTGGTAAATGGCTGTTTAAGTTAAAGCTGTTTTTTGTGTGGGGGGGGTGGGTTTTATTTTTGTATTTTTACTTTCCAACTTTTGTATCATTTAGGACAGTACTACAAACTGCTGAGTCGGATTCTCAGATTACTTTTAAACTGCAAATATTTGTTTCAGTGCCAAGTTGCATTTTCTAATGTCCTGGAAAGATATTTTCTCATGCACCTGGAAAATATTCCTGTATTATTATCTGAAGTATAATGACACCTGATTTATAGTAATATTCCAGAATAAATCTTGCTTAGAATGACGTGTAATCACATGATACATGACAGGGTTTAGGACCTGATACCCTAAAACAAAACACCTTGGCATACTGAATATTTAAATAGAAGTTATTTGAGAAAAGGCAGGTGCTAGAAGGACTCTGACCTCTCCTTTCTCCCCTGAAGCAAGTCATAAGACTCTCCTGAGAGATCTTTAGGAGAGGCACATCCTTACCTCCAGATGAGGAGGACCCCTGAGAGGAATCTGAATGAACAGGCTTTGCTAAGTTTTCCAGTTAACTATGCGTAGCTCATGCTGTTTGTCCTGTCATATTTTCCCCAACTTTCTACTCTTCATCAGACCTCCCATAAAAGCACTCAGACTTAACCATTTCTTCTGGTCTTCGTTTCCCAGTGGAGGCTCTTGTCACACAGAACTTAGGTTACATCAGTATGCATGTTTTTTTCTCATTAATTTGTTGTTTGTTACAGAGATCCAACCAAGAGTCTTAAGATGGGTACAGGAAAGATCTCTTTCCTCCTCTACAGTAATATTTTGCTTTGGGAAATGAGAAAAAAAAATTGTATTTAAAATGAGATATTGGGCTTCCCAGGTGGTGCCACCTGCACCCGCCTGCAAATGCAGAAGACATGATGCAGCTGCAGTCGCTGGGTCCAGTAGGTCTCCTGGAGGAGGACATGGCAACCACTCCAGTATTTTTGCCTGGAGAATCCCATGGACAAAGGAGCCTGGCAGCCTTCAGTCCATAGGGTTGCAAAGAGTTGGATATGACTGCAGTGACTTAGGACTTCCCCAGTAGCATAGTGGGTAAAGAATTTGCCTGCAGTGCAGGTAGATGTGGGTTCGATCCCTGGGTTAGGAAGATCCTCTGGAGAAGGAAACGGCTATGCCCTCCAGTATCCGCGGCTGAAAAATCCCATGGAAAGAGAGCCTGGCGGGCTACAGTTCATGGGGTCACAAAAGTTGGATACACCTTAGCATGCACACCCTAGCACAGTACAACAAAATGAGATATACTTAGTTTTCAGTAATTTACTTATCTGTGGAATTAATTGTGTCTCCAGGAATCTACAGGGGAAAATATCATAAGTACTTCAGAGTTTTTTTGGGCTTCCGTGGTGGCTCAGTGGTACAGAATCTGCCTGCCAGTGCAGGAGACATGGGTTCCATCCCTGGGTTGGGAAGATTCCCTGGAGGAGGAGATAGCAACCCAGTCCAGCATTCTTGCCTGGAGAGTCCCATGGACAGAAGGGCCTAGCAGGCTACAGTCCATTGGGTCGGTTGCAGAGTCAGACACAACTTAGTGAGCAAACAAGAGTCTCTTAATGGTAAATGTTTTATTTGTGGATATAATAAAGCATCAAGAAAATCTTGTACATAGACTGAAAACTAGTCAGTGTTTTTAGCTCTTCAACTGTTCAAGAATTAGAACTTCCCAGAACTAACCCTGATAATTCCACCGGTATGACAGTTCACAGTTCAGTCTGACCACATTGTCATATTAAGGGGTGGGCCCCACTAATTTGGGCCAGATGAGGATTTTGTCTTCCCTGTGCTTCTTAGCTAATAAAATTTCTATTTTTTATCAGCCCTTGGAGCTATAAACACAAGTTTCGTCATTGATTTTTTAATGAGAAATGTACTCTCCCTGTAAATCCTTCCCTAATAATAGAATGTTCTGCTGTTTCATGTGCTGTGCTCACCCTGTACTTTTATACTCTCCTTTCAGGGCCAAATTCTAATCCTAAGTGAGCTGCAAGTTGAAAAAGCAAAAAGCAAAGCCAAACAAAAAAAACCAGAGCTCTTTTCAAATATTCCATTTCTTGTCGTCATTGTTCTGATTCATCTTGTTCTACAGAATTATAAAGGCAATGTAAAACCTTACAATTCCATGTATGAGGATTAGAAATAATCTACCTTCCATAACATTGAGTTATTTTGCCTAGGATGTGTTTTTAATCTCTGCCTGGTCATTTCTTCCACCTTAATAAATGGGTTTTTTTTGCGTTTGTGATTTTCCCTTTTGTAAAGCAGGAGTTGACATTTTAAATAGAAAAGCAGAGGGAAAGTTGAGATGAGCAGAAATGTCAGCGTGCCCATTTCTTTTGCCCATCTTCCTTCTGTAGGAGAAAACTTTGTAGGAAGAGCAGATTGAAAGGGTGATGTGGCATAAGCTTTAGTATAGCAGTACTGAGTGAGGGTTGTCTTTGTAGAGGGCAGGGTGGTGTCACATGACAACCTCTTCCTACTCTCGATGCTCGCCAGTAGGGCTTTTTTATAGAGAGAAGTAACACAAACAGTTAATTAGAGCCAAACAGAATTTTAAATGTCTGCAATTTCCTCTGAAAGATACAGTCAATAAAAGAAAAAGTAGTGTGAAAAAAAATTTATTGTGCTAAGGAAATTACTTTTTTTTACTATGAAAATGCTACATTCTCCTTGGCAGTCATCCTGCCTGTAATATGTATATTCAACACCAGTAGTCCAAGCTCAGGATATATCAGGCGAGCCATAAAACCTATGTGAACACTCTTAAGGCAGGATTTCAGATATTACCCAGACCTCATATATTCCCCAATAAGATGGGAACTTTTATAGGAAATTAAAAATAGCTGTCTGTCTATATTTTGTGGTGTTCGTAGCACCACAAAAAGTGGGCAGAATAGGGAACACCACTATAGGAAGTGGTTCATTTCTTTAAAAATTACTGATTTCCTTGTTTAAATACTACTATTGATTGAAGCAACCTTAAAATTTAATCAAGGTATAAAGAGACTCCTAACTGGGAAACAAAATAACAGAACACTGAAGATTACCAGTGGGCTAGAAGACACATGTTTAATTTACATTCTGCAACTGATAGACTCTTATTTATTTATTTTTTTTACCAAAACAGCATAATTTGCTCCTAAGTAAAAATGAAAAACCATTTATGGTTTTTAATATTGAAGCATGTTTACTGATATGCATGGAACATATGTTAATATAAGTGGGTGAAATATATATGCTTATCTGTTGGTGATAGTGACAACATTCAATGAAAATGAAAGAAACTTGGGGCCAGTTTGATAGACTTGCTTCTTGACGTGTTTTGTGGCCAGATTTAGATTTGAGTGTGGATTCACATTGCTCTAGGAAACACTTAGTTCTAGACTGTTTGATAAGATGTTATTAATGATGATATCTGATAGGATCTGATGTCACGTAGTTATTGAAATCAGTAATTACTCTGTCCTATAATGGAGTTGTTTTAAATACATTTCTCCTGCGCTCAGCGCCTCTTATGTTTCCTTTTAGAAATCCCCTTTGCCTTCCTTGCCGCACAACCTTTACCCTAAGTACAAGTTCAACAGCACTAACCCATTTGCTGATTCTCTACAGTTCAACGCTGACAAGGTTGGATAATGACCATTGTCTTGCCATTGCCTTTTTCTGATGTTTTGTTCTTTGTTGCTACTGTGCCTTTGTCCCAGTTCACTGTTGACTGAATTTGGGCAAGGAAAGAAAACAACTGTGTGTTTGGAGTGGGCATGCAAATCCTTTCTTAAGCACATTTTCTTGTCAGAACCTATTCATTTTTATAGCTGAAATTAGATGGCCCTTCTGAAGAGTAAGGGAAAATCGTGAGTCCACTGCCCTTCTTATATTTTGGTATGAATTGAATTTTCAGATATGTAAATTTTTGTTAGTTGCAAAACATATAAGCTACTTTCATACATAATTTCTCTAAAAACCTTGTATTAAGTCCTTCTCAGACTTATACAAGGTGGTCCTCAAAGCTCTTCTTTAGTTAATCAGCCCACACATAATTGTGTGTGTGCGAGAATCTGTTGAATATTCATAAAGGATGTCCATGTAAATGCCTGATGAGGAAACAGGGAACTGTTTCAACAATTGTAAATCTATACTTGGATTTGTCATATTCTGATGAAATTATAAATCCAAAAATGAAACAAAAACGAGAATTTGTATACTGTAATTTGATTGTGAAAGGAGAAAAGCTTTTAACAGTTTTTTTCAGGGAGCATTTTATGAATATTCATTGGATTTTCATGTTATTGTAATACAGATAATCAAAGATGCTGTATCTGAAGGAATATGTTTTCTGTTACTGTAGGCATTACAGAATTCAAGTAGAGTTCTCTTCCGTTGTTCCCCAACTAATCCTTTTGCTCCCACACCATTTAAGGTTTGTCTTAGTGTGAAATTCTCATGAGTCAGTGAGTGTGTTACAGTGTGCTATGCGTGTACATTATACTTGTGTGCATACATGGCATGGCGTGATTTCAAGTACACTGCATTTTTGCCAGTGAAGGCTGAATGGTCTTCGTCAAAGAATTGTGTTTTTGTGGATAAATTTTTAGAAGTCAGCAGCAAGCTAAATTTCACAATCTCAATAAGAATGAGAGTATCAGGCATAACAAAATAGAACACTTATTTCCTTTTTAGTAAATGCAGGCTTATATTGGCTTTATGATTAACCAGCTATGTTAGGGCAACATTTGAATTTATTCACGGTATGAAAATTTTCTGCCTAAGTAAGATCCTGAATAGTTTTTAGACAAGTGAATTTTGTTTGTTCATTTGTTTTTAAGGAAATAACAGCTCAGGAAAGTTATGCAGAGAGTAAGATCTATAAAATTTGCATCTGTAAATTTTTTAAAATTATGACAAGTTTAAGTTAGACTTGATTCTACTTTTTCAAAATGAAATGGGCTTAATTCATGCTTCTCAAATTTTCCATTGTTAGTAAATTTTTAAAAGAATTTTAATGAGAAAAATTCTAAATTACATGTTTCTCCCTACTTTAGTATCATTATTGACCCTTCTGGATCAAATGAAGTTTTTTATTTGTTTGTTCTTATGTATTTGTACATTGCTTTTTTGAAAGTTTTATGGCACAGCACTTGGGAAGATAACAGGATTCTGTTGGCACTGGTAGATTTTGTCTGTTTGGCCAATGGTATGTAAACTAAGCATTTTAAATACAGCAGATTCTGTGACTTGAAAATTTGTTGCCCATCCATTAGTGGCTGTCAATCAGCTCACCTGTGCTTTGCCAGAAAAATAGTAATTCATTGTTACCAGGACCATTTTGTGGGTAGGTGTCTGAATCATTAAAGAAAGATCATATTCAGCACCCTGTGATTTTATTTTTAGGTATATTTTGACTCTTAACACCATTGAATAATTTCTAAGTATTTGTACATTCCTTTTATTTACTATATTCTGTAAGAAGTACTTTTAATCACATTTTTTTTCCAGATATACATGTGTAAAATAAAATGAGGCAAATCAGAGGGATTTTTGTATAGGAAAAAAAAAACAGAGAAAGGAGGAGAAATGTCGGCTCAAGGCATCAGGGACAGCCTGACACTGGGGTTGGAATTTTAACTGGGCATCTGTGACCCTTGTTTTAGGTCCTCTGTGTCTTACTGTAGAAACTGGAGGAGAAGACATGATACAGTGGGAAGTGCATTGGGTAGGTTAGAAATTAAGCAAAGAGAAGTCTAGTTTCACTAGGTTATTCTGAACAAAATTTTTCGCTTCTCATGGCCTTGGCCTTTAACCTGTAAAGTGACTTAAAGACGTTTCTAACTCTAATCTGCTTGAGAATCTTTAATACAAAACCTTGACCTACTATGCTTCAATTAAGAAAAGGAAAGAACCCGATGATACCAAATCCTTTTTTTTTTTTTTTTTTAAATTAAGACTTGTAGACTTAAGTGACAGCACACATACCAACCAAGCTTTGGGTTTTTATGAAGTATTCAACCCTGTTTTTCCATTTATGTTTAGGGCTACCTTGGCAAGCGGATGGTGGTTTTGTCCCTTAAAACTAGCCCCTCAGATCTGAATTTGTGTGCTCTTTGCTAACAAACAGTCACCCTGGTAGAGGCTCCTGCATGTGCAGTGCTTATTTCATGAATTTGTTGAGTCGTGTGGAGAGAGGATTCAGGTAGCAATAGAAATATTTATATATAATCTCACTAAAAGCTTTGAATTGCTTTGTTCAATTACATGATTAACTTTGATAGTTTGTTTCCAGTTTCTTGGAAGAATTTTATAGACTTCCACAGTCTTGTCCAGATGAGTTTTGAATGAGAATTTTTTTCCCAAAACACGAAATTTGTACAACTTTCCATCTTCAGTTATTTAAGCCTGCAAATTGAGTAATTCTTCACCTAAAATACCATGTAATCACTTAATGGATTATGCTCTGAACATACTGATTTGTTTAGTGTATTTAAACTTTACCTGAATCCTGTCTGCCATTTTTATATATGTGTATCTTCCCATTATTTAATATGTTAGATATTTTAAAGCTAATAGTTTGGTTTCTGATGTTGCAGTCTGACTTCTTTTCCTTGAATTTTCCTTCCTTAGACTGCACATACCCACTGCATTCTTCTTGTTCCCACAGGTGCCCAGTCAGTCAGAATCAGAGTCAGAAAAGCTTCCTCTATGCCACTCACCTCCACCCCTACCTCCAGTGTTGGCAGAAATGAGTGGGGATCACGCTCTGTCATCTGCAAATGAAACCTCAGAAGATGTGGATGAAGAGGATGAATTTGGTTACAGCTGGAGTAAGTTGTCTGTTTCAAATGCATTGACTTGTAAGAGGTATCAAACTGTTCATAGCTCTGGGTCTCTCAAGGCTTATGCCTCAGCTGGGTAAGTACATTTCATCTTCAGTTACACGTAATGCAGTTTTGTGTAGAAAAAAACTAATTTTGTTGTACTTGAATATAACACACATTCCTGAGGCACGAAATCACCTTTTTTCTGTTTTTTAAATCTGCAACGCTGTTCAGGCCCACTTTGCATTTTTCTGCAAGTTGAGGTGGTCAGGGCACTCTGTCCGAAGCTGTACTGGATCAGCCCTCTCATGGTTTCCAACAGAGCATCACCCCTTTTAGGCCTCAAATTCTTCATTATAAAATCTATTTGTTGTTGCTGTTTGAACAGCCTGGAATTTAGGTATTTCTGTACTGACATGGTAACATAGTGTAAGTGTTGAGATTAAAAACTGGGGGCATTGGGAAGTTGTTTAACAACCTCTAAGTTGTAGTGGGGTGGTTATCCCCCCTTTTAAATGTGCTTTCTGCCTCAGGTTGCTAAAGGTTAATTAGATAATGTCTGAGCACAACGCTTTATGCACAGGAATCGTTTGAAGGCAGTTGGGAGTGTCTCTGTTTCCTAACGAAATAAGCCATTTTACAGAGGTTAGCCCAAAGTTATGTGTCAGTGCTTTAAAAAGTTTCATTTAAAAAAATGTAATTGTTTTCCTTAAGAATACTGTGGTGTGTGCTTTGGGGAAGTACAGAGTATAAAATTTGTACTGCTAGATTCTAGAAGGAGTCAGGAAATGGCAGTGTATGAAATTGATGCAATTAAGAATTAATACAGAATGCATTACATTAACCCCTTAGTAAGATTTCCTAAGGGATGATTTGTAAAGTTTGCAGTTTTCTTAGTTTTATTTCTAATGAAATTAGAATATTTTGCTAATCCATCAAACTGGCCAGAAAGTACTCTGAGGAAAACATGGAATGGAATGTTTCAGTTACCTATAATCATATTCCAAGCCACTCCAGAACTTAATGGCTCAAGAAAACAGGTTATTAGCTCCCTCACGTGTCTGGTGGTTAGTGTTAGCCACTAGCTGGTTGGTCATCTGGGCCTGGGACACCTACCAGATTACAGAATTAATTCTACCTTTTGAACATGGGAGATGAGAGATAATGAAAGGTCTCATTTAATGAGAACAAGTACGTCCATGTGCCCTGGTTGGATGGCTCTGTGTGATAAGAAAACCCATTCCATCTAATCTGGATCTGTGTATCCAGTACCACCCAGCACGATGCAATGTGCAGTGTCCGTGTTGCTCTGGGAGAAAAGTTTCCCCTGACCATGGAAGACAAATCCTCTGGATGTTCTATTCTCTGTAAATGATAAAGTAGCTTTCTGTTTTAATCACAGTCTTTGGAGAGCTTATTCACATGATCACGTGGAACACTTCTTTGGGTCTGCTCACCTCAGGTGAACTGATAAGTCAGACACTGTACTCTCTGCATCCTAGAGGCAGAGAAGCTACTCAGAATTTGGGTGCTCTAGGAAACCAGTCTTGACGCCCAGGAGGCCAGTCTGTTTAGCTTTCCTTAACTGCTAAGAATTTTGGTACAGTCATGACCTTATAACGCCATTCTCAATAACCTTCCAGAGTAAAGCATTTGGCTGTGAATTCTCTCTCACTCCTTGTGGTTCTTTTGTTCTTGTTGTGTGCAGAAAATATCAGAGAACGTTACGGGAGCCTCACAGGCGAGCTCCACATGATCGAACTAGAGAAAGGTCGTAGTGGTTTGGGTCTGAGTCTTGCTGGGAACAAAGACCGATCAAGAATGAGTGTTTTTATAGTGGGGATTGATCCAAATGGAGCAGCTGGGAAAGATGGTCAACTGCAGGTTGCAGATGAGCTTCTAGAGGTAAGTTCTAATGACAAGCACTGCATTTACTCCTGAATTGGTGTGACAGAGCCATGGGTTTCCAGAAAACCCACCTGGGTCTCATATGGTGACTGAGAAAACTATCACTCACCTAATAACAAAGATGCATTGCAGCAAATTTGCCTCGAGACCAAATCTCTACTAAGTACCACCCATGTTCCCATTAACTTCCATTAAAGGTTGTGACCGTGTAGCACCAGAAAAAATTTTTGCCTCAAGACAGTAATAAAGATCACACTTCAAAAACATTTTTTTGTTTGTGCTGCATTTTTATTAGGATCTTTTGAAAAACCAAATGACCAATCATGCCCCTGTAATGAGACTGATCACTGGACCTTCTAGAAGTTGAATCCCTCATGGCAGACTTGATGGGGGTAGATTGTTGTGGGGTTGAATTTAAGGCTAAAAAACAAAAACAGTAATTTAGCCCACCAAGCAAAATACACTTGCAGACTATACTTTTATAGTGTTTAGAATTGTGTTTGCTTGATTTTTTGTCCTGGCCTCCTATAGGCCGGAATCCACGTGTCTTTATACTGCTTTAGCACATTTTCCCATGCCGCCTGTGTTTCCCTCTTTGCTGGGAAGGCTCACTCAGCAGGGGCTAACTGACAGGATAACTGACAGTTTCCACCAGATAGTATGCTGCTTAAGCACCTTCCACTGCCTGAAACCTGAATATACCAGCACTGCTTCTCCCAGTGGCCTACCCCCAGGCCTTGAGTTCTGATGTTAACTATGAACTATGATAGTCAGGCCTTCCCAGGATGATCTATGCTGATCACAGGTGCCTCTGCAGAGCCCTTGCTTGTACAGAGTACTCTAGAAGCTTCTTGCCTGCCTGGATACTCTCCTGTAGTCAGTCCAAGTGATGCCTTATTAGTCCATGGAGATCAGACTACATTCATGGAATTTTAATGTTGGCTTTCAACATGAGCTTTTTCTTAACTCAGCATCAAAGTCAGGTTCATGTTCTGGGAAAGAATACATATGTACTATTTTAAAGGAAGAAAAAAAAAATTGCTTTTCATTAGATTGTTGTTGTTTAGTTGCCAAGTCCTATCTCACTCTTGTGAGCCCATGGACTGTAACCTACCAGGCTCCTCTGTCCATGAGATTCTTCAGGCAAGAATACTGGAGTGGGTTGCCATTTCCTTTTCCGGTGAATCTTCCCAACCCAGAAGATCAAACATACATATTCTGCATTGGCAGGCATATTCTTTACCACTGCACCACCAGGGAAGTCCTTTTCATTAGAAAGGATATAAAAATTTGTGAAATTAAAATTCTGGGCTCAGTTAATGGTATTTATTTCTCATAGATCAATGGTCAAATTTTATATGGAAGAAGTCATCAGAATGCTTCATCAATCATCAAATGTGCCCCTTCTAAAGTAAAAATAATTTTTATCAGGTGAGCATTTTCTTTTCCTAGTTTATAAATATTTTTCCTTAGCCATTCAATTCTGATTCTTTTGAATAAAGATGAAACATATACAAATGTGTAAGTGTTGTAGTTCCAAGTCTTTGTGCCTACAAAATTTTGCCTAATAATCTGAGCTAAAGAATGAAAATAGTATGAATGATCATGATATTACAGGTTAGTGCTTTTTTCCTTTAGAAATAAAGATGCAGTGAGTCAGATGGCCGTATGTCCTGGGCATACAGTGGAACCTTCACCTGCTACCTCAGAGAATCTTCAAAATAAGGAGGTTTGTAGCTTATATTTGTTTCTCTGGGAAGCTTTAGTTTATGCATCAGTTATTAATTTAGGTAAAAATTATAGAGCCCTTTCAAGGATATAAGAGAGAAGTAAATTTCTTGATCCCCTTGATCCCCAATATGTTTATAGCCTAGTTTATGGAATACTCATGTAAATAAGCACTTCTTACATGAAGCCTAGTAGTAGATCCTGTCAAAGGAATAATGAAGGTAGAAAAGGAGTTGACAGTTTTACCTCTGGGGAGAGAATGGGAACATAGGGGAGGTTGCACATGAGGCGTACATTGAAAGTAGATGTCTTGGGGGCCGTAAACTTTGCAAGCAGAGGACATGGATTGAGGAATGGGCTGGAGGCTCTGGCAAATGCAGAAAATTGATAACTGCAGAGCCCTGCTGAGCAGGGGGAGGCAGGGAACAGGTGGGGTTAGAGCATGAGGATCGCCATGCAGACCTTGTCTTTTAGGCTATATCTTTGCAGACTCAAAGAATGAAGATTATTTTTAAGAACTCTGGAAATGGTACAGAGAAAAATCACAGGTTACAGGACAGAGAAGGGAGTAAGAGAATTAGAGTAGTTCACGGGATAGATATGGAGGACCTGAACTGATGCCCAAAAATAAGAGAGAGAGAGAGAAGAAATGGTTGTGTCAGGTCTTTAGAACCCAAACAGATATTACTTCATCTATAACTAAGTATATTTGGTGAGGAAAAATGACTGGTTGAGAATGTATTCATCCAACAGATACATTCACTTACACCAGGTACCATTTGGGGGCTAAGCATAGGCCGCAGAATGAAGCAGACGAGATGTACCAGGCTTCCAGATGTCTGATGTGGTGACTTAATAGATGGTTAACTTTTATCAGAATAGAAGAGGTAAAAAAGAGGAGCAGGTATTTATTTGAAAATAGAGAACTTCCTGTCTGAGACAGCTCAAGAATGAAGTGTCTGTTGGAAAGCCTGGTAGAAGCGCTCATGGGGATGTTTGGTCTGGAGTTTAGAGATGAATCCCCATCGATGCCAACTTGGGAGCCATGGGAGCTCAGGCTCTGTCTGTGGAGGACATTTAGAGAAGATGAGCGCCGAGGTCAGAAGTGTGGTATCAGTTGTAAGGAAAATTGACAGGTCCATAATGGAGAACTAGGCAGGTGGGTCACATAGCAGCTGAGGAGGGCCCCATTGAGAAAGGGTGTATAGCACAGCCTTGAATATTGTGGGGAACTCAAGTGAGAAGGTGAATAAAGAGGGTTCATTGTATTTGCCAACTAGAAGATTATTAGTGATTTTGAGAAAGCAAATGGTGGATAAGAAGTTAGGAAAGAGAAAGCAGTGGCCAGAGGGTGACACAAATTTAAGAGAGTTTTGGTGAAAGTTTTGTGTTTACTTTGTTTAGAATGAGTAAAAGGAGATAAGAGAATGAGAACTTAAAATTAGAGAAAGTATGATACTATCAGTGGAAAAGGTGTAGAATTGGAAACACTCTTCCCTAAATTAATATCTAAACATTAGGCTTTTCTGTACACAAGATGCACAAATCATTGTCTCATGCTGGTGAACTGACTCACTGATCATAATGGTGAGCTGAATGAGTCAAGTGGTTTTTCAAGACTATAAAGGAGAAAATTTTATTTTCATATGAGTTGTACCAAAAATGTCCATCAAGAAAATGGATTTTAATAACTTTCAGGTAAAACATTTAATAGCTCCTACATTCCCTTGATGTCCAGCACAGTAACAGTGAACGGTGCCTCTGCTGGTGGTCTGTATATCAGTACTTGCACTGTTCGGAGCTGGGTTACTACTAGGCATCATTGTAGAGTAAATCCATGCAGTCTTGTGAAGCATTTTATGTTTCTGTGCTCCAGCTGTCTAATCACACCTCATTCACATTTTTAAGATATAATGTTCATAAACGTCATGAAGTATTAAAATTATAACGATGGAATACAGCACATGAAATAATGTCAGTTAATTGGCCCCTCTGAGGCTTCTCTGGTGGCTCAGCAGAAAATACTCTACCTGCCAGTGCAGGGGACATGGGTTCAGTCCCTGCATCAGGAAGAGCCCCCAGGTTAGGAAATGGCAGCCCACACCAGTATTCTTACCTAGAAAACCCCATGGACATAGGAGCCTAGTGGGCTGCAGTCCACGGGGTTGCAAAAAGTCGGGCACAACTTAGTGACTAGACGACAACAATAAACTATTTAGTCAAGCAAAACTACATAACATTTGCCTATTTTGTCACTTCTTTCCCTCTGTCAGGCTGAACCGAGTGTTCCTACTTCTGATGCAGTTGTTGACCTCAGTTCATTGACGAATGTGCAGCATTTAGAACTTCCTAAGGTAAATCTGCTCTGAATTGGACTGAAATGATGTAACGACCTTGGCACTGGTGTTGTGTTTCACTGGTTCCCAAAACTAGTCTCTGCAGACCAGCAGCATCAGGGTCACCGGAGAGCTTGTTAGAACTTCAGGTGCTTGGGCCCACCCTGGTCTCCCAAAGGAGCAGCTCTGGGGTGTGCCGGCAGCTCATGTTTTAATAAGCCCCTTCCATGATGCCAGTGGGCACTAATGTTTGATAACCATTGTGCTAATTGATACTTGAGCAGGGGCCCAGCTTCTCCTGCCTTTATGATTATCCCAAGGTATGACATTTAGCGATCTCATGTTTGATTTATTTACAAGGACTTGCTATGGACGAAATAAAAAAATTAAAGAAACATGTTATAGGCTCTGTCCTTTGTCAGACTGAAAGCCCAGATGCCTAGAAGTCTCACTGATAGGCATCGTTGAGGTATTTGCTTTTGCAGAGATCTGAACCTTGGATTCAAGTGACCACTTGAAAGAGGTGGTTTGTTGAACGGAATCCTGTAAATGCTTTTAGGTGCTGCAGGCTCATGCTGGAATGCAGGTGGACAGTGGATGAACACACTAGACAGAAAGAGCAGTGACATACTCAGGGAAGAGGAGAGGAAAGGAGGAGGTGGCATGGAGGGACAGAGGGATTTTACATGTAATGCTACAGCAGGAAGGAGTGCTTTCCTCCGAGACTCCCCAGCTCCAAGGCGGGGCACCAGAGGCCATCTGACTGGGTTGAATCCTATTTCATCAGCTACAGACTTAACACATTTTGTGATCTTGCTTTGCCTCCATTTTTCTTACCTATAAATTGGAGATGATAGTCTTGCCTTTGATAATGTAATTTTAAAGGTTAAATGAGTTGTTTATAAACTGGTGGGCATAATGCCTGATATGTGGTCAGAGTTTGTTAAGCACTTAGTGGGAAAAAATACTGATTCTTCTTGGTTTATTTATTATTTTTTAAATAAATAACCCTGTACAAAATGGATTGCTCTGATCTTATCATATACATTTAAGAAAAGTTGTGATGGGCGGTTTGTGCTGTAAGGGGAAAAGAACATAAGTAATTAAAGCTTTTTTCTGTCAAAAAGTCCTTACATGTCCATTCCAGCATCCTTCATTCTGTTGCCATGTCAGAGAGAGTCCTTTGAGACAGCAAGGAAGAGGGGACAGGATATTTTAATGCACACCTCTGAATTTGTGTAGGTAAACAACCAGCAAATGCCCTCTGTACTTAGTAAAGTACTTTTCTGACCACAGTTAAGTAAATAGACTATAATAGAATCAGATACCAGAATTGAGTACCTATAGTCATGGTGGATTACAGAGTATTACTTATATTAATACAAGTGAAATATTTCTTTGTGGTACTAGGAAAGAATATTGTGTGCAATATCTGAAATAGAGGCTGGCTCAGTTATTTACTTGGCTTTGACATTGGAATTTGTCAGTGTGGTAGCACGTTGAACTTCCTGTTCATCGTGTCTGAGTCTTTGACCACTAAATCAAGGTTTGGGGTTTCAAAATTCTGGCAAGTTTGGACACTTTATGTGAAGTCAATTTGATTATATCCTGTAGAGTTATAGGTAGAAGGAACGTATGCATGATAACAACACTTCTGTATAGTGTATCAGGCTTTCAAGCCTTTTCTTTACTACACTTGATCCTCACAGCAAGCTTTTAGTTGGCAACTATTATTATTCAGGCTTTTGGAGATAAGAAATAGAGGTTTAGAGATGTTAAGTAATATATCCAGATTTCCAAATCTAGCCGGCAGGTATATTATAGCTGAGTTCAGCTTACCCTAAACCTGTGTAATTATCTCTGTATTATGCACATGAAAAGAGTGGTGGTAGGGAGGATGAGCAGTGACAATCTGGAATGTCATCAAGCATTAATCATCTCTGTCAGCAAAGCAGCAGTGTTCGTAGTCTTTAAAATGATGATAGAGCTTTACCTCGATGCCATGATCCTAAAAGTCCAGTGGCAAGTGTGGCTCTCATGTAAACTTCTTTCTCTCATGCTTTCTGTCTCCCTGGATGGAAACTATAATGAGGAAAGTTGCTGGCTCTAACCAGAATGAAAATAATCACTACCCTATGGTAAATTTTATTCACATAAATGTTAAGAAGAGGTAAAAGCCAACATTATGGAACACCTGGTTTTGATAAAAGAAAGTATGGAAAATATAGCCAAAGTAGGTGTAGCTCTTCTAGCCTTGGCAGGTTTTCAGGGTAAGTCTTTGGACTCATGAGTTGAGAGCATTTTCACTCTGTATCAAATCAAAATCCAAGTCTTTGAAGGAACCAGCTCTGGATTTCCAGCCCCAGAAAGCACAGAGCATGAGCAGTCAGGGCAGCCTGTCTGCTGAAGGAGAAGGGATAGCAGAACAGGGATGCAAGGATTGGTATTAGTGGTTATGTCTAAGCCAGAAAAAGGAGGCAAGAGTGTGCTTTGGTTTTGAGTCACTTAATCAATTATGCAGAACTGAATTCTCAAACATACATTCATTAAGTTATTGAATACATTTTTATTTTCTGAATCTATTGATAAAGTGACTAGAAATATGTTACTTGGTATATGTGCTGAAAAGAAAAGACCCTGATGCTGGGAAAGATTGAAGGCAGGAGGAGAAGGGGACGACAAAGGATAAGATGGTTGGATGGCATCACCGACTCGATGGATGTGAGTTTGAGCAAGGTCCCGGGCGTTGGTGATGGACAGGGAAGGCTGGCGTGCTGTAGTCCATGGGTTCACAAAGAGTCAGACACGACTGAGTACTAGAGATACTAGACATAGGGGAGGAATGAGAACATTTGAATATTTGATGGAGGAGAAATTTAATGTCACTAAAGTAATTCAAAGTTTGCTTAAGAAAAGGGGATTTCTAAGAGTGGATTTTAGAACACCTTTAATTGCTTTTATAGCCTTTGAGTAAGAAGATGATGTTCAGAAGTTTTGGTCACATACCTTTGTGTTTAGATAAATTTCATGTTTCACATTTCCTGTGTTTCTGTTTTTGCTTCTGTAGGATCAGGGGGGTTTGGGTATTGCCATAAGTGAAGAAGATACACTCAGTGGGGTCATCATAAAGAGTCTAACAGAGCACGGGGCAGCAGCCAAGGTGAGGCCTCCCCCTTCTTACAGTCAGAAAGTGGTGAGGAAGGGACTTCTGTCTGTAAAATCACTCAAAAGTTTCCATGTTTCTGTCTAGGATGGACGGCTGAAAGTTGGAGATCAGATTTTGGCTGTAGATGATGAAGTTGTTGTTGGCTATCCTGTTGAAAAGGTACTTACCTGAAAGAAAGCAAATGGTACTGTGAACTCATCCTTGGAAATGGCTAAGTGTATGTATGTGGGGGGCAGTCAGTCATGGGGATCAGAATTGTGTAGCTATATTAGATATCTGCAAGGAAGAGAAGAAATTTGAAAAGTACTTAATTTCTATTTTCTGTTTTCTAATTAAGATGATGTTAATTGGTTTTTCTGTTATCTGATAAATTCAGTATTCAGTGGGCATTCTTGATAAATATCATTTCTGTTTTCCTATAGGAAGACTTGAAACTTCTAAACAAATGTCAACTTAGTATTAAAACCAAAGGAATATTTTTAATGAATATTTGCTGCTCTGTCGTTTTTGTTCAGGAACTAAGTCATGTCTGTCTCTTTGTGACTCCGTGAACTACAGCACACCAGGCTTCCCAGTCCTTCAGTTATCTCCCTGTATTTGCTCAAACTCATGTCCCTTGAGTTGGTGATACCATCCAATCATCTCATGCACTGTCGCCCTCTTTTACCTCCTGCCCTAAATCTTTCCCATTGTCAGGGTCTATTCAAATGGGTCGGTTCTTCACATCTAGTGGCCAAAGTATTGGAGCTTCAGCTTCAGCATTAGTGCTTCCAGTGAATATTCAGGGTTGATTTCCTTTAGGATTGACTGGCTTGATCTGCTTGTTGTCTAAGGGACTCTCAAGAGTCTTCTCCAGCATCACAAGTCAAAAGCATCAGTTCTTCAACACTCAGCCTCCTTTATGGTCCAGCTCTCACATCCATACGTGACTGCTGGAAAAACCATAGCTTTGACTATAAGAACCTTTGTTGGCAACGTGATGTCTCTCCTTTTTAATATACTGTCTATGGATTTGCTCCTATAAATATCCACTATGTATATTGCTTTATAAACAGACTTTAAGACTCAGACACTAAATTTATAACTTTTATTGTGGATAAATAGTTATATATGCCTGAGTTTCTTCCTTCCCAAAAGTGATCTTAATACTGTACTTGCTAGGACTTTCACTTTAGCCTTTCATAAGTGCTAGGAAAAAAAAAAAGAACAAAAAACTGTGTTTCTCTGAGATTCGGTGTGCCACTGTGTCTGTTTCTATAGTGGCCAGCAAGATGCTTAAATCACTTTAAAATTCAGTTTGTGTCTTTTTGGAGGAAAATTGCCTCACAGTGTTGTGGTAGTCTCTGCCATGCATCAATGTGAATGCGTCATAACTATATATGTATCCCCTCCATCTTGACCCTCCCCCCGCAGTTCCAGCCCTCCAAGGTCATCACAGAGTGCCAGCCTGGGCTCCCTGCATTATGCAGCAACTTCCTGTTAGCTCTCTATCTTATACAGGATGATATAAATATGGCAGTGCTACTTTTTCAATGTCTGTCAACCTCTCCTTACCCACTGTGTCCACAGGTCTGTTCTCTGTGTTTGCATCTTTACTTCTTTCCTCTAAATAAGTTCATCAGTCCTACTTTTCTAGATCCCATGTATATGTGTTAATATATGATATTTGTTTTTCTGGCTTACATCACTCTGTATAAGAGACTCCAGGTTCATCCACCTCTACAACTAACTCAAACCTGTTCCTTTTTTATGGCTAAGTAACATTCCAGTGTGTGTGGATGTGTGTGTGTACACTACAGTTTCTTTATCCATTCATCTGTCAATGGATATCTAAATTGCTTCCATGTCCTAGCTATTGTAAATAGTGCTGCATTGAACATTAGGGTACATGTGTCTTTTTGAATTGTGGTTTTCTTGGGGCATAAATCAGTAGTGTGATTGTTGGGTTTTATTACTGGGTTTTTAATCTGGTAGTTTTATGCCCAGTTTGTTAAGGACTCTCCCTACTGTTCTCCATAGTGGCTGTACCAACTTACATGCCCACCAACAGTGCAAGAGGGATCCTTTTTCTCCACATCTTCTCCAGCGTTTTTGCTTGTGTTTTTTTTTTTTAATATATATAATGTCCATTCTGATTGTTGTGAGTTGATACCTCATTGTAGTTTTGATTTTCTTTTCTCTAATAATGAGCTATATTGGTCATCTTTTTATGTATTTATTGGCCATCTTCTTATATATCTTCTTTGGACAAGAAGATATCTTCTTTAGGTCTTCTGCCCATTGTGTGATTGGACTGTTTTTTTTTCCCTATTATTTAACTGTATGAGCTGCTTGTATATTTTGGGGATTAATCCTTTGTCAGTTGTTTCGCTTGCAATTTTTTCTCCCATTCTGAGGTTTGTCTTTTTATTTTGTTAAGAGTTTCGTTTGCTATACAAAAACTTTTTAAGTTTAAATAGGTCCCATTTTTTAATTTTTCCTCTGTATTTCCAGTACTCTAGGAGGTGGGTCAAAGAGGATCTTGCAGTGATTTATGTCAAAGTGTGTACTGCCTATTTACCTCTTAAGAGCTTTGTAGTTTCTGGCCTTACATTTAAGTCTTTAATGCATTTTGAGTTTATTTTTGTGTACGGTGTTCTCATTCTCTCACATGTAGCTGTCCAGTTTTTCCAGCACCACTTTTAATAATTGTATAGGTTTTATTCTTTAACCCACATTTGTATGTTTTTAATGTTCCCTTTGGCTTGATCCTTCTCTTGCATAATCTTCTTTTTCTTGCTTTTACATAAATGTTCCCATTTTATTAAAAATGTTTATGTAAGCTGCTTCAGATTGTATATAGAAACAGAAGTGGTTCAGTTCAGTTGCTCAGTCATGTTCCAGTCTTTGTGACCCATGGCTTACCTGTGCATCACCAAATCCCAGAGCTTACTCAAACTCAGTCCATCCAGTCGGTGATGCCATCCAGCCATTTCGTCCTCTGTCATCTCCTTCTCCTCCCGCCTTCAAACTTTCCCAGCATCAGGGTCTTTTCAAATGAGTAGGTCCTTCATGTCAGGGGGCCAAAATATTGGAGTTTCAGCTTCAGTATCAGTCCTTCCAGTGAATATTCAGGACTGATTTCCTTTAGGAAGGACCGGTTGGTTCTCCTTGGAATCCAAGGGACTCTCAGGAGTTATCTCCAAAACCGCAGTTCAAAAGCATCAATTCTTCAGTGCTTAGCTTTCTTTATAGTCCCACTCTCACATCTATACATGACTACTAGAAAAACCATAGCTTTGACTAGACAGACCTTTGTTGGCAAAGTAATGTCTCTGCTTTTTAATATGCTATCTAAGTTGGTCATAGCTTTTATTCCAAGGAGAAGCATCTTCTAATTCAATGACTGTGGTCAATATCTGCAGTGATTTTGGAGTCCAGGGGAATAAAGTCTGTCACTGTTTCCATTATTTTCCCGTCTGTTTGCCATGAAGTGATGGGGTGGGAGGCCATTATCTTAGTTTTCTGAATGTTGAGCTTTAAGCCAACTTTTTCACTCTCTTCTTTCACCTTCATCAAGATCTATTTAATTCCTCTTTGTTTTCTGCCATGAGGGTGGTGTCATCTGCATATTTGAGGTTATTGGTATTTCTCCTGGCAGTCTTGGTTCCAGCTTGTGATTCATCCAGCCCGGCATTTCACATAGTGTATCTGCATATAAGCTAAATAAGCAGGGTGACAATATACAGCCTTGATGTACTCCTTTCCCGATTTGGGACCAGTCTGTTGTTCCATGTCCAGTTCTAACTGTTGCTTCTTGACCTGCATACAGATTTCTCAGGAAGCTGGTCAGGTGGACTGGTATTCCCATCTCTTTCAGAATCTTCCACAGTTTGTTGTGATCCACACAGTCAAGGGTTTGGCACAGTCAATAAAGCAGAAGTAGATGTTTTTCTCAAACTCTCTCGCTTTTTGATGATCCAGTGGATGATGGCAATTTGATTTCTGGTTTCTTTGCCTTTTCAAAGTCCAGTTTGAACATCTGAAGTTCATGGTTCACATATTGTTGAAGCCTCGCTTAGAAAATTTTGAGCATTACTTTGCTAGAGTGTGAGATGAGTGCAGTTGTGTGGTCATTTAAGCAGTCTTTGGCATTAGCTTTCTTTGGGATTGGAATGAAAACTGACCTTTTCCAGTCCTTGGCCACTGATGAGTTTTCCTAATTTGCTGGCATATTGAGTGCAGCACTTCAATAGCATCATCTTTTAGGATTTGAAATAGCTCAACTGGAATTCCATCATTTCCACTAGCTTTGTTCATAGTGATGCTTCCTAAGGCCCACTTGACTTCACATTCCAGGATGTCTGGCTCTAGGTGAGTGATCACACCATCATGATTATCTGGGTCATGAAGATCTTTTGTGTATGGTTCTTCTATGTATTCTTGCCACCTCTTCTTAATATCTTCTGCTCTGTTAGGTCCATACCGTTTCTGTCCTTTATTGTGCCTGTTTTTGCATGAAACATGCCCTTAGTATCTATAATTTTTTTGAAGATTTTCTTGAAGAGATCTCTAGTCTTTCCCATTCTATTGTTTTCCTCTATTTCTTTGCACTGATCACTGAGGAAAGCTTCTCTCTCCTTGCTATCTTTGGAACTCTGCATTCAAATGGGTATCTTTTTCCTTTTCTCCTTTGCCTTTAGCTTCTCTTTTCTAAGCTATTTGTAAGGCCTTGTCAGACAACCGCCTTTTTGCATTTCTTTTTCTTGGGGATGGTCTTGATCACTGCCTCCTGTACAATGTCAGGAAGGAACCTCTATCCATAGTTCTTCAGGCACTCTGTCTATCAGATCTAATCCCTTGAATCTATTTGTCACTTGTACTGTATAATTATAAGAGATTTGATTTAGGTCTTACCTAAATGTTCTAGTGATTTCCCCTACTTTCTTCAATTTAAATCTGAATTTGACAATAAGGAGTTCATGATCTGAGTCACAGTCAGCTCCTATTCTTGTTTTTGCTGACTGTATAGAGCTTCTGCATCTTTGGCTGCAAAGAATGTAATAAATCTGATTTCGGTGTTGACCATCTGGTGTCCATGTGTAGAGTCTTCTCTTGTGTTGTTGTAGAGGGTGTTTGCTATGACCAGAAGTGGGTAAAGCACCTCATATTCTTCCAAGGTTGTAAGGATCCAGAGAAATGAACAATATTAATTAGAAATGTTAAAAGTGAAAACCCTTTCTTATATAATGAAGAATATAGTCTGAAGTAGACTTTTTGGCCTTAATCAGTATCAGGAAATTAAAAAAAGACTAGAAACTGCAGCCATTCTTTCTTGACCTCTCGAGTCCTGACAGGGGAAATGTTTGCCTCTGACTCTTGTCTCAATCATAGATGTTTCCAATTACAGCTATCATAGTGGCTTTTTTGTGTGTAAGTCGACTAAGTTGCTTTTAATTTTATTTCTCCTCCACACCAACACCCTGCCAGTTTATTAACCTTCTGAAAACCGCAAAGACAAAAGTGAAATTGACGATCCGTGCTGAGAATCCAGACTCCCAGGCTACTACTTCTGTAACTGCTACAGCCAATGGAGAAAAAAAGAGCAGCCCCCAGTGTCCAGTGATCCCACCGTCTAGCTCTCCGGAACCAGAGCCGATGCGAAGTAAGGGCTGCTCTTCTGCTAGTTCCGCACATGTGACATGTTCAGACTCGGTATCAAGTCCCTGCTTGGGAGCCCTCTGCCTGTATGTAGTCCACTGCCTGATAGGCCGTAGTCCGACAGCCTTATAAAGAGAAGGGATCTGCTGCTGTACATTAACCAGCCATAGAACCTTGGGAAACCCATCCAGCCGCTCTGAGCCTCTGCTCGCCCGTCTCTAAGACGAAGGAGTGATACTCTTTGCTCTCCAAGGATCTTTTGCTAAGAGTATCTGTGACTCCAGGTATCTTACAAATACATGAGATACCTCATTTTGTACATTCCTTGTTTATACTACTGAGCAAGTAATGTAACTTCTTAGAACATCAGTATTCTCGCTTTTAATATGGATACCATGATACCACTTCATTGGTAGAATCAACTTTGCCTGGCATTATATTAGACTCCTAAAAGGTTACTCATTGTCACATGTACACAGTGCATATGAGTTCTTCCTTTGGGTGTAAACAGCAGATACAGTCGAAGAGGACGAAGTAGATGAAATTGTTGGATGTGGAGCTTGGGATGCCAGTTTCTCATGTCATTAAAATGCCAGTCTTGTACATTGAGGCAAATTATTCCTTTGAGGTTCTTTTTCAGAAAAATCACACTGATTTTCAGTAAAAGAGTACATTTCAAGCTTTGTGGCATTTTAAAAAAGTAGTTAAAAACACATTGGCTTTTTCTGCATTTGGAGAAAAAAAGCTCTTTTGGTTTCCAAACTGAAACATTCCGTTCTTTTGACAGGTTTTTAATGAAACAGCAGTATAAAACATTTGTAATATAGTTGGTTTAAAAGTCTGTTTTTAAATTGAAGTATAGTTGATTTATAATGTTGTGTTAATTTCTGCTGATTCAGTTGTATATATGTGTGTGTGTATATATATATGTGTGTGTGTATATATATATACACACACATTCTCCTTATATTCTTTTCCATTATAGTTTATCCTAGTACATTGAATATAGTTCCCTGTACTATACAGTTGGACCTTATTGCTAAAAAATCTTAAAGTAATAAACATCTAATGGAAGTAATCCTTTATTTAGAACGACTGCATAATTCTCTAAAATGTTAAAAAATATGGTAATTTTCTAATTTTTCAATATTAAGTTGATCCCTAAATAGCATTGTCTATAAACATATAAAATGCTAACTATGGTTGTGATTAAAAAATAAATAAATAAATAAATAAATAAAAAAAGAAACATAGCATAAAGGAAAATATCTTGTACCTGTTCTTATCATTTCAGGAGCATGAAATTAGTCTGCCTCTGATTCCTAAAAAGAATGTTTTCTCTAAAGCTAATCTATCAAGTATACCAGCTTTGCCTGAATATGCTATTTGCTATATGCTTTTTGGTATATCATCAAACATGATATGAAGGCTCTCATACAACAGAGTATGAGATTATATTCTCCTTATTTTTTCATAATATAATCTTATTTATTTAATTTTGAGCATATATGTACCAGTATTTAATATTCAAGTTTATGAAACATCGAGACATAAAGAAACAAACTTCAGGTGGGGCTCACTTAATGTGTTATAAACTCAGGTATGAAATCCAGTTGCATGTATGATTTGATTACATAAGGAGAGATGCTCTAGGGCAGGATGAAAAGAAAACCAAATCAGAAACCTGAAAAGCCGTGAGCGGCAGACACCGTGACCAGAATTACTGATGTCCTTTACGCTTTGTCTTCCCTGAATGTGAGTTAGGTCTCCTCCGCACGTTTCAGTTCCAAGTTTTACGAATCATAGTTTCTTAAGACGTTTGTTTGGCTCCCATGAAACATAGAATATCAGAGTGAAACTAGTGGTTAAGTTCAACTCTGTTCCTTTTACCTATTATCTCCAGTAATTAAAGAAAAATACAGAATAGTGCAGATGATAATTTACAGGTAATTTTGCACCCACTGCACTAAGGTAACAATGATGATGTCATATTTGTTGGATGGTTTTAAATACAACTAAAAGATTAAGGTGGGATTGAAGTCTTCTTTGTCCCCAAACTTGGGCCCATGATTCTGCTCCATCCCCCAAGGCAACCAGTTTGGTGAGTTTGATGTATATGCTTTCTGATCAATTTTTATTTGCATTTCATTTTAAACTTACTTTTAGGTACAAGCAGGTCGTCAACACCAGCAATCTTTGCTTCTGATCCTGCAACCTGCCCCATCATCCCAGGCTGTGAAACAACAATTGAGATTTCCAAAGGGCGGACAGGACTGGGCCTGAGCATTGTTGGGGGATCCGACACACTGCTGGTGAGGATGTAGCCAGAGATGCTCCAAGTATGCAGCCTCTTCAGTGATCCCTGAGAGGTCACTGCGGGGAAATTTCCATCAGCTGTATGAAATGAAATATAAAGGCTTAGAAAAGTGTATCATTTCTTGTTAATTTAATTTGTGGGGCAAATACTCATTTACTTTGAGTAAGTCAACACTGACTTAGTAATATTCCTTTATACTTGTGATTGTGCCCTGTAGGTTCAAAATATTTGTGTTAGTTTATCAGTTCCTGCCATATTTTAATTTTCTTTTTACTGACTGGATATCATTGGATTAGACCCATACTGAGGAAACATCTGAAAAATTGGATAATTTATAGACAAAAATTTCTAATTGTCAAAAATGCATTTAAAAGCCATTCATTCCACTTGTAGATAGGGAAGGTGTGGCATACCTGTTAATTTCATTTGTGGATAGAAAAGGTGATGTGTATCTATTATAAATAAGTGTGTGGGTGATTTACATATTTTATAAATTTTTAAAAAAATTCCCTATCATTTGAAAGCAATATAAGTTTCTTTAAGACTTACAGCAAATTGTCTTGTTATGCTTTTCTTTGAATTTCAACACGTGACTCACATACGGATGCAGTCCGTGTATAACCCTTATTAGTGTCTATGAGAGTACAGTGTGCTTTGACTGAATTTCTGCTCACCATCCCTAGGGAGGATGGGGTAAAGCATGATTCGTTTTGTTTGTGCCCGTAGGGTGCCATTATTATCCATGAAGTTTATGAAGAAGGAGCAGCATGTAAAGATGGAAGACTTTGGGCTGGAGATCAGATTTTAGAGGTACAGAATGCTGTGCGTTTGACCTTTACCACAAAGGAAAGGCATCTGTGGGGAGGGTGGTCTGTGTTTCTCCCCCCACCCTTCCCTTTCCTTTCTCTCCCCCACTTCTTCCCTTTTCCATCTTTCTTCACTTTACTCAACTCATCTACTCCCTCACCATCTGTGTCCCACTTCCGTACAGGTAAATGGAATTGACTTGAGGAAGGCCACACATGATGAAGCAATAAATGTCCTAAGACAGACACCACAAAGGGTGCGCCTGACGCTCTACAGAGATGAGGCCCCGTACAAAGAGGAGGACGTGTATGACACCCTCACCGTCGAGCTGCAGAAGAAGCCAGGGAAAGGCCTGGGGTTGAGTATTGTTGGTAAAAGGTATGACTAATCAGGAAAAAGGCAGTGATTTCTTGGAAAGGATTGAACTTGCATTTCTTTGAAGAGTACTAGCAGTAGTAGAATCTTTATCAACTGCTTGTATTCTGTAGGTAGCTATTGTCAGTCCACGCAGCAGTGGAACATCAGAAGATGCTGATTTAGACTTTTTAGTCAGTATTAAAAGATGCTTGCTCCTCAGAACGAAAGCTATGACCGACTTAGGCAGTATATTAAAAAGAGGCATCACTTTGCCAACAAAGGTCTGTATAGTCAAAGTTGTGGTTTTTCCTGTAGTTGTGAATAGATGTGAGAGTTGGACCATAAAGAAAGCTGAAAGAAGGCTGATTGCCAAAGATTTGATGAATTGTGTTGATGGCGAAGACTCTTGGGAATCCCTTGCAGGGAATCCCTGCAAGGAGATCAAACCAGTCAATCCTAAAGGAAATCAACCCTGAATATTCATTGGAAGGACTGTTGCTGAAGCTAAAGCTCCCACACTTTGGCCACCTGATGTAAAGAACTGACTCATTAAAAAGACCCTGATGCTGGGAAAGATTGAAGGCAAATGGAGAAGCGGGGGACAAAGGATGAGATGGTTCGATAGCATCACCAGCTCAGTGGACATAAATTTGAGCAAACTGAGAAATAGTGGACGACAGAGGAGCCTGGTGTGCTGCAATTCATGGAGTCTCGAGGAGGACATGACTTAGCAACTGAACAACAGCAACAATACAAAAAGGCATTTTGGTAGTTTTGAGGACCTGCTGGGTGCCAAGAGAGCCATTAGGTTCTGAGGAATAGAGTTAAAGGAGGCATGAATGCTAACGTCTGAAAACTCAGTTTGGTAAACGAGAATTAAATATATTCTTACAACAAAGGAATCAATGAGAGACAGAAACATATTGTGAGGAATCCATGGAAGGAAAGGAGAAAGGGATGGTGTGACCCTAATTAAGGGAAGTAGGTTTAGAAAACTGCTTTATAAAAAAAGTGCCTGAGATGAAGCTAGAAGTGTGATATGTGAGAGGTGATCTAACAAAAGGGGAAGGAGGATATTCTAGAGAGAAGGATCAGTATGACAAGAGCACACCATCTGAAGGGAACAGAGAGTGTAAATTAAGAGGCCTGGGGTAGCAAGTCAGTGAATTTACATAAATTAAATACCTAATTTATTTAAATATGTATATATAGGTAATATTAAAAAATATTTAATCTAGTAAATTCCAGCACAGTTATTCTAAGGATGGGAAAAGAGTATCAAATGATGAAATGACTTGTTTGAGGTCAAGACCTTGGCAAGAAGAAGTGATGCAATTAAACCTTACTCAGTGTTTCTACATGGTCATCTTTATATCTCAACAGGAAGTCATTGAGTTATTTATACTTTTATGAAAAGAAGGTTGGAATAAGTTTAATATTTGTTCATTTTGCATAAACCTATCTTGTATGAAAGTTAGACCTCTAATGATTTAAATGAGACATCACAGCAAAGGTACGTAATTTTGAGTAACACATGGTTTTAGTTTGAGACACATCCGTTGTTTCTTTTAAGTAATGTTAATGATGTTGTTGATCATAGCAACATACTTAAATAGGCACAAGTCAATATCCATTCAAGGCTTCATTATGGTGTAGAAAGAACAATAGATTTTTCTCCCAGTGACTGACTCTTAAATCCTATTTTTGCCATTTAGTAGCTATGTGACCTATAAAATGTGTATAATAACCACTTCTACTCACAGTTTATAAGTTTTGAATAAGTATGCTTATGAAAGATATATTTAATCTATAAAGTATTATAAAGACATAAGATACTATTATTATACAAAGTTCTCAGTTTCACCAGTGTTGATAAAGCAATAAAACTTTTAAAGTCATAAAAATAGAAGTAAAATTTTCAATTCTAAAATGTTAGCCTTTCGTTAAATAAGCATTGCATTCCACTTGGAAAAAAATAATAATGGTGATATTTAAAATCACACTTGCAGAAATGATACTGGAGTGTTTGTGTCCGATGTTGTCAAAGGAGGCATTGCAGATGCTGATGGGCGACTGCTACAGGGAGACCAGATACTGACGGTGAATGGAGAAGACGTCCGTCATGCAACGCAGGAAGCCGTCGCGGCTCTGCTGAAGGTAGAAATCCAGTGCCGTAAATGGTTATGTGTATGCAGCACGTATTTATTTGCTCTGTTCTCTCAAATAAGACATGTATGTATGTTAGACGACATGCTTCAGTGTTAATCTCTACACTTACGACCAGCTCTTTATTATGTGGTTATGTATTTATAGAACAGAGTTAAGTATTATCCCCTGGAGAAGGACATGGCAAACCACTACAGTATTCTTGCCTGGGAAATCCCATGGACAGAGGAGCCTGACGGGCCGCAGTCTGTGGGGCTGCAAAGAACAGACATGGCTGAGTGAGGGAGCACACACAGTAAGAACTATGAACTGAGCATCTGTGATCCTAGCAGATGTTTTATCATAAAGTGATTGTTACGTGGTTCTTTTCTTGAAAGAAAAGCACATATTCAGGCCACAAAAGAGAAAAAACTGTTTTCATGTCACTTCACCCCACCTCCATATTTATATCTGGATGTATTCTTATGACCTTTGGCATAAGGGGAGAATCTTATCCTGGCAGGGATGCTCCCACAGAAAGGCGGGAGATCGGAGTGGGCAAACAGGGTACCTCTGAAAGTCATGCTTTCTGGACGGCTCTGCCCCGCCCTAACCCTTTACTGGGCGCACTAAGTTGGACATCTTTATATTGAGTTGGCCAAAAGTTTCAGGGTTTTTTTGCACCATCTTATGGAAAAAACCAGATGAACTTTTTTGCCACCCAGTATTTCCCCAAAGATGAAGAATGCGAACAGTGTTTGCAGATTTACCTGGCAGTACCTTCAACAGTTACCACTGTTAATTCAGTAATTATAAGACCTCCATCCCAAGGTATTGTTGCTAAGCTTAAATATGTTTTACGTTGTGAAATCTCTTTCCTCCAAAGTGAATTCCGTGAAAAATCATTTGCTGATTGGAAAGGCAGCACCAGTCTAATTTTAAAAATGAGTTATAAAATATAGAATGATCACTTAAAAATACAGTTCTTGGAAATTTAGATGTATTTCCTATCAATTCTTATCTCATTGTTTTCCTTTAACTACCATGCGTTTTTATGACCCGAAGTATCATTCAAAGTTGACTAGAAACCTCTTGCCATCAGAATCCATGTCATGTGGTACATGTTCAGTAACATGAGCGTATAACTTGATGACAATATTAAACAGCAGTGGATAATGTCAGAGGTCTCAGATTCTAGTCAGAACCTGTTCAGTCGTTAAGCTTAGCTTCACAGAGGGATTTCAAGTGAGCATATTGTTGTTGACTTCTGGTTTGCATAGGACCTGATATGTACATATAAATTTAGTTATTAGTAAGGCACATTTAAAATATCATTTCTTCTTGGAGTTATTTTCAAAAAATAAAGTAATTAGAGTTCTTTAAGGAGAAGTCGCTTCCTTCAGGAGATAAATTTAAAATGATAGTTAATTCTGTAAGACAGATACCTCTAAGATATAGAAGGAGGCATCCATATTGTAACATTAAACCAGTTAAATCCCCATTTAAAAACCAGTTTGCCAGTATATAATGAGAACCTTAAATATCCCTTTAGCTCTGCTAGTTGTAACTGCTGCTGCATTTTGTTGTTTTGACTTAGTAATTCTTCATTTTAAAGTCTTGCATCAGTAATCCTCAGTACACAAAAAATTTTACACAGCTAAAGTTCATTGCAGTGCTGTTTGTTATAATAGAAAAACTGGAAGCAACACAGTTGACAATACTGCATTGTGTTTGACATTTTGATGAGCATTGTACGTGGATTATTCTATCACAGCAACGTATAATGATCTCTGTCTGTTTTTTAAAATGCAGAGTAAAAGACTTATCAAGGTAGACATCTGTTAAGTTCACACAGCGAGTAAATCACAGAGACTGGATTTAAACCAGAGTATCTGACTCCAAAAAGCCAGTTCTAACCCACCTCATTTTGCTACTTCCACATTAGACTGTATAGCATTTCTTGCATGCCTGTGATTTATTTGTAAAGGGCAACAGGGAAATTTTCCTCAATTCTCATTTGATGTTTACAGCAGTTCGGCTTAAATATTGCGTAATAGATCTATTCAGGTGCAGTGCGGCAGTAGAGAGCTTATGTTATCTGAGTACCTCTGCTATTGAACGCAGAGCAACTTGTTGCAATAGTGGTTATTTATTGCTTTTGTTTTTTAAAATCCAAATTCCTTCACACATTTGGCTTTACATTAGTGTGTTGCATGAGAGAATTGGTGGATTCTCCATCTCTCTTTGCCTGGACAGAGACCCTCTCCATGTAAATCATAAGCTAGCAAGACAGACACTTGGTGTGGCTACTACTGATTGGTTGTTAAAATTTTTACCAGTTTTAATGCTTTAGAAAAACCTCTTTCCACAAAGGATGGGAGCTTTCCTTGCCTATAGAAATTCCAAAGGAAACATGACTTTCAAAAACCCAGCCATAAAGAATAAAGTGTAACCCTAAAGCTGACTGTAGCGTTTTATTTAAATGTTTCTGTCAAACAACCTCCCCCTAGTGTTCCCTCGGCACAGTGACCTTGGAAGTCGGAAGAGTCAAAACTGGTCCATTCCATTCGGAGAGGAGACCTTCTCAAAGCAGCCAGGTGCGTAGCTGTGGGATTCATCAAGGTGATGCAGTTCAGAGGCCGAAAGGAGTTCGAAGATGGCCTTTCCTGTCAATCTGTCCAGGGTCCTCAACACAGGCCTGGCAGCTTGGCAGAGCAGCTAAGGGTACAGAGTTTGAGAGATGGGACTGGACAGGCAAGCAAGGTGAAGCTCTTAAGTAGTTTGTGAGTCATTCTGAGAAACTTAATCACAAGCATTCTTCTTTTCTGACATGATTCTTTTTGCATAATCTCAAAAATGAACCAATTAATATATTATAAATCCTACCAAGATAGCATGTATTTAAGCTGTTTTTATAGCTAACATTTATCAGTCAACATTCAACTGAGAAGAATCGTGTGTAGGTGAACTGTACACGCTCACCACTACGTATAACACAGTGATAGCCTGTCTGTCCTTAAAGGCCTCGCAGTCACCCGTGAATGGCTGCCATGTGCTTCCTGTCCCCTGGCCCTGTTTCTGCAGTTGTGTTAAGTTCACATCTGTGTGCAGCTAGATTAAATTTAGAGAAGATTAGCTTGGGTGAGATTATGTTGGAATCAAATTCTTTTACCTTTAATTAGTTATGTCACTGGGCACATTCTTCCTTAAAAAGAAACAAAACTCACTGGAAACTCTTTATATTGATTGCCTTTCTAATTATTAAATGCCACTATTGCTTAACAAGTATTTCTGAGTGCATTAAAGTAATTATGAAATAAGTCATACTTAAGGGATGTTATTACTTCCCAAACTCTCTAAGACAACTATTATGTCTTTGTAGATGAGTGAAGCCAGCCTGTCTTCATTCACTTTTCCACTTTCGGGATCCGGTACATCTGAGTCACTGGAAAGTAGTTCAAAGAAGAATGCACGTAAGATTGGATTGAAACGTTAAGCATGATTTACTGGATTGAATTTTGGCCATCAACACTGATTTTTTTCCTCTGTTTTACTTTACCTCTGAAGCTTTCTTCCTCTAAATCATCGCAAACTCTTAATATAGGTGCAAAAATGAGTGCCTGCAAAAATTGAGAGCAGCATGAAGCAACGCCTATGGCAGCATTTCCCATTTGATGTTTTCCCTAGGAGATCTGCTAACATCAGAATCAGTATTCTGTAATTTTTTTCTTACGAAGAAGATTGGTGTGTTTGATTTTTATTCCTGTTCTCTATTTAATGTAATAGCAATAAATCAGAAGATGCCATTAGTTGAAGCCATCTATTTTTCATAAGATTGCAAAAATTTTGATTGAGAAAATTAATATGATCCTCCTGTGTTTTAATTACATGAAATCATGATGCAGAGGGATTTTTGGCTTGGAGCATTGGTTGAAAGTTGTTCAAATTGAAGAAACTAACCATATGGCAGTCTCTGTTTGCAGTGTGACTAATATTCTAGAAATTCAGGCACTTAAGTCTGTGGATTCTTTTTAATGTTTCCATGACTTTATTCCTCTCAGCTGTGCACATGTGTCTCTGTCCAAAACACATCCTGTCCCTTGCCTCATTCAGAGTGGATTATGCAGTTGTATAAGCAGTGCTTGAAATAAAAAGGAAGATATGGGATGGTGTGCCATTTTTTCAGTTGGGAGCCCCTCTGTAAGACAGACATAATCATGTGTGCTAGTAACTTTGACCACCCTATTTCCAAAAACATTGGGGTACCTCACTTAGTCCCACTTAGTTCTAGAATCAACTAAAATTTAAACTATTATTAACATTAAAAATGTGTTAATGATCATATTTTTCTCTTTTTTAATTTACAGTGGCATCTGAAATACAGGGATTAAGAACTGTTGAAATTAAAAAGGTAATGGAGAGAGAGAAAATAGTATACATTGATGGCTCCAAGGTCGTCTGCATATTTTCCTGTTAGCTGCCTTACTGTTTTATGGTAGCATCTGATAAAATATGTATTACATGCAGTGAAAATAGCACAATGTAGACTCTGCTGAATTTCCTTGTTTGAAAAATCATTTTTGGTATACCCTTTATTGCCCAAAATGGTATCAACCCAGTCCCATACAAAATACGCCAGGCCTCTCTAACTTCTTTTATGGATCAGTAAACCTTTGCCTTCTTCAGACTTTCAGAAGAAGTTTCCCATTCTTCTGAAACAGATTCTTCTGACAGCTATGTACAACAGAGAAAAGAACAGCAAATTCAAGTGCTGAGCACGCTTGTAGACACTTCATACCATCCCCATTTCATTCATTAGTCACTGCAGCTCTTTGTAAGAGGCCCGGTTATTTCCATTTTGTCCATGAAGATCTAGAGATTGATTGAGAGCAGTGGACTTCTTCCAGGTCCCAGCATTTGTTAGTGTGGGTTTCTGGCTTTGAATGCAGGTCTCTGTTGTCCTCATTCCCCGTAATGTGATTTTTATTTAGCCTGTTGTGGCTTCTTTTACCTCCCGAACAGATGCTTAGTTTTCTAAGTCACATTAAGGACTTGTATCAGATAAATTAATGCAGTTTTCTTGGGCATCCTTTTCCTCCCTCAAGTCTAGAAGATCAGAATTAACTATAGAATGTTGTGCCAAAGAGAACAAAAGCCAATAAAAGATAACAGTTTGACCAAAGTATTCTGTCTGTCCCGTGGCAGGGGCCCACTGACTCGTTGGGTGTCAGCATTGCTGGAGGAGTGGGCAGTCCGCTGGGTGATGTTCCTATATTTATTGCAATGATGCACCCAAATGGAGTTGCAGCTCAGACGCAGAAACTCAGAGTAAGTTCTACAAAGTCCCTGGCAGCCTTAGCAAATCTGCCAATAGGTTTTATAAACCCTTTGCATCTGGCCAACTGTTGAAAGCAGTTTGAAATGTCTCTATCAGCTTTTTAATCAGCTAATATAGCTGCAACAGGAGTTGCTTTGAGTAAAAAATGAAGAAATTTTAAAAGAAGAATTTGCTGTTGTAAGCAATTTGTCAGTAAATGAAATGGGATAATTTGCAGTTGTTTCTTAATATTTTTATTTGCTTGAAATCCTGTGGAAGAAGTTAAAGCAGAAAGTACTCTCAGAAAGTATTGGCAGAATGAAGTGAAATTTTTTTTTTGAAGTGAAGTTTTTTATTTACATGTCTTTTTGGTTTAAATGCTCATTGTGCTGGTTTAACTTTATTAAATTGAAAATTATGATTTATGTTGCATTTATTTATCAGTTTTGCAGAACTTTGATGTAAATGTGATTTATAATGTGAAACTACAAAATTTGCTTCAAAATTGAGGGATTTTGCATATGTAGAGCGCTATGATAGAATTTATGCTAACTGCCCAGTTCTGAAATCATGTGAATATTCCATTAGTAACTCAGTCTCTACACAGTAAAATCTGTATGGCCTCATGCCTTAAAATTGTCTCAAATAATGACCACTTAAGAAATACTGTGTAAATCATTAATGGTTCAATCTCCCTTTGATATGTGAATTTATGACTGGCACTTTAAAACTGATTGTACGGATAACATGGGGGTCAGAAAAGTTTTCTCTAAAGGACCAGATAAATATTTTAGACTTTGCAGGGCTTATGTGTTTGTATTGCAGTTACCCAACTCTACCCTGTGAATGCAGCCAAATAATTGTGTCTTGCTTACAACCAGATTTTACTTACCAAAATAAGCAGTGGGCCAGTCTTGGCCTATCAGCTATATTTTGCCAACCCTTGACTTATAGTCACAGATAATGTGTATAATAATAATATCCAGAGAATTCTTGTTCACAAATGATAACAGATGCAGTGTTTTTTGGGGGAAATGAAGAGAAGGGGAGTGTGGTTTCCTGCCCCTAGTCCCAAAGATGATAGAACATAGCCATTATGTGCAGCTTCTCTCTGTGGTTGCTGCTGCTAGGAATCAGAGGTTTCCTTGGTTATATTTCTGTTGATGATTAGCAGTATATGTGTGGTGTGGAGGCTGGGGAAGCAAATGGTCCTCCTCTCCATGGCATTGTAGCAGATGGCTATTTCTCTCCATCTCAGGTTGGGGATAGGATTGTCACTATCTGCGGCACATCCACGGAGGGGATGACTCACACCCAGGCAGTTAACTTACTGAAAAATGCCTCTGGCCCCATTGAAATGCAGGTAAGATTTTTATCCCAACTCTTCCGATTGTGGGTAGCTTGAGGACACATGAGCTTTGATGTTAAAACTATAAAAATGATGAAATTTCCTGCTCATATTTTATTTACTGTTTTCCTTGAACATAAATGATTACATTGAGAGTTCCAAGAAAATACATAGGAAATACATTCTGTCACATTTTTTTCTTCATATATATGTATTATTTCCTACTTTGTATAGGAAAAGTATACAAAGGGGGAAAATTAAGGGGGAGAATTAAGGGGGAAAATTCTCAGTCTTGGCAGGATATGATTAATTGCTGAAATTTTCTAGTGGTGTGGTTGAGTGGCTTGTATTCTAAAGATCTTTAGAAAACAGTTGCATGTGATACCATGTTTGAAAACATCAAGGAACTTGATAGAATTGAATTAGTAGAATATCCTTAGTGTCACAGATAACCTCTGGGCCTTATGAAATTTATGTTAACAGAAATGAGTAAGTGAATGATGAAATACACATTTTTAATCCCAGTGCTCTTTTTGAATAAGAATTGCTGATGTCTTCCTAGCCACATGAGCATGTTTTTCTATTCGTATTTCTTCTGTGTTCAGGTGGTCGCTGGAGGAGATGTGAGTGTGGTCACAGGTCATCAACAGGAGCCTGCCAGTTCTAGTCTTTCTTTCACTGGGCTGACGTCAAGTAGTATATTTCAAGATGACTTAGGGTGAGCTCACATACTATGGTTTGTATGTCCCTATGAGCCACATAAAGGTGAAATGATGGGAGATGAAGTATAAAATTTGAAAGCCAGGTGTGTCTAAGCTCTTTGAGTTTGGCATGGATTTAGTTTATCAAAGACAGGAAGGTAGTTAGTTGGGTAGATAACAGACAGGCAGGTATGTGTGCTGCTGCTCTTTCTACATTTTCATCTGTTGAGTTTTTTGAAGAAACATTTTAGTCTTGGGGTCAGTCTATCCTTTTAAAAATTTGTGCACTGCCTAATCATTTAATAGATCCTACTTTTGAGTTAAAAAACTTCACAATTACCCAAAACTTGAGTACAAAAGTATTAGAACACATAGAGAGAAGAGAGGAGCATATTAGAATTTTTTAATTATTTGATGCAACTTTCATTTTGTTTATCTGTTTTTGTCTCTGATCTTGGGAATACTGATGTTTATGACTTATTCCATCTTAGTCTTCAGTGCTTCTTCCTCTCACTTTAAATTAGCTGGAAAAAGAGCTGCTACCGTGTACAGTGAGAACTTGCCATGAATATGTTAGGTTAAGGGTGGTATACATGGGTAATAGAATTAGGGTGTTAAGTAGGGCTTCATTAGATTATGTAAATTTAAGATACGTAGCGCAGCAGACACTGACAATGGAAGCATCCCTAAATACCCGTGGTGTTCTCACTGTTGGTGACACAGAGAATTATGTCAGCTTTAGGTGGGTGTCAGATAACCCGCTGATTCATGCAGATCCCTATATATGCCATATGTGTGTGTGTGTGTGTGTGTGTGTGTGTACATGTAAGATCTAATGGCTCTTGTTTTCTTCCCTTTTCTGTAGGCCTCCTCAGTGTAAGTCTATTACATTAGACCGAGGACCAGATGGCTTAGGCTTCAGTATAGTAGGAGGATATGGCAGTCCTCATGGAGACTTACCCATTTACGTTAAAACAGTGTTTGCGAAGGTAAGCTTTCAAATTTTAACTACCCTTTTCCCCCCTAAATGTTCACTAATAGTGGTCAGCAGCTGGCTTATTAGTTTATGGCCTGAGGTAATGCCAAATGGTCAACATTTGATTATTTTCTTGCACAACTCCCTGCCGGAACAGGTCATTAAGTATTTTTGTCCAGTTTGAGGTTTCGTTATGTTTAAAGGAATATAGGCTCAAATTGAAGTTCCATGGGTGCTGTCAACAGTATACATAAAATTCATGAACTTGAGTTAGACAGTCAGGCCTGATTGTTTTCCTTTGCAAACAAGATGCATATAATTGAATGTCTTTTGAAAATAGGACATTTTAAATATGTGTATGTTAAAGAGCCCTGGCATTTCTTTTTTTTTGCATTTTTTTGTTGTGAAATATAAAACAGGCACAGAAGAGTACATATAATACATATGCAGAATAGCTAAGATGTGTTTATTTTGCAAGTTTCATTTCATTAAATGGAATAGAAAAATAACTGCTAAAATTTTTGTGTATCCAGCAGCCCTGTCACCTACCACAAATGAGCTCTATGTAAAGGGATTCAGTGAAGAAAAGAAAACCATTGATATATAGTTGTAATCATAGAGCATCCTGTTGGATGGTAAGAATGTTTAGGATACAGTTATTAAAACATTAGTGAGGCTGTTAAAATAATTTAAACCCATATAATTATTATTTGGTGATTTGTTGTGAAGACAATTTTTAGGAACTATAAAATTTGACCAAATTTCCTACAGAAGAATATTCAGATTCTCAAAATTTTGCAGCACAAAGAAGCAATTACATTTAACCTACTAAAAGATTTCATTTAGGGGCTTTAGATTAGTGTTATCATTCTTTTGAATGCTTACTTATGGAGGTCTCATTCTATTATTATTTTTTAGCCAATATAAAGTGCTATTTCTGTAGCAATCTAACAATGAGCCTATTTTGTGAGATGTTTTTAAAGCCATTGGTATGTCCAAAAACACAAATAGCCTTTGCCAGTAAATAAAAGAGTCATGCAGTCCTTTTTCTCAGCCTTAGAACAGTTTATTTAAGGCATGCTAGTTAGAGCATATTTTAAGAATTTCATCATTATGGGTTCCTCATTAACTTTTCCATATTTTTTGTCTTATATTTAATTGCATAATTGCCTACTGTAAGTATGCCGTAAGATAGGGTTGTTCTACAAACAGTAGTGTCTGTATTCAGTCTTAATCACTTAGGGCCCATAAGGAATATGAAGACTCCATCTACGCTTGGGAAGTAAAGAATCAAGCAGCTTAAGCTGCCTTTTGGAAGCCACAGAAAGAATTAGGATTAGAGTTTGCATGACTTGGGCCTCATCCTATGCTTGTCAACATACATGTGGGCTTTTGTGCTCCTGGTGAACTTGAGATTCGGTGGCCCTCATGTCCTTGTCCTATAAAACCGCTTTTGTCCTACAAAACTGCTAATCCCTTGTTTTCTTTCTGTAGGTCTTCTTTACAGGATAAAAAATCTTGGATTCTATGAAATCATTCCTACTAGGCATATTCCCAAATATTCTTTATTAATTTGAGTTCCCACCAACTGCTGTGCTGAACAGCCAAAAAACCATCCAACTAATCTACTGACTGCTAAATTCTCTCTCAAATTGGAATCTCAGTGCTAAAGCCATTTAGGAGAAAGGCTTCCTTTGTGTCTGTTCATCATTGCTTAATGGCTGTGGAGCACCCTGGAGCACTCAGAGCAATGTGTGTGTGCACGCAGAGCGGTTTACATTCTTGTTAGGGTCTTTTTCTATTGTGTAGCTGAGAGACAGCATTTTTTTTTTTTGAGAAGTAAATAAGCCCACTTTATAATTGCAGGGAGCAGCCTCCGAAGACGGCCGTCTAAAGAGGGGTGATCAGATCATTGCTGTCAATGGGCAGAGTCTGGAAGGGGTAACCCACGAAGAAGCGGTTGCCATCCTTAAGCGGACAAAAGGCAGTGTCACTCTGATGGTCCTCTCCTGAATTTGCTGCCAGAATTGAGCCACTTCAACTTCTCCCTCACATCCCCCACTATAAAGAGAGTGATCCTGCACATTTTTCCCAGGCTGTCTTCACTGGGCTCTTCTATACTGTAGGAAAAAAAATAACATTTAAGTTTGCTTTGTCATATGGAAATAATTTTCTTACTGACACCCTAGCATCACTTTCCCATTCTCTTTATATTTTGTGATGTAAACTCAAAGAGAAGGGCTCTTTGTTTGCATAGATAAAGCTGGTCTTTCTTCCGGAAGATACCTGACATTTTATAATCAGGTGGGCAGATTTTAATGTGTGATCAGTGGTTAGTAGAGAAAGAAAAAGTCACTCAAAAGCTAACCAAGGAGAAGTGGCTTGATGAAATTAAGGTGAAAAATGAAAGTATAAGGAAGAAAATCTTGAGTTTTATAAAAATGTATTTTGTTAATCTACCTTCTCTCCCCACTTCTAGCTTAGAAAAGTTGTACTGAAAGTCTTTAAAAATTCTTTCAATATTTAATTATTTTAAATATTACTAAAACATTGCATCTGCTAGCTCTAATATATACATATATAGTTTTCTCCAAAAATGGACTTCATGATTGAGTAAAATAGCAGCAATAGGAATCAATGTCCCTAAGTTTGTAAAGAAACCATTTATTGCACATCTTGAGGTTCATTTTCATTTTTGACATATTGTGTAATATTTCCCCTTTCTATAAGTAAAATGATGGCCTTGTCCTGTATTGGCTGTGGTTTCTCTAGAAAGCCTCCATGCTAACCATGCAGGCGCGTGGAAGGGTCTCTGAATTGCTAGTGCTGGTATGAAGGGATGCTTTGCTGAAAATGTGTCTGTGTGCTGTGCAGTTGGTTTTCAGTTAGTATTAATCTTAATGACAGAGAAAAAAGCAATGTGTTAGTAATTATTTTGGTTGTATGCCATTAGTAAATTGATAGAAAAATTAAGGGGATTAACATAACTTCATTTCATTGCCTTATATTAACATCTTATAATACAATAGTTTTAAGACTAAGGGAAACAGATGGAGCTGTTTATTGAGACAACTGGTGAGGAATTATCATGTGTTCATTCCCATTTTAGAGCGTGAAACTCCTACATTAGAATATATAAAGTCATTTTGAATATTATCTATATTTGTAACAAAAGTAGTGTACAGATATTTTATTACAGCACTTCTGTGTAAATGCAGAATTGAGTGAATAAATAAATTTCATGGTGCACCAAAAAAAAAAAATGCAGGCATATTATTTTTTTGTTCTTTTTACTGGGAAAGAGCTTTATTGTTCAAAATTTGCAATTTAAAATTGGTTTTTATCATGTCTAACTGAACATATGGTGTCCATAGTTACAGTTAGAGGAACTTTGGACAACTGCATTATGAAAAGCTCAATGTTTTTTTTTGCCCAGATTTTTTATGCTAAAGATACATAAACTCTGCATAGAGTAGAGGAAGAAAACAGTGTTGAAGAAAGAGAGGTGTTGTGCCTGTATGTGGTTTTCTGAAATGATATGAGTGAAACAATGTTTTGAATTGTTCTTTAGAGGGGTCAAGAGCTAAAGCATGTTCAGATACAAAAATGTCATAAAGAAAATTATTTTTAATAACATGAGAAATATGATTTGAACCCTGAGCAAGGAATTGGGGAGCCTTTGTTCTGCCAGTTCTTTCCCAATTAGCTAATGAACATATGCATTCCCTCTGATTTATCTCCTGTGTGAAGTGATAGGTTATTTTATCCCAAATCTTGTTATCAAGTTCTAAATAAAAATTCTGTGATTCTTACATACATAAAATGAATGGATAGAGCTACTGCTGCTAAGTCACTTCAGTCATGTCTGACTCTGTGCGACCCCATCCCTGGGATTCTCCAGGCAAGAACACTGGAGTGGGTTGCCATTTCCTCCTCCAATGCATAAAAGTGAAAGGTGAAAGTGAAGTTGCTCAGTCAAGTCCAACTCTTCGCAACCCCATGGACTGCAGCCTACCAGCCTCCTCCGTCCATGGGATTTTCCAGGCAAGAGTACTGGAGTGGGGTGCCATTGCCTTCTCCGGGATAGAGCTACACGTTGCAAGAATTCAGGAGATATTCTTCCCAACTATCTCTTGTAAACTGAGATACCTGATGCTACAAAATGCATTTCAGGATCCCAGTGACACAGTCAACTTCTTAGTCACCAAGGAAATGGCCCTTCATCATGAAGGCATGTCAGGATCCTTTCATGGTTGGCTGCTGGAAGCTGAGCCACCCACTTTTATGTTTTAACTAGCAAAGGTCTTACGGAGGCCACTCTACGGCATGCCCTAGGGAGGCAGCTTAACCGATGGATGTTGGCTTGAGTGTGTGTGAGAGAGTACCACAGTGACAGCAGCCCAAGAGGTAACTGTACTAGTCTGTGTAGCATTGCCCCCAAAATTACATCTCCCAGGAACCTCAGAGTGTGACCTTATTTGGAAACAGGGTATTTGTGGTTGCAGTCAGTTCAGTTAAAATGAAGTCATGCTGGATTACAATAGGCCCAAAATTCTTAAGAGAAGGCCAAACAGAGACAGAAGGACATAGAAGACCATGTAAAGATAAGGACGAAAAAACAAACAAAAAATATCTGCGGCCACCAGAAGCTTGACGAGACTAGGAAGAATTTTTCCCTGGAGTCTTTGGAGAGACCTTGTCCCTCACTTTCAGACATCTGGCCTCCAGAACACAGAATAAATTTCTGCTATTGTAAACCACCTCATGTGTAGTACTTTGCAGTGGAAGCCCTAGGACACTATATTCTTGGATGTTTTTCTATTCTTAGCTACCATTGCTATGCCTGGCAAATAGGACAGACTGTATACATTTTTATTCAGTATGTAGATGATTGAATTATAAGTTGTGGTTAATTCATGGTATTACCTGGTTTTAGTTAAGCTATCTATGGTCTTTATATTGAATTCAAAACAGAAAACAGTGGGAATGCCACTTAGGGGTGCGAAACACTAGGGGAAAGCGTCCTTCCTGAACTGCTATTAATTAACAAAGTCGAAGCATGTGGACGTGAAGAGAAGAAGGGAAAAAAGGAAGGAAAAGAAGATTTGAGAGGAAAAGAATATAGATGCATCAGCATTAGAGAATGACAGAGGCTTATGCTGCTTACATTATTCCTTCTTGGAAACATAAGATTTCTCTGTGGGGAAGGAAGAAAGTGTTTGAACAAAGAGTTTGAAGACTTGAACATTATAGTATTAATGCCATATGCAACTCAAGACCATGTGCAAGTCATGATTGTGGCTTGCCCATAATAGGTTCAGTATATTTGCTTGTGTGATTAAATCACACCGATGAATGCCAGACATTTCTGGTTTCTTTGTGACATCTTCTGAGTGATGATGATGGTGACAATGATGATGTGTTTAATTTCAACATCTACTGATACATAGCAGCTGATGTTGCAGTGTGGTGTAGCAAGTCAGTAGAACCCATTTATCAGAATAATGATGAAATTGGAAACATGAAAGATTAAAATTCATGAAAGGCAAGAAAAAGATTTTTTTTTTCCATTTTAAGGCTCTTGATAAAGCAGATTTTGATTGACTCAAAGAAGCAAAGGAAGCTCTTCCCTGCTCTGAAATTACTGTGCCAAGCTGCCTTAGATCTGGTCATCTAGCTTACTGTCTGAGAATGCCAGACAGTGATTTAGTACCTTTCTTCAGATCTCCATCATGGTGAGTGGAGAAGTTGAAAGGATGCCTGCAGGGAGACAAGAATCAATAAGCTTTTGAGGTCTAGGTGTGGAAATGTCAAAACTATCATCACCTGCTTTCAGCAGCTCTGGTGTGTTCTTTCGTATCAGTGACAAGTATTCTGGAATGCATTTGATTTGTGCAGAGATGTTCCTCAACTTTGTCTACCAAAAAGTAATGTTTAACTTTGACTCTTCCTAGAGGGAGTTATTTTAGTTTTACGGCGGGATTGGACTCTGTTACCTCAAGGAAAGAAAAAATGTTGGCGGCAGGAACGTTTCTAAATGAATAGTGTGGAGACTAGGAAAGCAGATGTGGTTACTATGATTTTTGTATAATTGACCTTGCAGCTTTTTGCCTTCAAAATACGGTTACTCCATTTTATGTAAATTAGAAAAAACTGTATCATTTTTCTAGGAATCTTATTTATCATTCAAGTACTGGTAAGTTCAGTCATAGGCCCTATAAAGGATTTCTTTCAAGACAGTGACAGACGAATGCTAATGACCTCAGAATTCTCTCACTGAAAATGTTTCTTGATGTTTCAAAAAAATTACAACCATCATCAAAAAGGCAGCTTCTAAGAGGGTGCTTCAACTTGTTCATTTAATAAAGGACATTTTTTCAGAAAGTTGTGTCATTTGCTGATTCTTTGTGATCCCTTCTCTGGTCTTCCGACATCCTTCCCCTCCTCACGTATGTATTTTCTGAAATAAATAATTATCCTTGAAAACCTACTTTTTCTCTTATTTTCTTATTGATGTATTAGAAGTTGTGATTTTTCACATGAGTCTACCCTGAAGTATTTGGCATTCAAAATTCCACTCTCTAAATTTCATTTCTCTAAAGGTCCTTTATTCCATTCAGTAAAACTTAACAGATTTACCTTGCTTTGGAAAATTAGATAACTATTTAAACCATGCATATGATAAGCTGTCAAGGAATGTGATGGTTATTGTAGTATTATATCCTGAAAGACATAGAGTAATGTAAATTCAGTAGCTTTCTTTAAATAGATTTGTTTTCATTTTTGTATAACCATGTCTTTTTTCTTCTGAAGTTGGATGCAAAATAACATCACCAATTCAATGGACATGAGTTTGAGCAAACCCCAGTAGATAGTGAAGGACAGGGAAACCTAGCGCACTCAATCCACGGGGTTGCAAAGAGTCGGACAAAACTTAGCAACTAAACAACAAAAATTTGAGTTGTTTTGCATAGAATCTTCATGGTGTTTACCATATCCTCATACAACTCTGCTATTAATTACTGAATATTTATCATGAAAATAGATTCCTGTTTAACTTAAGTGTGCTTAAAAGCAGAGTTGTATCTCACCACTTTAAGTGGAAAACCATGTTATTTGCCATAAATTTTAGGGTAACTGTGAACAAAAGCAATGTTATTAAATTGTCAAAATACCATTGCCTACCAAGGATGAAAACTTGAAGTCTACACTCTGAGGGAGAGTTACAAATACTAGAATGGTGTTAATGACTCAATGGAGACACTCCTGGACTTAAAAGAACTGAGAGAAAAATAGCTTATTCATAATGTGATTTAAAGTTTTCTAGTGCCTTGTCATTACGCCCTACAAAAAAAATCTCTCAATATACTATCTCTTTGGAAAAAACTCTGAATGGTTTTGATTGTAAATTCCTTTTTAAAATGTAAAAGGAAGCCATTCAATTCCTATTTTAAGAGTATTCTTAGTTAACGAGGTTAAGATTTTGTTTATAAGACTTTCACTGAAATCAGAATTGGGTCATCACCTCCAGTGCTTTAGTATTGGCAATCTGAGTTTGAAATAAAGGACAAATGACATAAATTAATGGAGTAAAATTAATGTTGTGATAATATTAAATAAAGCTAATGTCTCCTGCACCTGGAGGGCGATGCAGATGGTAGGCATACCTAATTATGCACCCTGCTGCCTTTAAGTGTACTGATAAAAATCTCTCAGCTGAGTATAAAATATGTTCGTTCAGTGGCTCCAGACACGTTTGAGTAAGACAGCAAGCACAATACATAAAAAATAGAGCCTAACAGATATTTTTTGAGGAAAACATGTAATTCTGTAAGTTGAATGATTAAATATTTGCCTGGTTTTTAAAGTAAATCATTCTTAGAGTCATAGTCTTTGTCTTTTCTGTGAATATTAGAATATATGTCAGTTCCATTAGGGAAAGATTTTCTCAAACTAGCTAGGAAGTAGTTTACGTTTACATTTTTACTTTCTATGCATTAGTTATAAAGACAAATTTACAATAGAATCCCAAATCAGTTGATTTGATTTCTTACCCTAGGTACAAATTAGACTGGCCAAATATCACTCAGATAGGTATAAATTTGTTTAGTTGTTTAAGAAGTAGCTAGAAAAACATGTCAGTAATAATTAGATAATTTTTTTTTTACTACAGGTATTTCAGTAATGTCACTGAACTTTATAAAACTTACTATGTATTTTCTTCCTTCAAGGAATGTGAATTCTGGCTTTGTTTTGTTGCAGTTGGATACCTATGCATTTAAAAGTGCAACTTCCCAAGTTTTAGCTTCAGAATAATTTTTTAAATACTTTTATGATACTTATATACAACCCCTATTTTTCTTATAATTAGATGTATGTTTGTAACCTATGTGCATGCTTAGTCGCTTTCGTTGTGTCCAACTCTGCGATCTTATGGACTGCAGCCCACCAGGCTCCTCTGTCAATTTCTCCAGGCAAGAATATTGGAGTGGTAGCCATGCCCTCTTCCAGGGTGTCTTCTCAACCTAAGGATTGAACACTCATCTCTTACAACTCCAGTATTGGCAGGCAGGTTGTTTACCACTAGTGCCACCTGGAAAGCCCATTTATATAACCTACATTTTAAAAATGGCAAGTAAAGTATTCTTCAGACACAGTTTTTATCAAAATAGATCTAGTGCCAGATGTTCATTTTATGATAAAGGATGCTGGCTCATTTTAAAGAAAAAAAATTCAGGGCTAGAGAGCATATAATTTCTTCATCTTTTGTTCTTTAATCTTAGGGCTAATGAATAAAGGAATTATACATTTTAAAATATACATTTGTAATGTTTTTTGGCATCTGGATAAAAAAATGGGAAATAGGTTCAACTCAGTCATCTACATTTATTGTTAAGTCCCTATTAGTCCTATTCAGTAGTTAATTTTTTTATAGCTTTTCCTTTCTGTATGCTACAGGTATTCATGTAACAAAGTCATCAAGTCTCAACATCCACTTTCACTGCCTTGAATGAATGTAAGTCAGAGCTGATGAATGTCTTACATTGAAGGAGCTCTAGATTTCTCTGAAATCCATCGTGGGCCTCTGGGTCTCAAGGCCCTGGATTCATTTCCTGGCTTGGTCCCAGACTGAAGGGCAGTTGACCTTTTGGAGTCTCTGCCTCCTTGACTGTAAAAGGGAAATGATAGCATCTTCCTCACAGCTTCATTAGTGTCAAATGAGATGATGTATCTGCTCATGCTGGCACTAGGTAAATTGATAGACATATTTTTAGTATTTCTTAAGTTAGTGT